GTAGCAATTAGTAAATGATGAGGGATATGATCGTGGGGAAAGAAGAGAATGAGATGGATGGAAGGATGGATAGATAGATAAGTAGAAGATATTCTGAGTTGTCAAAGGCATTGAAGCCGATAACTAACACCAAGCGAACGGGTTTCAAGAGTGGATATTGTAATAAATATCAAGCTTCTATTGCATATCAAATTTCATATAACGCCGATGCGGGGAGAAAGGTAAAGCTTGGAAGAGAATTTTAGAATGTTCTCGAGTTGGATAATTTGGAGGTTTAGGTTTATCGAAGCGATCGAAGGAAAGGAATGAAATGAAATGAATGCATATGGAATGTGCAGCTCTCATTCGAAACCACCCTTAACCCCGATAAAATACAAAACATCCAGGTCATGTAACTCGGAAGACACAGGGCGGCGGGTCAGCAAAAAATAGGGATCCTGACTCATGGGACTGGTGCACATGTTTGGATGATGTTGTTAGTGCTTAAGTGAGCGTGCGAGATGAAAAGAGCATTTGACGCTCCGTGTACCAAGTATGTACCGCCCGGAATAATAAGGTAATAATGCCGGTTGGGGCTGCCCGCACACGGCTGCACTGCGGTTGACGGCTGTCAGATGTATTTTCCAATTGCTTAATTGAGATGGTGAGCCGAAATAGACCGACCAAGGGAATAGGGGGTGTGATATGATGTGGCTTTTGGAAGTTTCGGGTGATGGGTTGCCTAGATGGGAATCCGACTTGTGTAGTGGATGATTTGGATTTATTTAGGAGGTAGTATAAAACATGTATGAGAATGGATATGAAATAGGGTATTTGGAATACTTGAATCTATCACTCGAGTAGAATGTTTGATATGGAGTGAGAAGTTCAAATTTGGATGATTGTTTAAATTTACTTAATGAAATACCCTCTTTATGGTAGGTGAATATGGTGAAATGAGATCTGTGTTACTTTTTCAATCCAACCAGTGATCCTTCATGAACCTATCAAATACGATAGGACTAAACTACGAAAAGGAATGTTCACCGTTTATGATAACTAACCGGGATTTCGATGGTGGTGTGCATGCTTTAGATACACTTGGGAGATTTTCTGCACAAGCGAAAGATGCACAAGGGTGTGGGTGGTGGCACTGAGTGACTGAGATCCTGGTTACATCTCGAGTTTTGTTGTACTGTTTGAGGAGTTGAGCATGAATTAGTTTACTATGAATGCTGTAGATGTAATTGGGCATCACGTCCTTTCTCGCATGTCTTATAAGTAATTCGTAATGTACCTAGTATCTGCCAGATGAACATGGGCTTAATTAATTCCGAGAGGTATGATTGAGGCTGTGATACATACTGCGTACACAAATATCTTAGCTACCGTGCGCAATGCATGACCATGTTATGGTGGATTGTGGTTAAGACCGCCGCACCACCCTCCCATATGTTGTATGAACGGATGGAGAAACATGTTCTTCCTCTTCGTTTTCCAAAATCATAAACCACGAGAATATTTATTGAACGCCTTTTACAGTCTTGAAATGTTTGGGTACGATGCCCCAAAGTCTGTGTGCATCAGCGGCTCGTGGAACATTCAGCAGCAACTCAACAATCCGTTCATCCAATAATCCATCCATCCATCCATCCATCCATCCATCCATCCATCCAACCAACCAATCAACCAACCAACCAACCTTCACCCAACCATTCTCTATTCAATAGATGCATCAACACTAATAAGCCTTGAGTAATTCAGAACCGAACCGGCTGAAGAACAACCTTGAGTACCAGTACATACATTAATCCCCTAAAGACCCCTGACACTGACACCACACAAGTGCCTGTGCAGTTGAGCATTGTCATCCATTTCGCGATCCCCCATTTCCGAATGCAACTGTAACCCTCCATCACCGTAGTGCACACCATCCTCGACTGGCGAAACTGGCTTACCCACACCTTTTTTTATATTTTGTCGATTTTCAAGCCTCCACCACGCCGAACAACTCCACTTATTTTCACAAGGGAAGGTTAGGGACACACGCAAAACCCCCACAATATTCCCCAAGCGACTTTACCCACATTGAACAGCCCTTGAAAATTAAGACAATCAGTGGATGTAGAGTAATATTTTTGGCAGGGTCATCTATTACGGAGTAGATTCCATCGAAAGGGTCGTTCGGCTCTCGACTAATAAATGGTCTTTTGCCGGCTTTGTTGCCTTTGAGGCTGATGATGAGAATGGAACAAATACTTCAAAAGGTCAAGGTTGACATCAATTAATTCGACTTTGCCATTGTAATATTTCCATTGGATCAAACAAAGATTCCCTTTTCTTTTCTTTCCTATGGCTTTCTTGGCGAATAGTTTAAATTCGGCGGCTGCAAAGCCCTGCAACAAGAAGCGGAGGAGACTAATTTTAAGTCGAGGATGATAATCTGTTATCTAATATTTTTTAATTATGATCGGAGTTTAATTGTTAATGGAGATTCCTTCTTTAGCTCTTTCGGTCTTTGGGACAACTTCCCTATAGAGTTTAAGACTTACGAATTTCAATCTAATCTTCCGACGCTAGTGCGAGTGAAAGCCTCTAAAGTATCCAGCCCTGAGCCGTCAGCTTGGAGGTCACGTGCATATAACCGTGCATGAGATTTGTTCTTTTTTAAACCATGCTAATAGGGAAAAGAGAGATGGGGCTGTGAGGAACTTGCCTTAATTAAGTAGCAGTCTACACGCGTTTCACGTTAGTATTCCAGTCTTTATTCAAAGTGGGCCAGTGAAGCCCAGAGAGCTAATCCCGCCATTCGTGTGGTTTCCGTGCCCTTAGTAGTTTAGCTTCTTGTCTAGTCATCTCCAAACGTTTTTAGTCCACTTGCTATTATCTCATGCTCCACATTTTAAAAGTTTATTTGGGACTAGCTCTGGGTTAGGGTTATTGTGAAAAGTGGGTCCGGATTTTCTGTTCCAAAACCAAGTTGTCCCTCGTCATCCCAGATGTAGAAGAATCTTTTCATTTTCGACTGTGCAAAAGTGCGAAACGAAAAGGACGATACTACTCTCATCAACGACAGCAACTTCACAATCTGTCTTCTGATATCACAAAGGACGTTATAGACTGTGGTACATAGATAGCTTCGAATTAGCTTTCACACTATATTCACTCAAGCTCGAATTCCCATCATTTAACCCTGCACGCCACGCCTTCCGTCGTCAAACGAAGCTTTTCGGTCGCATTACTCCCGATTACCACTTCAGTTCGACGACTACCACGTAGGGGCTTCACGATAGAGAATACCAATCTTTCTGAAAAGCAATTGTTGTTATTGTTCTTGAGGATTAATCGATAAGAGAGACCTCGCCAAGCCATTTACATTGAGGTGGTTGGGCGCGTAATCGCCAGCACATAATTCCGACGTACAGTTATTCAAAATTTGCGATCGCATGCTATAATTACTGATGGCAGCGCATCATCCATCACCCCCAGCGGGTATGCAATTGCACCATCCTCCTCATAATGGCCCTGCTCCACCTGGGATGGCTCAACAGCCGCCGAATTGGCAGCCTGCTGCACCGCCAACATCAATGCAGCAGCTCACTGCCATGAATGAGACAGTATGGCTTCAAATAGGTAAGAATCATTTCTTTTATCCTCGATTTAAACCCGCTAATGTGTATGACAGGAAGCTTAGCAGAACTGCTAGGCAATCTAGATGAGGCTATGGGCGCATATGAACATGTACTTCGCACGAATCCAAGATCTATACCAGCGATGAATGCCATCAGTTCTATCCTTCGTGCGCAAGAACAATTTGCCAAAGCAGTTGAATATTTACAAAATATCCTCAAGTTTGATCAGAATAATGGAGATGTTTGGGGTAGTTTAGGTACTGTGGCCTTTTTGGTGATGCGCAATTGATGACCGATCAAATTTCTAACATTTTTTAGGTCACTGCTTTTTAATGATGGATGATTTACAACAAGCATACTCGGCTTACCAACAAGCTCTGTACCATCTCCGGGATCCTAAGGTTAGTGAATTAGTGCGCCATCTCAATCTCACGTCTAACCATTCACTCCAGGAGCCTAAACTTTGGTATGGTATTGGAATACTATATGATAGGTACGGTTCTCTTGAACATGCCGAGGAGGCATTTTCGCAAGTGATGAGAATGCAGCCAGATTTCGAAAAGGCAAATGAGATCTATTTTCGCTTGGGTATAATTTATAAACAACAGCAAAAATACCAACAGAGTTTGGAAGTAAGTCATCTGAGTAAAAGGTTATGACATGTGTTCCTAACTATTTGCAGTGTTTCCGATACATTGTCGCTGTACCACCAACTCCATTGACAGAAGAAGACATTTGGTTTCAGATCGGACATGTTCATGAGCAACAAAAAGATGTAAGTTTGAAAGTCGGAATGTGATTGGATGATTTTGACAGATTGGTTGTAGTACGATAGTGCCAAAGTTGCCTACAAGCGTGTTCTCGATCGGGATCCAAAACATGCAAAGGTCCTTCAACAACTTGGATGGCTGCATCACCAGCAGAGTACTAGCTTTCAAAGTCAAGAGCAGGCTATTGAGTATTTGGAACAATCTGTCGGTTCCGGTAAGACTCGTCAAATATGATCGGTCTCACATTTTACACGCTAACACGTGGCAGATCAAAGCGATGCACAGAGCTGGTACCTCCTTGGTCGGTGCTACATGTCACAACAGAAGTACCCCAAGGCATACGAGGCCTATCAGCAAGCTGTTTATCGAGACGGACGGAATCCGACTTTCTGGTGCTCGATTGGCGTTCTGTACTACCAAATTAACCAGTACCGAGATGCGCTTGATGCATATTCCCGCGCGATACGCTTGAACCCGTACATCTCCGAGGTCTGGTACGACTTGGGTACACTGGTAAGTTTGCTTCATCTTCTAGCCGGCCGTGTTTGAGACATTGTTAATCGTTTTATAGTATGAATCATGTAACAACCAGATCAACGACGCTTTGGATGCTTATCAACGTGCTGCCGAACTTGATCCCAACAATGTTCACATCAAAGCTCGTTTGCAGTTATTGCGCAGTGGACAGACCAATGGTATGCCAGGCCAGGCAGCTGCTCCTTTGCCACAAGATGTACATCCTCAAGCTTATCAAGCGTCTGGCGCTGTTGGGCCTCCTGGGCCTCAGTGGGGAAGCTCTGCTCCTCAAGCACAAGCTCAAGGACCACCTGCAGTCAATGGATGGGGAAGCAGACTTGCTGAAATTAATCCTCCTCCTCAGCCACCTAATCCTTATGAACAACGCCCAGCTGATCGTGGTCCAATTCCACCGGCACCACGAGTACCAAGTCCCAGGCAAGATCAACAAATGAGGCCATATCCTGGTGCTGATGCCCGTCAGGCACTCCCACCACGTCCTCGTTCACCTCCACGAGCTCCCATAGATATGAGAGAGTCTAGAGATCCCAGAGATCCAAGGGATCCAAGAGACCCAAGAGACTTAAGAGATCTTAGAGACCCAAGAGATTCTAGAGACGTTAGAGATCCAAGAGATCCAAGAGATCCAAGAGAATTCAAAGCAGAATTCAAGGATCCTCGCGCCGACCCTCGCGCTGACCCTCGCGCTGATCCTCGAGTCGCGGACCCTCAACCTCGTGACCCCAGAGATCAAAGGGATCAAAGGGACCCAAGAGATCCAAGAGATCCCAGAGACCCTAGAGACCCTAGAGACCCAAGAGACCAAAGAGATCCAAGAGATCCCCGTGATCAAAGAGATACACGTGACCATCACCCCCTAGGTCCTTATCCGGGCCCTGGGGCGGGAGCAGGATCAGGAGCACAGCCGCCTCCACCTTCTCATCCACAACAACCACAAGGACCTCCTTCTCAGCCACAGAGAGTTGCGAATACAAACTACGCTCCTCCACCTCCAGGTCCTCCGTCCGTAATACCACCAGCTCAAAATGGAATGAATGGTGCCGGTCCTGGTCCTTTACCCCCTTTCGGCCGTGTTAATAGTCCTCGACCAGAAGTTCGACCAATAATTAGTGCAACCATGCCATCTCCCAAGACCACTTATCCCAACCAACCACCATATCCACACCATACTGATATCCCTGAAAGAAGTGTGATTGAAGGAGGTGCCTTACCACCGGTACCCGGCTTAGCTGCCCCAGAGCCCGTTGCATCTGCAGATCGCGGGGATAATAGACCACCTTCTGTAGGTCCAAAGCGAATGCGTGAGTGGGAAGACGAACCTGCAGTGAAGAAGCCTGCTTCAGATGAAAATCGTGCTCGACTGGAAGACATGCATCATCGAAGACCTTCTACTCCACCCAGAGACCGGGAACAATTCCATCGTAGCTCCTCCGAAGCTCGTCGTGCTGAAGACCAAAGAAGAATTGAGGAACAACGCCTCGCCGAAGAGCAAAGACAAGCAGATAATCAAAGAAGAGTTGAGGACCAGCGCCGCGCAGCTGAACAACGTGCAGCTGAGCAACGCCGTGCGAACGAGAATTATCACCCGTCAGAAGCTGCACATCACCCACCAACCCATGGTATGCAAGGCCATCCAGCAATGCAACAAGATTCACGCCCACCGCCTCCCCACACATACGAAGTAGGCCCACCGCCTTCTCTGCCCCGGCAAGCTACTCCAATCAAGGAAGTTGCAGTAGATGAGCGTGATCGCCAACAAGTACCAGTATCACAACAGCCATCTCTAGCTCAACGAATGGAACAACCTCCACCTGCTCCAACACAGCCCGCACCAGTTAGCGAGCCTGAACGAGCAGCACGAAAGATGGATGTAGATGAGAATTATGATGATGATGGAGATGAAGATAAAAAGGGGGGAATTGTTTCAGCACAAGCTTCAGGACCTCCATCTGCAAGTGGTGATCCGAAAACTACTAGCCCACCAGGAGTTAATGGACACTCTGCAAATGGATTACCTAATGGACAGCCAAAGGTTGAGGCGGCTATTTAGAATAATTTTCAAACACTGTGCCTTATTTAACGCATCGCAAATATGTACTTGGTCTTGTTTTCTTATTCTTTTAACTCACTTTGGGACGGAGGGAGGTATGAGATGGTGGTGGTAGGCGGAAAACTCAAAACTCCCTTTTAGTTTCTTTTCTGTTCCTGTTTATGATTTGATACTTTAAGGAAATTTTATTCTCAGGAGGCAAGAGAGAATTTCATCAATCATGGTTGGGCTGGCCTGGGAATATCATGGGAGATAGGGGGATATATCTCTGAAATTGTGGAAGGTGGGAAAGAGGATTGGGTGGGAGGGAGCGAAAGTGATGTGAATGGCTGTGTCAATCAATCAATGCATGGAGATACTGGCAGCTTACTCGAGTTTCTTTTGCGTGTAATGTTTGTATGTATGCACAGTGATGGAGATGGAGATGGAGATAGTGTGGACCCATACATAGCATGATTGATATCAATGGAAGTGAGATGATGGTTGATTTGTTGATTGATGTTTTTATGTGATTTGTATGATGTGATGTGATGCGTATGGTGTGATTTAATGTGTAGGATAGGATGTAGGTGATATCGTAAATTAAAAAGGGGTCTTTAAAGAATATTTTGTTTCAAAAAAAAATATCTCGCAATTGAATTGGGTATAGATACTAGATAGATACAACAAAGACAATTAAGTCTTCAAGAAACAAAATCATCATTGAGATGGAAAAACTCCCTCCCCCAATATATCGATCGCTCCGCCGAGATAAATAATCCTTGAGAAATATACAGACCAAACTCCAAGCCAGCCACTCACTGCACTCACTGCCTCAACTTATAACAATATAGTACACTTAACTCAACTCTTCGGTATCAATCCATCCGCAGCATCACCATCTACAAGTGCTTTTCACTACTTGTTGTTCTCCTGCTGCGCAAACTACCACCATCTTCACTCATACCCTCGAGTCTCAAACTCGTTCCTCTACTACTGCGAGCCCGGATGCTCATTGCCGTTCCCTTTCGCTCGCTCAATGCTTTGGACCACCTCTTCTGATTCTTGCCTCCATCGCCTATTTCGTCGAATCCGAGGATTTCTTTCAGCTCGGGAATTTCAGCATGGTCTCGTGTGTTTTTCATTCGGTGGCACCACGTTATCATTTTATCCTCATATCCTTCATTTTCGCCGATCTTATCACCATTTCCTAATATACCTCCATTGGCGTGCATCTCAGGGTGTTCATCGGTAGGTGAGGAAATCGGAGTAGCCATTCGTACGGGCTCGAATAGAAATTCTCCGCCTACTTGTTGGTAATCGCCTCCTTGGAATAATTTGCCTCCTTTGATTTGTTTGAGACTTTGTACTACGCTCTGTGCCATTCCTAGTATTGTTGATCTGCGTTGATATTCAGGTCTGCTGCCTAGATTTAACGTGCGCATCATTCCTAGCTCGTCGTATAGCTTTCGGGTTGGATCTGCGTATATTGGGAATGGACACTTTGTGGCTTCTTGGTACATGGGGATTAGAGATGGGCTGCCGCATCCTACTACTGCGATGAAGGTAGGAGTGTGGAGTTGGAGGAGGGAATCTTCGGTTATGGATGCCGCGAGGGTTCGAAGGAATTCTTGACAGTTCTGGTAGAGAGCACAAAAGTTAGGTTAGGTATATAAGGTAAATTATGCAACTGGAGGGAAAGCTTACCCCGCAGAAGAAGTGACGGATGAAGATAATTAAGACTCTTCTCGCTACATTCGGGCCTGAGTATAAACTTTTAAACGGTCGAGTCTTTCCATCTCTGTCTAAAACGATCATACTTTCAATCTTCCTCAGGATCTCTTGCGAGGGTATCTCATTATCCGTATTGACATCTCCCACGAATTCAAACTCGGGATCGATGTCATTGAAGGAGGTATCTATTGAGGACTTTGGAGGAGTAGCTCTTGACGACTCCATGGTTGATGTATTTGGAGGAGTAGCTCTTGACGACTCCATGGTTGATGTATTTGGAGAAGCTTCGAAAGATTTTTCATTCATCATTCCTTCTTTCTCTGTGGATGAATAATTATTATTATTACTGATGGCAAATCGAGTTGCAACGGGTGAATCGGACAATATAACCATAACTTCGTTCGTTCGCATGAAAGTGGTCGGTTCTTTGGTTTTATCTGCGTCACTGATTCACAATCGTTTATTCTTATCGAGGCTTAGACAATTTGGGTTCTGAGTTTGAGTTTGAGTTTGGGTTCTGAATTCTGAATTATTATAAAAAGTTGAAAGTAAAAATATATATATATATCTTCTTCGTGAGTTCGTAAAGCTGTGTGTATACATAATATTCTCTCCTGAAATCCTGAATCCTGCTTCCTGAGTACATACATATACCTATAATTAATAAAAAGGTTCCTATTGTCAGTTTAAATCCTCTTACGTGTCAGAGTATCTATATCAGGTCTCAGCCTGGTTTCAAGGAGGATAGCCATGGAGAACATTTTTCCAGTGCTCGTTGAAGCTTCATTTTTGGTCCAATTTAATTGGAGAACAAGATGTAATTTGTGGGATGAAGGGTAAAAAGCGTATATTTATTCTCCTGGTGCTGACGAATAAGGTTATCGTATCAAAATCAAGATGAATCTTGAAGCGCTTTTAAAAATATTTTCTTAGAAATAATGAATAAAAATAAAAATAAATATTGGATCTGCTTGAATGTGCTTGGACGTGCTCATCCGATGTTTTATGTTTTGCTTTGGATTTATCAGATCAAACAAGTCGATTGGTGATCACTGGTGGATAGACCTCGGATGGTGACAAATCTTCTGTGCGTATATGGCCAGTTAGACGATGCATATCCAAATGTTCGAGCAACTTCTGCAACTGGCTGCGTGTACTCCTTACAATCTTTTCTCCGTATCTAGGATGTGTATGGGGCGTAGAAATGCATCAGCTGGAGATACATAATGTACGCAGTACGCAGTACGGCGAATATGGTGTGAGAAGAAGATCTACGAGTCTACGAATCAGATGGGAGGGAAGTTGGTAGGAGGAATCAAAGGAGCAAAGAAACAGAAAGCAAAGAAATCAGGAAAATGTATAGCTCTCGTAAAGTATTAACGTTACATCTTTCTTTCTTGTCTGAAAACATCTCGCATCACTTTGTACTACTGTATGCAACTACGTGGAACGTCGGTGAGTAAGGTAGGGCGTCGAATAGGCAGGCTTGTAGAGGATGATCCGACCGGTGAGCTTTTGTGGTGTATGGTAGCGGCTGTACAGCACACAAATCGCTACTAGATACTTACTACATGGGTTGATTGGGATCATCACCCAGTAGATGTTAGGTATCATGTTACTTTTCGATATTTCATTTCTCCAATTCTGGATAGCAAACTCAAAGCCTTATGAAGTAATGTGTGAAAAGTTTCACAATGTTTTTGTTTGTGTGTCCGAGAGAACCAAAATGAAGGGGGTAATGAGGGCGAGGCGATGGGGGCGGGGGCATTTTCCTACCCATCCATCTCTCTTATCATAAGGACATGTCCCCATCTCTTTCCCAATTGGTCGTACCTGCATTTATTAAAAATATCCCGATGAGTGGCTGTGCTTCCAGCTGTGTATCCATGCAGTCTGCATCTTCTGCCTAATATTGATTTTCGGATATCAATTGAACAGATCCAATCCATCCGATCCCATAATTCCATTTGATGTTGTCATTCGAATTCTCCTTCCTAAGCTTCCTTGGTCAAACTTTAATTTGGGCCACTTTTTGGGCCACTTTGTTTAGACATCATGTCTGACAGTCCACTGTCAATTGCTGCTAGTATCACTGGTTTGCTCACATTCGTTGCAGCCGTAGTTGCTGGTTTCTATGCACATGCGCTTGGTCTTCGCGATGCCATTGATACACAAGCCGAGATATCTAGTGCATTGGATAAAATATATCTTCTCGAAACAGAGACTGATATGTTGAACAATGCATATCTAGCTTCGCTCATTCGTCAACCTGATCGAAAATATGGGACGGGCGATTTCAAGTATTTCCAAGGACTTTATGTACGCTCTTTAGAACGAATGCGAGTGATGGATAGAGAATTGAGAATGAGCGCCGAATTGGTAACCAAAGGGGATGGATATGGTAGGATTTCTAGAGTGAAAAGAAAGGCTGCTTGGATGGCCTCGAGAGCACGTATTCAGAGAGACATCGATGAGAGGAAAACCGAGAGCATAAGAATCTTTCAAATACAGCTTGCCATGTTATCAGCGTGAGTTAGACCAATCGTTCATTTCTGCTCTTGTTGGGAACTAGCTCAAGGATACTTGCAGGAAGATTGATGAGCTATCTTATCATCAAAACAATCACAACGCCACCTGCAATGTCATGCTCGCTAATACGGGAGACTTGTCAAAGTATGTGCTGTTAACGTCCGGCGCCAAATACCGGACCCCAAAATTAAACATTTGCTAATTCAATCAATAGTGGCATCATGAAAATACCTCCGACACCCCCGTCCCCTACACTTTCGACTGTCACGCCGGACCGGGAAAAGATAAATAGTCATGCACAAATATTAGCCACGCCAAGTCAATACTACACGCCTTCAAAAACGTCGGACTTAGCTCCACTTATGTCGCTTCCATTGAGAGTATGAGAGTATAAGATTCGGTTTCGTTCCAGATAGTCCAAATTCAAAAAGAGTTCTTCCTAGTCCCGCGTCAAAGCTTCCGCTTCATTTCACCACGTTGATTGTAACCTGGTTACCGGATGGGAAAGATCTGTTCAGCTCTTAAATAACCTTGTCCCGAAAAGACTAGTGTACGCCTCGCCACGCACATGCTCGGCGGGGCATTATTCCTGTTGCACCATTAGTTCTCGGATCCTTATCTCCAATTTCAGCTCCGAATTTATTAGTTTCGATTTAGGATATATGAAAGACAACTCATAGGCTTCACCGTTGCATGCGACGTCAACTTATACTGGTCATCCCCTTGATTAACCGGATGATGAAGTACACCATTCTTATCAACAAGTCCGTTGTGGGCGAAGGCAGTTTACGATAATTGCTATCGACGCATCGAAGAAAAAGTCAATAGTATTTGAAAAAGATTGAACATTGCCCCTTGCAGTTGGACACATGAAGTACCTAAAGTGGATATCCTTTGGCAGGAAGGAAAAGTACGTGGCTGATTCTCAGTACTGTCCGCTTAGTCCCACAGTTGATACTAACATCTAAAAGGGCGAAGGACGATATTGCCAGCGTCGACAATATCAAAAATGGTAGTAAACTCGGAAAACGTAGGAGTTCAATCCTAAGGAGGAGGTCTTTATCGCCAATGAGAACATCATCGCAATATGCTGTTGATACTTGCAAGGATGTCGTCATTGGATCCACATTGGAAATACCTGGGACCAAGACGTCCACAGCACCACCAAAAGGGGCAAGCCTCCCAAACAAAAGAAAGTCTTGGTATAGCAAATCAAGCAAGAAGTCCGAAGAACGCAGACCCAGCTCTACAAATCAGGACAGCCCCCGAGATCAAACTGGAGCCCTCAAAGATCTAAAGGTTACCACCCGACAATCAACGAAACCTACACGGAAAGAAATACCTAAGACCTCTTCAGAAAACCCAATCACAATCATCGTCACATCACCGACATCAGATTGCGATGGTCAAGAACAGGACTGGAGTTCTACCTCCAACCGTGCATCATCACTCTCATTATCATCACTATCCAGCACCTCCAGTCTTGACACCACCCGTCTCATGCCCCCCTCAACATCCACATCTACCCCTACTACTCAAAGATGCAAGAAATCCAACGAGGCACCTGAAGTGAAAAAATGGCTTATCGGATGCATGAACCGCAAAGCCGATACCCTCCCTCGAAAACTCATTTATCGCATGATGGATATATATAATATCAAAGAAAACGAGCTTGATCCGAAAATGCTAGAGAAGCTTAGGGAAGGCATTGAAGATGAGGGGGTAGTATTTCAAGTCGACGTGGAAAATGAATCTGATAGTAATAAAAAGGAGGAGTTCAATGGAGTGGAAGCTTTACAATCATTACGGACTTCTTTTCGTTCTCAGGTTCAGGGTGAGGGAAAGGGAAAGAAAGCGGGGAAGGATATCTCGGGACATCTCAATAATACGATCACGACTAAACAAAGTTCCAAAAGCAGCAGCAGCATTAATAACAACAATACCACCAACCACATAAAACCAACCCAACCCAAGGTAGTCCCAGGCACAAACCCAAGAGTCTGGCAAAACCCCTCATCGCGCTCTAGAAATTGGCCCACGACCAATATCAACACATCACACGGTGTTTCATTTCCCTTCCCGCCATATACACATACAAATACACATCCATCCACGCTGGCAAAACAACGCGCTCTCTCCTCGAAAAATAACTCCCATCTACATAGCGTGAATGGTTATTCGAAAAGAGGAAAGAGGGGCTCCTCGACGATTTCTCTAAGTAGTATTCCGGAACATGGTGTTAGTGTGGGGTTTGATGTTTATGGGTTTGATGTGAAGGGGAAGGGGAGGGGGAATTGGAATGGGAATGGGTATGGGAGTGGGAGTGGGAGTGGGAATGGTAGATGGGAACAGAGGTCGGGGAGGTCGAGGAGGGCTTCTTCGGATTTGGGGGGTTCGGGTTCGGGTTCTGGTGCGGGTGGAAGGGGAGAGGTAGGGAGGAGTGCGAGGAGATGATGGGGGTTTTTTGGGTGAGGGGTATGGATATGGGAATGCGATAGGAATGGGAAAAGGAATGGTAAGAGAAGGATGGATATGAATAAACAGGTCGGAGTGGAAAGAACTGTGCTCATGAAAGCAAGCAAGGAAATAAGAAAGGAACGAAGGAAGATTATTTAATCGGGCTGGCTACATTATATATTCTTCGCTGACTGCCTAGGCGTATTGTACTGATGTACGTATCTATGTATGTAGGTAGGTAAGGTTTGGTATTTAATGTATATACATCTAGTTTTTATCTATTTCTTATTATATAATATAATATAATATATATCACTACCTATCTGTATTAAACAAGTTAATATAGGTTTATATAAATTTATATATCAATGAAGCGAAATAGATTTCTTGTAGAAAATTTTCTAAGATTTTATATAATCTATATATTTTCGATAGACTTTTTCATGTTCGTCAAATTCATCTTTACCCCTTCTATCATTTATATACAGCACGATTCCTCATTCTCGAATACTAATGTTTATTTATATTGGTGATAAAATATAATTGATTGATTTTGACTAATTATATGAATGATAATAAATAGATAAAATACTATCTATTTATCTCAACTCAAAACCAGCTTATGCCAAACAGAAAGATACGCTGTGATACAAGTAACACATACGTACACCCTCTCCTAATAATGACACAAACCCCCAACCTCCTCATCCAAGGTCCAAGTTCCAGCCAATCCACCCAACTCCAATCCCCCATCCGTTCGTTCATCTAATTTTCCCACGAAGAAATCACCCTTACCCTTCGTATCCAAATCTCTATTCATGACTCTCCTCGCCCAAGAATCAATTGTCGGCTCTCCCGTTTCATCTCTCGCTTGTTTCAAGAAAGGGATAAGTGCTGTACCACCTGTGCCTTTTAATTTTCTCTTCTTCTCTTCATCATCGCCTTTCCCGCGAGAAGCTGTGGCAATATCTACTTTTCGGCTACGATTTGCTTCTGGACTCATGGAGCGGGAATGAGAGCGCGATTCGCGTGATTTGATGACAATGTAACGAGTGACGATTGCGATGTGTTTATCGCGGAAAGTGCGCAACATGGCGAGACAAGCATCGTATGCGAGACATAATTCATGATTGTCGGTATGCGCTTCGACGTAATCACGAATGTTGGCCACCACGGTCATGTCTTCGAGGAATCGTCGATGAGCTCCCGGCATGTATTTTCTCATCTCGAGAAGGAAATTATGTTTGGTTCGTGGAGCGCTACCTTCTACTTCACTTTCGGATGCGGCGTCCTTTTTTTCACCAGTAGGACGATGTTCTATGCCTAGAACAATGTCGAAGAATTGAAGAATGGAGCTCTGGGCATTGCTACCACCAGAGAGCTTTCGATATTGACCAACTCCATTACCTTCATCGTAGAAAACCCCATTTGGTAGCCCTGCTTCTTCCATGTTTCTACTACCAGCGAGAAAAGGACGAATTCGATGATAAAACACATGAGGATCGCAGCTTTCATGCATGCGCTGAAGAAGTGTTCCAAGATCATCGAGCCTTTCCGCAAAAGTTCGAAGACAAGATGTAACAGTCCTGCTATCATTCTTACGAGCCGCCTCAATTGCTGCAAGCATGAGGGGAAGAACGGGAGCAGCCCGAGCCTCGATCGCCACCGAGACCAAATAAAACCAAGACTCATCAATAGAGCCCGTGAATGTGGTTAGAGTGGCGAGATTCTCCAAATTGTCGACATGTTCATCTGCGAACAATGGTTTGAAGTTCCAAAGACAGACGGCAGCATATGTGGCGACCGGTGGTACTTCCAAGTAGTTCGAAATATGTAAAAGGGGGACCGTAATGGATGGCGGCAAGTGCTGTAGGTTCAAAACAATTAGCACAAGGCTCTGACGCTCGGAAATTGCGGAAGGAAGTGTACAAACCTCTTCAGGGCTATCACCACCCCAGATATAGCTATGCGCCATGAAACATAACAACGAATATGCTCTTCGCCATTCCGAATCATGTTCCAGACCGGCGGTTGAAAGAACAGGAAGACGATCAATGACCTCGCGCAAGCGTTTGCTCAAGATCAAACCTTGAAGGTTCGCAATGATGGCCTCCCATTTGTTGTAATATGGATCGGGAAGTCGTTCAAGAGGTAAATCAGCCGGAAGAAATCCATATTCTGGAGATATTCCGTATTTGCTGAGTTTGGGAAGTGGAGGAAGCATGGTCTGTTGGGGAAAAAAAAGAGAGATAGGTTTAAAGTATCTGACCTGACGCAAGGAGTATAGGATCTTTTATCCAATACTCCTCAGCCTTTTCGATAATCTTTGTAAGTGCTTTGCATATGAACTGCAACGTTGTTGTGTGCAAAAGGCAGTGGAAATATGTTTCGTTGAGGAATGTTTGGAAAGTTTACAGGATATCTTTTGGAGGGGGAGATGGCCCCTCATATATAATAAAGAATGATGTGAAAAAAATAGACTTTCCGCTTAGAAAGCACCATTTTCTCGGATTTTGCGGCATCGGCTCATTCATACTAATCATTTTTCCTTTTAAGGTTGTTTGGTAATTGTCAAAGAGTTTCTTCCATTTCTCTAGTTGGGTTCCTTACCTGGGTAAAAAAGAGTAGGCTGAATGAGTTGGATGGAAAGATGATTGATAGTTATTAGATTAATGATCTGATAACATAATGACATAAAACATGCAACATAACATCAGGATATAATATGACTCTCTCTCAGATGATTGAATATATGGTCGGATCAGATTACTGATTGATAACATTGATATGGCATGCGACATGCGACCAAACCCTCAGCATGCCACCATCAATTAATAAATTTAGGGCCCGAGTAGAACTACTAGGTAATGTTTCAGGATACCCTGCGACCGGCACATCGAATACCCTACCACATTTTGATGCTGCACAACGTTAACGTTTAATCAATTTATCACATGATGGGTTCCAGCCACCACCCCACCCACCCATCCATCCATCACATCACCACCTTCTGAACAGCTTCAATAGCTATCTAGCTACTGGGTAGCTAGATCATTCAAAGCTCACTTACTAATATAATGGCTGGTGTTCAACAGCGAGTTTTGAATTGGTTATACAGTGTTCTTACAAGTGTATGTAAATCTGCTAAGGATGCATGTATCAGTTCACTCATACTAACTCACAATATAGGAATACCGAGATGTGAATCGTACATATAATGACGTCGCCCAAACACTTTCTCAATATACCTCATTATCCCCACGAACGGATGTCTACAGTATGTGCTCCACCTACAGACTTTATAAGAAGCTCAAATACTAATGCGCAGGTTTAATAGCATACGAAAATGGCGCATCTTCACTTCTCCTTCATCTCTCTGGCACCCTACCTGTAAATTTCCGAGGCACCATCTACAGATTTCCGATCGCGCTATGGATACCTCATGCATATCCGCAAGAAGCCCCATTGGTATATGTGACACCGGTGGAAGGAATGGTAGTAAGAGCAGGTCAACATGTAGATCCACAAGGGAAGGTCTATCATCCATATTTAATGAGGTGGCCAGACTATTGGGATGTGAGTCGCATGACTTGACATGTTGAAACTTGTGATTGGTTCGCAGATATGCTGATGAATTGAACTATACAGAAGTCCAATGTACTTGATTTTTTAGCGATTCTTCGAGATATATTTGCCAAAGAACCTCCTGTCATATCGAAACAGCAACAAAATCCCCCGCCACGCCCACAATCGACAGCTATACCTCCTCCTATACCTCCACTTCCTCCCAATGTAGCTCGACCAATACCAAGCTCAGCTTCCCCACGTCCATTGAATGACGATCGACCCCCTCCTCCCCCACCGAAACCTACAAACAGTGCCACACCATACTCTCCTTCAGGTTCCTCGCGGCGAGATGTTGGGCCGCCATTACCCCCGTTACCTACGCAAGTTGGATATGATAATAGCAAATATGGACCACCAATGCCACAATCGCCAAACAGACAATCGCATACTCCACAAAAGAGTAGTGGTCTACGTTATGAGAGTGCTCCTCCATTACCGCCTCAGCAATCCAGGCAAAACTTACGGGAACCATCATACAGTCCTGTGAGTCCAATAACTCCACCAGAAGATCCATATAGACAGTCCTCATACTCTCAATCATACCAGCAACCCCCTCAGCCCCAACAACCTCAGCAAGCTCCACCACAAGTACACAACCCAAATTTTATTCGGCAACCTGCCCCTCAAAATGGTAGACCTCAACCACCGCCTCAATATGTACATCCACAGCACCAGCAGCCGCAACAACCATACCCTGGACATCCACTACAACAGCAATGGCCTCAATATCAGCAGCAGCAATACCAACAACAGCCCGCGCCACCACAACCCAAAGCCAAATCTCCACCACCAACCGACCTTCTTGATGCCCCATTAACTCTATCCATTCCCGACGCTTCATCTGCCAACCTTCCCGCTCCACCTGTTCCACCCAACCCAGAAAAGGACATGCTCCTCCACAAGCTCGCCAGCGCATTACACTCTCAGCGCCTTCATCACACCACACAAACCACCTCTTCACTTCCAGGCCTCCAGTCGCAACAAAAATCCATGCTCAGCACTCTCAATGCTATGCAATCTGAACTTAGCGCTCTAGAATCCCTCTCCGCCCTTCTCACCAACAACACAACCATCCTACACAACTCACTACAAACTGCTGATCAACTTCTCCAATCCTCTCAACATCGTACTCGTCCCTCCATTGATGAACTACTCGTCGCACCAACAGTTGTAGGAAACCAACTTTATGAATTAGTATGTGAGGAGAGAAGTTTAGCGGATGCGATAGATGTGTTAGGCAGGGCGGTTGAAAGAGGAAGGATCAGTGGACCAACTTTTGCAAAGATGACGAGAGGATTGGCTAGGGAATGGTATTTGAAAAAGGCATTGATTAGGAAGATTGGGAGGGGAATGGGGTTAAGTGGGGTCGGAGGGCTTGGGTATTGATATTTATGTTGAAGAAATGAGGAGATATAATCAATGAGAATAACTAGCCTTACTCGGAGGAGTGCATACATAGTATGGTATCACGGAAGATGAGAAGTTATTCGAACAGCGAAAGCGAATTACTACATAAGCAAATAGTATGTATTTACGCATATACATTCAACACTAGTAAAGTAGACATTTGATGTGTCATAAGATGAATGGATATTTAAGAATACTTCCAGTTCTGCTCGAGTATCCCAGATGATGAATCACTATCTCTATCTCTATCTCTATTTCTTTCTCTTTTTATTTCCAATCCAACCCAACCAATTACAACACAGCAGAAGAATATCTAGTACCTATCCTACGTAAACAAGCCTCCAGACTTTCAAACCTTCAAACCTCCCTCCTATTCCCTTCCTCTTTAACCCCCAAAGTCCTAAAACACTCATAAAATGATTCCCTCTTTTTACCCCTTCCCCCCAGCTCCAAAATACCTAATAGCATTTTTCCAAATTATCCATCTTCTCTCTCAAGCTCTATCCATTCCTCACCTCACTTCCTCCTCTCCATTTTCCTCCCCCTACTCCGTTCCCTCTCATCAACCTTCTCCCTATCCCTACAAATCTCCACCATCCTCTTCATTTCTACCGCTCTCAAAGGTTTAGGTTCTTTTAACCCACATTCTGCTTCTTTTACCACCATTTCTAAATCTCTATTTAAACTCCCATCATTCTTTCTTTTTAAACTCTCATTCCTCCTCACTCCCTTTTCCTTTTCCTCACCCCTTCCCTCCCCCGTTCCCCACCCAACCAATCCATCCAGATCCAACTCCCCATCAATTAACCCCCCATTCCTCTCAATTTCCCTCTCTACCTCATCCCAATCAATACTATGACTCCCGTCTCTACCCATATGCATCCTCGCATCTCTCAGTCCTCGTTTGATCGGTAAATGACCCAATACATCTCCCTCACCCCGGACTTCATTCCACCGACCAACCATATGTTGTCTATTCCCAATTCTGGGTTCCCGACTTTGTGGTCTCGTTTTCGTCGGTGGGGAGACTTGATCAATTACTTCAATGGCATCAGCACACTCTTCGACCTTCCCCTCTTCTTCTCCCTTCCCCTTCTCCTTTCCCTTCTCCTTTTCCTTCTCCTTTACTTTCCACTTCTCTCTCGCTAAAACCGCATTTGGGAATATAGGATTTATATTCCTCTCATCTCCATCTCGAGTAGGACTCATCTCAAAACATTCTTTCCTACCATCCACCAAAGTCCTCGCAATCTTACCATTCGCAACTTTCCCACTACTCTCACTATCCTTCTTTTTTTCCTTCCCAGGACTAACAAAATCATCATTTTTCCTCGAAATCTCCTCAAACATCTTCAACTTTTCCGCAATCAAACCATTTCTTATTTGTTTCGGTTTCTTAATACCCGATCGCGGCCATGTCTTAACTGCTGATTTCTCAAGCTGTGATAATATCGGCGAGGCATCTACGTCTATCATGTGAGGTTTTCCCTTAGGTGTTTGTAAACGTCCCGGTATCGCTATTCTCTCGGGTGTTTCCAATGGTAAATTAGATACCCTCTGCACCAGCGTTTCAGATAGAGTATGTTTCCTCGGAGAGGGAGATTTAGGAGTTTTAGTACGTGGAACGGAAAGAGGAAGAGCATGCTTGGGAGTAATAATCGCCTTCCTACAAAGACGCGATGAGAAAACAGGAGGTGGTGGTGCCGGCGGAGGAGTAGGTATAACTGAAGAAACTTCCCCATCTTTAATTGGAGATACTGTTCCATGATCTGTATCCTTAGATGCAGCACCTGGCAATACGGTAGAAGCAAAAGATGCACCACCATCAAATCGCAATCTCATATCCGCGACTTTCGATTTCGATCGAAAAGAAGTAGTATCCTTGATTCGTTGAGGTTTCCTAACATCATCTTCTTTCCCGTCGTTTTTGGGCATAGGAGATACCTCGTAGCTTTCTTGTAGAATAGTCTTCTCTTGATTTTGAGCTTTTCGTGCTTCAGCTTTGGCTTGGTATATGGCTTCAATTTTCTCAGTGATTTGGTTGCGTCGACTATCAACATCTTTCTGGATGCCCGTCTTGGGATCTTTGCGTCCGGGGATAGTTCTTCCTCTTGGTCTTGAGATTTTCGGGGCGTCGAAATTTCGCGTCGGTGTAGTGTTTACCTCGTATCGAGCTAATGAACTACCCCGAGGACTTAGGTCAACTGGATATGAAAGTCAGCATTACTCCCGGAAAAGTAAATCATCGATAGGATAATTAGTTGTGGAAACAAAGATATTGGTTAAGTCTTGTGAAAATAAATCAAGTCATAATATAATACACATACCTTTCGTCTCCGAATTAAGTCTACCAAATAGATGCGGCTTCGTCGGTAAAGTATGAGGTGAAATAGTAATCGAAGATCTCGTCTTTTCCGACGATTCTTGAGATGCTAGAAAAGGATTTGGAATTGCCTCACCAAAAACTTTTCTTTGCTTCCTTGACGCTGGAGGTGAATATTGCGATTTAGCAGGTGTTGAAAATATACTTTTCTCTCTCGCCAATTCTGATGTCCTCGAGAAATTTACCGAACCCGCGAGTGCTCCCTTGTACGCTGGGGTTTGGGTGTCGATGCCTGTTGTGTAAGAATTTGGGGAGGATTCAACATTATGATGATGCAAATCATGATGCGAAGCCAATTTAGATGGCCTAGTCTTTAGAGGACTTGTCTTCAGAGGACTCGAGGAAAATTTCTCGTCGGGACTTCCGTCGAAAAAGCGTATTCGGTCCTTAATCATGTTTCCTATCTTCTTATTCGGAGACTTTTTTGGTAGCGCATATGCCGGGGTTTCGACTTTCGTAGCATTCCTATGTTTAGACGTAGATCTCGGGGAAATCTTCCGATTTTCACTCTTAGACGGGGTCTTAATAGCTTTGAAAGACTGCTGTGGTGTCCTTAATCTTCGAGATTGGAATTGCCTATTTTGAGATCTGAGCATCATTGATTTCGTACTACTAGGAGTATCTCCCCAGGTATTAATCCTCAAATATTCATCAAGGAAAACACTATCATCCTTCGATAAACTCCTACTCATCGGACTCAAGATTGTCGATAATCGTTTCTGTGAAGAATCCCTAGTTCTGCTTCTCTTTCGGGGAGAATTCCGCGCTGAATGTAATGGTGCCGGCTGCAGAGCAAGATCTTGAATCGGAAGACTCAACGCATCCATGGCTTCGAATTTTCCAACTAGACATCGAAGAGCGGATGTTACTATGGGTTTTGACCTATGGCATATCAAATATTAGTAGATATGCTATGAAAACGTGCAAATGGGCATCTTAAGCCAACCAAGGTGAGGAACAGAACATCTCACCGGTGATAAGCCTTATGATTACTATAACTCCACCCACGAGTAGGAGTAGAAGAACCATCAATAGAACCATGCTTCGATCTCGCTCTTGTCGCGGAGGAAAATTGATCATGGGTGCGATGAGCAGTACGATCATGAGTGCTAGGACCCCGGGAATCATGATAGGACATATTTGTCTTTGTGGAATCGCATCTACTGGCTGCGGTGTAAATACTGGGAGGGAGACAAAATCAAATAGTAGGGGATACTATGATATGGACACTGCAGAGGAACAGTCAAATAGTTATGTTGTGTGGAATGGCTGTTAATATGGAGTTGAGACTTTGCTCTGATGTGGTGATGTACTGGTTTCGTGATGGGATGTTTGAGATGCTGAAATTGCTCTTTCTGTTTATGATGGGAATTATTAGGTGCTAGGGAGTTGCGAATGGATGGCACTTGCCAAATCTGTGAAGAAGGGAAGTAAGTCATTGTATTTAAAGGGGTCTTGATGTGTAAAAATGGATCTTTTTATCAAGAGATCTGTTGAATTAATACTATTTAATACTATGTATTTCCGTTGGTAAATACATTTGAAGAACTAAAGTTTATATCCGATCTGATTCCTTTCACTTGTGCAAATATTCCCAACGCTCCTAATGCCATCATGGGCCCCTTCCTGATATATCCATCGCCACCATCTGACTGCCCAACCTATCCTCATTATCAACTCAAGGGTAGCTCACGCATAGCTGTAATCAAAATCCACTCAAGCCTTCTGAACACCATACGACCTATCAATACGCACACCCATAGCCTCCAGATCCAACTCCGTACTATCTCGCGGAACATATCTAGCCTGACTATCCACCACAGAATCAAATGTAGTAACCTGTTCCATAGCATTACTACCCTTTCTAGTAGCATTACTTCCTTTTCTGGACTGGAAATCAAGACGGGAGGATTGTGTTGTGGCTTCACTAGTACATGTCTTTCGTGAGTAGGTTACCGATTGTGAGTCGTATGTACTGCCGGAACCGGTAAGATTGGACATGTCGATTGAGGACATTTCTTCATCGGTTGCCATGCTGGCCCAGAGTGAAGAAAGGGGAAGTAAGAGCGCGACCATGGTGAGAGCGATTGAGCCGGCTTCTGGGAATGTTATGGGGGTTATGTATTCGAGGACGGCGAAAATAGCTATTGGAATTAGTTCGTATTCAAAACTAGACGGGGAAATGGAATCTTACAAGGAATAACCATCGTGCAGCCACCCATAGCAGCGAGAATTCGCACAGCGCTCCATTGTCTCCATCCATTTCTTCGACGATTGAAGAGAGTCCATATCAACTTCCCCGTAAACACGATGGAAAAGAACCAAATAGAAATCGTCTCCGTAACCAATGTCCCCTTCGCCAACCACTGCATTGGCACAGAAGAATCAGCTGTTGCCAAAATAGCCATGGAGTTGACGACTGTTGCAGCAAATCTAAAGCCAATTGCCAATAGAGCAACGATACCAGAGAGACCAGTGAGGACAATTCGATAAATTTTATCTAAGCCCTTGCATACTGTATAAGCTTGAAGATACAAAGACATATTGACAGTAATTGTCATGCAAAGAGGCATGACACTACCAGCAACACTAGACGCATAAGCCGACCTCGGTACTCTGCTAAAATCCATTGTGAAAGCGGCGTAGAAATCATTAAAGCCCTGGACAAAATAAACAGCAAAGAGCATAGCGCGGAGGAAACCAAATATGAGAGAGAGGGTATTGAGCGCGAAGAGAATGGTTCTGCGCTTGGCGGCTTTGGTAAGAACGACGACGACGAAGAACATCAATAAGCATGCTCCGGCTTGAGCACCATAGTTGATACAACTAGCCACATTGTAGTAGTAGAAAAAGTCGATGTCGGGAGGGGTGATAGATACATTTGTGACGCCATCGGCCATGAGAATGTTAATGGTCTGGGTGAACGGATCGAAGGTAGAGTTATTAGAAGCCATCTTTCTTTTACCGTTTCCGTAGTTGTGGGAAGTTGTAAGTATGGTTCGGGTATCAAAGTAGCAGAACGCTTCGAAGGAAAAATGTAAAGAGTAACTGCAAAAATCGCTATGATGGAATAATCAAAGTATTATTACTAGTAATGCAAGCTTGAAAGGTTGAAGGCGTTCCAACTATATGTTCATGAGTTATTTGTAGGAGGAGAAGAGGATTTATATTCAGGTGGTTCCAGGAGCCTTGAAATAGATACGGCACCACAAGTTGTACTCCCAATGACAGTGTCTCGAGATAATAGCAAGGGCATTACTCTACCATAGTATTGTGGATATGATAGTGAATTGCGAGGATCAAGGTCTTGATATTATCACCGGAATATTACAGCTAAGAACAATGGAACTCTCCTTAGTACTGTTCGAATTTACCGAAATAGTCCAGTTTGACACGACATTTTGAGTACGAAAGAATAAATAGAAAACTTTGGTAGGATAAAAATCAAAGAATAAGTAATTTGTTGCTAATTTTAACCTAGACTACTTAGCAAGATCAAATTGAAAAGCGGAATTGGGTTTGAAAGCACTAGTATTTCACGGAAGTTCAGAAATATGAGCACATATTGTTTGTGACAGGCGTCCTTAGTATTGTTCGTGATACCTTCATATTGTTCTTGTAGGCGAGGCACATGGAGCCACATTAAAACTTTGAAAGCAGTGAATTTTTTGCATGATATGAAAGAGAAAGTGGAACGATCGTCACTGTGCGACCAAAGGGGCGCATTATTTATAAACTTTGTGTTACAAATGAATCAATATGGTGATAATGTAATTTGTTGCATTTAACTTCCTAGGAGTACCGGTGAGGTCATTGACAGTTGAAAAGTTCTCGCACACACCACAATATGCCAAGACTTTAAATTTGGCTTGAGATTCACGTGCTTGAAGGGTGCTTGCAGCTCACGAACAACTCTTTATACGGCCCGTTTCCATGCATCGGCTCGTCACGAATGTAATGTACGTTCAAGTTGATGTTGTGTATTGACCAATTGATCGTATGTGTCGATAACGTTTCTGCATCTTGCCGTTGTCGATATATCATGTCCTATCAAAAGCTAAGTTTTTTATGCTCAATATCTCGAGCTGATTGCCATATTTTGAACCGAAAAAGATTCCGAAGAGGACTGAAAAGAAAACGGTGATATCCAGAGCGGATGAGGTAATAAATTATGGATGTCTCAAAAGGATTTATTTTTACTTTTTTGGAAAGGAAGACTCCGAGCTCGCATTGTGATTGAGCTTAGTATTTCGTCCTCATTGGTACCAAGTAGCTACGCCTGGATACATGCCTAGGGACAGCCAAATTTACAATATGTCAATTCCACATAAAGAAGCTAATCGTAGTATTTAAATACAATGTATGATTGCCCAATAAGACTCGGAACTTGTAAGCAGTGTCTACTTACCTCTCGCGACTAATTTGACCTCCATCCAAATTTATTTTTGGCAGACTTCTTCACCAAACATATGAGATAAAGAAGTAGCCAACCTTAACATCAATTGAGAACAATAAAACATTGTAATCTCTCAGTACTAAACCCAGTTTACACAATACAAGATCTTATTTGTTCAAAATACCATGCCAGTTCTGTAAATCGAATCTCTCTAAAACAATGAATCAAATTTGATAAACTAAATCCATATCCAACAATAGATCTATTGAGAATTTTCAGAATGAACTTATTCTAGCCTATCTAGATCGAGGCAATCTAGACACTATATACATACACCATCTTTGCCACCCTGGTTTCTTCTACTCGTGCTGCAACTATCAGTACTCTTGAGGCAACGTTCCATACAAAGATCTTCTCTATCTTTTGACAAGGTCTAAAGACCCGGAGGAAGCTGTGCAATGGACGGATTTGTTTTGTAACCCATTATTGCGAATTTGAGCAAAGTAGAAGCTCGGAACTCGTTTACTTTTTCTTGAAAAAGAGAAAAAAAGAAAAAGGAAGAAAAGAACCAATTCGAAAGTCACAATCACAATCACAGTAGAAACCAAATAAAAGACCCAGTTTTTTTGATCAGCATAATTAAGATTCAGGAACCGTGCCCAGCATCTACCGAAAAGACTTGTATGTATCGAAAGAACGTGCAAGCCAATTCATCATCACAGTATCTCTAGGACCACCCACTCTCCCAGCTCAAGAGATGAAATCGCAGATCTCATTCGCTATCACCAGATAGAGTCCACTGTTCGATATAAGAGGAAAAATCTAACACAAAGGGAATTCCAAGCCATTCCTCAATCTTCAATAACAACCATTAATCGTGAACCTGTTCCATCTCCAGAGAAATTCATCGGCACTATCCGCTCCGGCTATCGCTAGCGTGCTGAAGATGCTTACTCAGAGTTGGCAGCGAGAGCGCGGGCGAAACGGCGCTTGCTAAGGTTGTACTCAATAGCACGCTTCTTGGCACCGGCGGATTGGGTGAAAGCGACGGATCCACCGAAAGGTCCAGCGAGAGCGCTGTTCTGAACCTTGGCGATACAGACACCGGTGGCGCCACCGACAGAGCCGGAGCAAGTCATACCAGCTGGCATTTGAACGGCCACTGGGAAATCCATGGTTTGAGCGGCGGAAAGACCACCGATACCAATACCTGGGACGTTCTGGGTAACTACAGCTTTCTTAAAGGCAGCTGGGTCGGTTCCACCAGAGGTGCTGTCAATCATTGCGGTCAAGGGTCCAGCACCATCTTGGTTGACTTGATGGAAAGTCATCTTGACAGTTCCGTCATCGGCGCAAGTTGGCATGCCAGATGCGGCACCGGCACCTTCAGCAGCCTTGACACCGGTCTCTGATGTACCTTTTGGTGTCTTGGCACCACCGTTGGCGGCACGGACGACGAGGGAGCGACGATGCATGTTTGCGGCGTGGACCTTACGGGCTTCAATTGCGGAGGTGCTGTTGGCATTGCCACCCATGAACATGGAGATCATCTTGGAAGCGTCGACTGGGCCAGTGGAGGTACGGCCAAGAGCGCTAGCTCTGTTGGTACCAAGCTCGTTAGCTCTGATGATGGAGGTATCGGCCTCAGAACCGCATCCTGGAGTCGCGCAATCACGAGGAGTTCCGTCGGCGACTATATCAACGTGTTAATGAGATGAGACTAAAGAGGAAAGGCGAAGAAGCTACAAGTAACTCCAAGAGATGAGGAAACTTACCCGAAAGAGCAGGCATGACAACCTTGTTGGCACCCTGAACGTCAGTGAGGAGGCCGTGGGCAAAGACGTTGGTGGCACCGAAGGCCAAAAGGAGGATTGTTGAAGTGTATTGCATTTTGAAGGTAGTTGGTTTGTTTTGAAGTTGAAAGACTTTGGAAATTATTGAAAGATAGTTTGTGAGATTAAATTTAAAGCGACCGGCGCAAGATGGAAAGATTGTAAAATAAAGTGAAGAAGATGCTGAAGATGCTGATGATGAAAAAAGAAGATATTCCACTGGGAGAATGAACCTTCTTTATACAAATTGAACTACCGCCAGCTTGGTTGGATGAAAAGACTGGATGCCGAGCACGGAAGGGCATTGATGTGCTTGACCAACCATGTTCTCCCGATGAAAATTTCAAAAGCATACATCTAGACAATGAGGTTTGGTGATACTACTCCGAGACATCAAAGATCCGACCACGTTTCTGTGGGGATAAGTAAAGGACCTAGATTCTTTGAGCCTTGATCTGTGATTTGTCCACACGGACAGAATCAGACTAATGATGGAGATGTCTCTTACAAAGAACTGACATCTCAATGATAACAAATGGCAAAACAGGATGTTTCCTGGTCGATCATGCAATACTGGGATGCGAGATTGCCTAGGGAAAATCTCAAATCTCATCTCGGATCTTTCATCTTTGCTTCTCCAACCTTAAGGCTGATGCTCTAAGTGTTTGGACTTGGCTACTTCTCAGCATGAAGCAGCTAATACTGGTCATCGGATGTTTTGCTATCGGCTACTTACCTGTTTCAAGCAGGCATGGTCATAGAGTTAAGCTTGTTTCGACATCATGACCAGCTCCTAGGACATGAATAGTACCCTATTTCCATCTGAGAAACACAGCCACCGAATCGCAGCAATAGCCTCAAAGGTCTTAGCTGCCGCAGATTATCAAATATGGTCAAAATCTCCTGGCGACCGTGCGGTTGTCTGGGAAAATGCAGCTTTAAATCTTCAATGACCGTGTGTCTGTTTAGCGGGATAAACTTAGTAAGGAAGCCCCAATTGTGGACCTAGGGTAGACTGGCATTGTCGGTGCAAAATCAAAGTTTAGAAACACTCCTCTGTAGCAAATTTGAATTCAGCCACATTAGTTTGAACTTCAATTGCTTCACCATCACAATTTCTTACAAGAATTTGACTCTCTAACGATGTCATCAATGTAGCCACCAGTTCCCGAGTACGAATGACTGTTTGTGCATGATGTAGAGTACTTGCCGTCCAGACTCCAAAGTCACAAGTATTCGTTTTCAATGCCTTCCGTCTATGATTTCCTGCGCCTCCTACGGCTTTAAAACATCTTTGCTCATGCTCACCGAACCGCTAGAATCCCTTTCCCGGGGGATTTTCCCATTAAGGGTTGATATTGGTATGGAATTACTTCCGATGACATGGGCTTAGATAATACAAACAATGCAGACAAAGAATTTTGCAGATTTTGGGGAAGATCTTCGATTTTGGCGGTGTGGTGTTTCGTTGTGAATTCCATGAAACGTGGAAAAGAAATTAAAACGGAGCTGGAGTGAGTCTGTGGTGACATTAGCTCGACACGTGATCCATCATTTCCCGCTATACGCATTTACCGCAACATCGACGACATTTAATATTTAATGGAGAGCATAATAAAAAGTAACCATTGTGCCCCGATCTCGCTTTGAGGCTCGAGTCCTTCGAATATAATATCATCTTGTTCATCCGAAATTATTCTTTTGATTTTTTCTTCTTTGTTTCATACACGTTCTACGATGAGAGCGACTTCAACTAGGTCTTTAAAAATAGCTTGTCTATTTGTGTATTGCAGTGGCGCCTCCATATGAGCTTCTCAAAGGAGACTTGAACCGATACAGTCAAAATCACTAAGAGTTGTCTTTCCTCCAACTAGGCCCTCGCCATTTATGCTCTCTACTATCGCGCATCCGACAGCAACCAACATCCCCGTTTTGAGGTACTTATATCAGCCACGATATGACCTTATGAACAACCACCACACTTTTCCATTTATATGGAGAGGTGGGCGGCCAATCCACAAGGTAGAACGAAGTAGCTCGACACGTCCCAACCATATTAACGAGAATTAAACAACATATTTACTCTCTTGACATGAGATACTTGCCATTATTTATGCTGTTCCCAGCACCCATCTAACATTATAGAAAATTCATTTCCATCTGCGCAGCTGCCGCATTCCTACTCTAAACGATACTACATCTCCGTCTCGCATCATTTTGTCGGCGTCATGGTCCATGCAGTGTCCATGGACGGAGGAAACTTCTATAGGTACGCCATAGAAGAAGATCAGAATGTCTCGTCATCCCTAAGTTGATAAGATTTCCTCGATTTCGCAAGGACACATCGCAATAGCTTCCTGTTCGGTGGAATTGGAAATCATACAGACGGACGCATGTGCGTTCGCTGACGGTAAGCTGTCAACGGAACTTTCGGAGCATAGAAGGAAGCAATGATGAGTATATAATCCTTCTCCATCGGTGTTTTCATGATATATAGTAGCGATTCCTATAAGACTTGGTAATCAGCGAGAGACAAGGCCCAAGGATTATTGTTCAAGGGTAAACTCACGTGACCGAATTCCTTCGATTCCGGGATGACTCGTTGAGAGGCAAATCACGATGAGATAGATGGCGATTTCGAGATCATGAGCGTCTTGTCTCAGCCATCTAATGCTTATAATGACACTGACAATTGTGGTGGTACGAAATACGTACGTATATGAGGTACGAAGACGGTAGGTATGAATCAGTTGATTGATCCTCCGAGATAGTGTCTCTCTTCACCGATGACGGTCCGATCCTACCGGGTTAAAAACAACCCGTTTTTTACAGTACACATGGATGAACTACAGCAAGCGGCATATGCAATATGTAGGTTCGTGAAGAGAGCCGCATGACATGATCGGCTGAACTTGGTTGAAGAAATTCCTGATCTGTCGATCTTTGCAGAATACCTCGACGATCAAACTTGAAGATCTTTTAGATTATTTGAAATGGCTTCTATGAAGAGATGTTTTTGTTGATGACGAGATGCTGACCTAATATGCCTTCTATCAACGTTGAAGAAAAGTTCCATCAGAAGTAACAAATTTATCGGTATCAACTTTAACGTGCCTGAGCCGATTAAAAGTCGTATTCCCTGCAATCTATGGTTAAGATTCGTTTGTCCTCACCAGCCCCTTCATTCATTCGCGTATTTCCTACCAGCCATCAATGCCGTCCCAACGAAATTTGAGCCAGATATACAGACCATATTGCTGCTTTGAGGCTGCCTCATCGGACGATTATGATGGCTATGGCTGATTCAAACATTTGAGAGAACATTGAGTTCCCGCCTTTCCACTTTTTCATTTACAGGGTAAGTCCCTACTGCATTATTCTAGATGGTGAATAAAACTTGTTATATCGGCTCCAAATTCTTAAATACGAATATTAAGCACAGAAACAGCATTCATCAAGAAAAGTCTCCGCCATGTGTATTCAGCTGAAAAATACCCACAAATAATTAAACCATCCAATCACTGGCCCCTAGCTGCAATTATCCGAAGCGCTATCCGAGAGGCGTCGCAGAAATTAAAGATAGTGTTGACTGCCGAAGCTGATGTGAGCTGAACTCAAGAACATTTTGTTTTTAACTTCACCACAAACTGGAGGTTACGAGTAAGGGAACCATGAGTAATGATAACTTGGTTTAGGAATTGCGAATTAGTCAATTTGGACAAACTAATCTAATGTATCCAATGTTTATGTCTGTCACGTACCCGTCCTCACACGATCTTTTTCCTTCTCTTTGCATCACCAAGCATTCCCGCGGGCGAGGATCAGAGGGCTTTTCGTATGTTTGCGTACAACATGGAAAATTGTATTGGTTCCTAGATTACCAGATCCTTCGGACCTTGATCCATCTCATCTATCTATGATAAACAATGGATACCTGCAGTGCCAGTACCACAAGTACTACGCAGTGCATCGCGCTCTACAGGGTAAGTAATGGATAAGAAGAATTCATAGATAGGCTTGGCATAGGCTTTCCAGCAAGGCCTACTCCCAAACTCACCAACCTGCGGATATTCACCAAGACATATCTCGTCCCATTAATGACTATAATGTATACAGCAAGACATTTATCGATCCATTAAATCCCATTCCCAGAAAATATCGCCAACCTTTCAATTGTTGGTTCTAACACTGGGCTTACGTTTTGTACGTACAATAATAACCCTATGGGCGAGCATAACATTACCAGCCCAGCAAAATTAAGAATACGGAGTACAATCCAGCGACCACAGCCTCCTTCATCCATCTCATCCCACCATTGACATGAGATTGGTGCGAAATACGGCGGCACAATCGGCCGCGTTTGTTGATATTTAATTCCTACCTCAACCGGGTCTTCTCCTAAAATGACGAACAAATGGATGGTATGCTATGCTATGCGACAGCACAGTGGTACATCAGGTAGGCATGGAATGTGCAGTTCAATAAAGTACCACGTCTCGTGCTATTGATGTCCCAAGCCTATTTATTCTCGCTAAGTACCGTACCATACACCATTAACACGAATCTAAGACCAGTAAGTGCCCGAAGTAGCGAAATCTTGCCAGCTTGGTATATTGTGACGCTTCCATCGTGAGATGAGGAGAGCTGTATAAACGCTTGCCATTACCATAATCAGAAGTCTCACGACGGAAATGTTGGAAACTAAGCGGGAGATCGCTCCCGCGGGAATTCTTTGAGGGATTCGAGCGAAATCTAGCCTTGTATCTGTAGTACCTTCGTGCAGCCTTACGAGTGGAACCCTTTTAATTACACAATTCGATTGACCTGGGGCCCCCTTCCCGTGTGACTTTTTGGACGATGATTAATGGAGAGCTCTGGGTCAGAAGATTGGAAAGATGGGGAATACGGATTAGATACGAGTAGATAGAATGATATGTTTATCGACCAGGCATGTTGAGATACATGCAGTTTAATTACCGAGAATAGATGATCAAGGGCCATGAATCCATGTTCAACTGTTTCAACCCTGTAGAGAATCAGAACAAGAGGAGGAGTAAAATAAAAACACATGGGAATCGCAACGTGGTAACAAACTAATCTACAACTATCTAGCAACACCGGCCACAATCCCCTCTTTACCACTATATTCCTTACCCAGGTTGGCTGAACCAAGACCTTCTGTCTGTACCATACCAGGATTATAGTGGGGTGTTTTGCATAACCCGGAAACAGGGTTGAGAGGTCTCGACATACAACTTTAAGCCTGACAAGGATTCTTGGGAGAGTTGATTCCATCCACCCAAAAAGGCTCATCCACACGCCCATAGTTTGGGTTTGACGGGAGTATCGCATTCGCCTACTTTCCTTCATTGCCATGCAAATTCGAAAAGATGGCAAAAGAAATTTGGCCGGCCTAGCTCGCTCTTACTTGCATGGCCCTGACAGACAAGTTTCTTCCATATGGATTCAGAGGGTATGCCTACCTTACATACATTTGCATGCATGCGCGTGAGATCACTTGCTGACAGTAGTCCCGGGATGTCTGGTTTAATTGCCCTCGAGTTTACCAAGTATCATTCCTTAGCGAAGGACTTCCCTAATCCATCATTCCGTATTTGGGCACCCGGCTCAGATCTCTACTTAAGTCTTCAGCTCCCAAGTGAGTTTGTGTAGATGCATGCTTGATCTACTTTACATATATATAGTTCTCCAATCTGCATCTTTACCTCCTTCTTTCCACTCATTGCTCCCAGTCTGCGATCTTCAATCGATACCACCGTATCAGATAATCTAACAAGAGAGATCACGAGACTCAGCATCATCTGCAATTGGTCATGCCTGTTGTCTCTGAACCCACCATGGGACTACATCATGCGTATATATATAGATTCTTCTCCGGGATATTCACGCCCTACCTATTCCTAAGCATATTCTTCTTTCTATGCATCACAATCTTCATACGGAGGAAACGGAGCACCGCCACAAAGGTGCAATATCATTTCCCACCAAGTCGCCCCTCCACCCCTCTTCTCGAAAAATCCAATATGAACTTCTTCCCATACATGGACGAAAAAGTAAATCCAGAAGCCAGCAACCCATCCCAACCCAGATCCAACAACCAATCCTCCACATCCTCCTCCGATTTCATCACCTCCCCACCATCAATCTCGACCTCACCCCAAACATTCTCCCGACCTCTCCCACCACCACCCTTCACTCACCCCTCACCCCTAGAACCTCTCCCCTACTCGCCCATCTACGGAGGAAACTCCGGATCTCCGTCTACAGAAAACGTCCCTCCACGTCGTCGCTCCTACACCAAGCCACCCAACTCTCTCATCAATACCCCCGCAGTAAGCGGCGAGATAATTTCCGGCGATGGCTGGCGCCGACATACGCGGGTTTTCGGGGGAGGAGTCTGTGAAGCGTGTGCTGAGAGTGAGAGGAGGATGAGTGCTTGACTATATGAGCGGGGGTTGGAGAATCTGGAGAGATTGAAAGGGGATGAGGTGGTGCTTGGATAGGAGCGTGTTGTTATTGGGGTGTTTGCTGGTGGAAAAGGTAGGAGGGAGCCGAGGGAGATTTATGAGAGAAAAGTGAAGAGATGCAGCGGTAAAAGGGAGATGATTGATCAGAATGAGTATGTGGTGGAAATCATGGAATTGCATATGCATATTATTCAACAAGACGGAATGAACATGGGATCCTAGAAATTAGACGCAAACGCGAGGTTTGAATTCACGCATGCAAAATAGTCAAAGGGAGTAATTTCACGTGATAGGTTGAAAGCAATGAGATGAGATGCATGAGTACCTATTCATTACAGAGCCATCAAAAAGACAGCCAAAGAAGAAAAAAAGAAGAGGAAGAAATCACTAACTACCAAGCTTGAAAGAAGATTCGAGATACCCGCCAGTGGTAACGTGTATTTAGCATTAGCATCTAGTATCTGCTAGGTATTCACAGGCGTTAATGACAGATCACCTGCGAAGGGGGTTGGGATTGGATTTATTTGGTTCTCTTATGGATGGAAGGAACCGAAGAAAAGAATGGAAGAATGGAAGAAGGAAAGATTTATAGATGTTACCAACCAAATACGTTCATGGCGAAATCTACTGTCGATATTTGGATCATCGTAGAACCTAGATGGATAAAAAATCACGAAGTCAATGAATACAGTTTTTCTCTTACCAGCCGGTATTTCACGTATATACATACATGTGCGCGTTGAAAGTGGTGGCTGCTTAGTCTAAAATGTTATAGGGTATATATTCTTGTTTTATGAGATGAAGGCGCGAATAAAGCTAGACGTGAATCTTAGAATTTTGGTATGTACCAATCTAACATCACAATTCTTGTTTCCTATTCTCTGCTCGTATAAATCATTCAAGATTTTGTTTCACGACTGCATCCCCATGTTCAACGCCACAAGACTTGCCGAAAGTAGGTTTCCTCCTTAGTAATACACCTTTTCCGTCGAAGTATCCAATAGAGAAAAAGTTATGTAAGAAGTATACTGTAGCAAGTAACACCGAAGCCCGCTATGCTAAGAAAACAAAACATAAAAGTAATTTCAAATCCCAATCTACAGGGGAGACGAGAAGCTCATTCAATAGCACTCTCGGACATATTCCCACTCGAGCCAATGTTCGCCACACTTGAGTTTCTCTGCATAGCTTCTTGGCTTTCTTTAAATTTTTGCCAGCCTTCAGGGTCATTCTCAATGAGTCCCCGTCGGAGAATACTAGCTTCATTATTCAGCTCGGCTATTACAGCATCTGGGCCAAGGGTCTCTAGCTTGTTTCTGATGTCTTCGCCATGAAGGTCTTCAACCATGGATCTTAAAAACTGCATATGTGCTGGCTGAATTTCGAGTCCAGTTGTCCCGTGGAGATTATCCTCAACTTCGGGTTTGAGGATATTACGACGGATTTTCTGTCCAAAGCGATGCATTCTGCCTTCTTCCTGCGAAAGTGCTTTGGAGGCCAACGAGACATCAGAGTTGTGACGAGATAGAGTGGGGCGTATCCCTCCGTCGTCGTGTCCTCCCTCTTCATCTGATGGTTGATTATCAGCAAAGATTGGTTCGGGTTCAACGTCTGATTCTTGATAATTAATCTGAGGTGGGTATGCATCGCCCATCGTTGCTGTTCGCTCCGTACCAGGTTGTGATGGTGATAAGCGGGTCTCGGGAAATTCATCCTCGAATCTTTTGATCATATTTTGTAGTGTATGATCAAGAAATAGTAATCGGTCTGATTTGCAGTCAGCTTTTGTCAAGTTACACCAGCATACTGATGAATAATTCTTACTGTAATTTTGATGATCACCAGCCTTCAACTCCTTGACTAGTACAGGTTGTAATCGAGTCCGAATCTTCCTCGCACTTCCCAATAAATTCTTTGACATATCCTTGGCTTTGCCACCCTTAACAGCAGGGTTCGGGGTGGCCGAGCTGCTGCTCGGCCTAGATAAATCAGAGAAAGCCAAATCAGCTGATGGTCTCCTAGAGTCATTCCCTTTGTTCCGTAAACAGATACCCAAAGCTTTAACCACACCTGTCCCACCAATCACATAATCCTCGTCCGGAGCTGGTTCATCGTCATCATGGTTGTCTTGGACTCCTACATGTCCCACAATGTGCAACAATACCTCAGGAACTGCAACATCTTTCTCATTTGCAGTTCCATGGGGATCAGGCATTGCAGGAACGGCTTCACTAATCTCAGCAACGGCGCCACGTTCCATGTTCCATAGGCAATAAGCGACAACTTGCTTAGCCAAAGCCTTTACAATTTCGGACGAATCGCTTGATGGAACTTCAATATCAATACATACGATTGATTGAGAGACTCGAACCGCGGCCATCAGTGAGGCATATAATGCACAAGCCTCTTCCTGACTTGCTTCGTCTTTCGCATTTGCAAGAGCAGCTAGTTGCCTATTTTCCATAATGGTTACATGCGCAAGACTGGGGCTCTCTGGTAGGATTTCCGCAAGGGCGATGGCTTGTTCCGGTGTCATGGATACATTTGTCAAATGTATGCGCTTGAGCTGAGGTAAACGTGGTAGATATCTGATATATGTCAGCCAATAATATCCCATGTGATCGTAATCGAAACATAATTGAATTAGATTTAGCAGAGCTGAAAGAATCTTCATTGAAGCCTCGCAGTTCAAGTTGCTGACATAAATGAAGCAAATTACTGGTTGCGGTACGAGACCCCTCAAAATGACCCAGCAATAGTACATAGAATGTTATATGTATCCGGTCACGTCTCCGTTCACATAATTACCACCAAGTTTGATGATATTCCGGCATTTATCTTGCCAGAATGCTCAATGGCCTCTCGGAATATAAGGTCGAGGGAAAATCATAGGGCCAAGGATTGATATCAAAGATCGTCATGTCCAACCATGCAGAGATGACTAATCTTCACATATATATTGTTACACAAAACAGATGGGAGAGAATATAAACGTACCTGCGCAGGAGAGAAAGTGCGCTGGGATTCGATTCGAACAAATCATGGTTCTGTGATAGGTCGATAAACTTGAAGTTCTTCAGCTTTGCCAGGGCTGGGAAAAGATGCCACAACGAGTCTGGATTGAGATTACAGTCCGCCAAACTCAGGGCGTAAATTTTGTTGTTCTCATCAAGCGCATTCGCAATGGTCTCCAGAGAATTTTTCAGATCATTACCACCAAGATCAAGGCCTTCGCAGTTGCCGCATCTTATCCATCTAGCAACATGCTCTATCCCTACCGATGTGATTCCATTGCCCGCGAGACCAAGACGCCGCAGACCAGATTTTATAATACCATTGACTAATTCATCTAGCTGCTCGCTGTTGAGGCCACAGTGACCCAGATTCAAAAGCTCGAACTCTGACCCGGCTAGTCGATCCCCAATAGCCTTAGAAAATAAGCAAGAAATGGTGTTGCTCGTACTACTCGTATTACTATGGGTTTTCTTCAAATGGCCAGAACCACTCACAGGTGGCGTAGTGACACCCTGGGGAAAAGGAATTCTTGAGAGATCCAGGGTCTTCAATGACCGGCACATATTAATGAACAGGGAGATATGGCGCCAACCATCTTTACCGATTTTATTGTTGTTTTTCAGAACCAGGCGTTCGATAATGCCACCTTGAGGAGACTGACTCTCTTTGCGAGCGCGCGATTTTCTACCGTATATTGGTAACTTGGCCGCCAAAAGACCAGCCAAAATGACACGAACACCTTCATCAGTAAGTCCGCAATTTTCCATTATTAATTCTTTCACTGGAACTACAGCTAAGTAATCCCCTAACGTAACAAGGTCTGGTAGTTGTAGCCAATAGCCTGAGAGATCTAATTTGCCAACAAGACCAGGAAGTGTAGCAGTTGCCACCGATGCTGTGAGTTGCTCAACGATTCTCTTTAAAATTGGCGTTTCTCTCAATTGGCAGCATCTCCTATATATCCGAGCAGGGTCCGTGGTAGGTGAAGCATGAGTTTTAGGAGTTGCAGAAATCGGAGTTGTCGAAAGTGAGCTGTCACTCTCATCGATCTTCAACTCGACTGGAATTGTACCGTTCGCCTCAGCAAGTCTTCGTTTCTTCTCCTTCCTTGCTTTTCGTTCTTCTTCGCTGCGCTTTTTCTTCTCTTTCTTTTTTGTATTGTCCTTCTCAGCTGGTGGAGAAGATTCCCTGGTTTCTGATACGTTCTTGGAGCCTTCAGGCTGGGCACTCTCGGAAGGCTTCTCGCCGGATTTGCCAACATTTGTTTTGGGGACATCTTCTTGTTCCGTGTCCGTCTTAGAGTTGTTCGGATTCTTCAACGCAGCCCCTTCTCCCTTTTCTTGGGACTGCTTCATTCTTTCTTTATTTTTATTTTCGATCTCGTCAGATTCTTCCTCGTCCGTATACCGAGGACCACTTGCTATCTCAACATCGACGCAGAAAGCGACTCGTCGCAGTTTTGACTGTTCAAGCCCGAATATGGGACACCTCTCCCGATGATGGTCGACATTCAAGACCTTTCTTTCGCATAATCCACTATGGCCTTTTGCTGATCCAGACAGTTGCCCACCCGAGTTTGACAACCTCCGCAGAGCACTTTGTAAGAAGCTGGGACCGTTTCGCGGAGGTGCTGGGACATAAGGTGCATCGCCATCCTCCTTTACCCCATGTACTAATACAGCATTCTTGGGTGCACTCGGTCCTGCAGGTCTATGTATCAAAGGCTCTGTAGGTAAAGCCGCCGCTGAAGCACCGGGGGATACGCTCGTATGGTTGGCGGATTGTGACCCAGTGAACTTTGAGGATATACTCGATAACCATGAATTTCTGCGGGACATGTTGGGCGATGTAGAGGCTTTTGGTGGTGTGCCATTTGCCGTGACTATCCTTTCCGAAGATACATTTCTAGATACACCGGGTCGAGTTGGAATCGGTTGTGAAGGCGTTGCAACATGTTGCTCGTTCTCGTTCTTTGGAGGGGTAGAGCTGTTTGGTGGGGGCGGACTAGATTTTCCTTGTGAACCAGACGCATCTGGAACCATTCGAGGTCGTTTTACGTCTAAAATACATAACTCCAGTCAGTCGCACCTACATAGGAGATAGATTTTCAAGTAAATTTTTCTAATTCACACGGCTATTGCTTCTACTGACCTTTATTGTTTGAGCTGTGTGTCATCCAACTGACATCCACACCTGTCATTTGTTCCATTGTGTAAATATATCTCAAAGCGGATCTCGTGCAGTCTGCGACTTATCAAAGGATATCTCCTAATTGGTCTGCAAAGAGGTTTTTATTTCGTGGTTCTCGCAATAAAGATTTGTTATCGCTTCCAGGATTCTCTATGTCTCGTAATATGTCTCGTTGCTGATGTGAGCAGTCCTATTGGTACAAGTCCATGATTGCGTTTGTGCCACCATGAATGTGACCGACGGTGGATAAATCAATTTGTGAATGAAGTCTAAACCAGATACCACAAAATTACCAGCCTAGTTACCTATGTTGGTTCGCAATGGTGATCAGACATCGACTCATACAATGAAGCAACGAAGTGGAACAGTTGAAGAATATCGTCATGTGTCGAGGGTCTGGTCGGAATCCGGGGGTCAATGCAAGTGGGCTAAGTCCGCTCGGTGATTCGATGTGATTCGATAATTTGGTAGGAGAATCCACAGTCTCCTGAGCAGTGGTGCGAAAAGCATATAAAACAAGGTGCGAGAAATTGAATCTTACGATGAACACCTGCAATCAAGAAACGATGGTGACATTGGTGTGATATGGTGGGGGAAGGGTCATAATAATTAGAGATGGGTAAAATGAATTACCACTTTGATATTTGAGATGGGGTTGCAATCATTTTGCTGAAAGGAGTTGTGGAAATTTCTGAGTAAGCAAGCACTTTACACCCAATACCTATCTACCCAGTACGAATATGCTTGAGAGGAAAAGGAGAAATGGTGCTAGATCATCAAACAACATTTTAGAAATAGCATTGAGTGGCAATGCAAGTCAAAACATAGTCGCCCACCATCATCTGTTCTTCAGCATAGAAATACATTGGTTCATTATTCATCAAGATATTTTATGTTCTAGTTTCAAGGGAGTATCATTTTTTTTCGCCTAGCTAGAAAACCCATATCCGAAATATCATTTTGGAAATTGATGAGCTTATTCTCTCAATTCGGCGATCTTGGCCTTGACTCTCTCGCGCTTCTCGTCCTTGGTCAACTTGCGTCCCTTGTACTTCAAAGACTCCTGCTTGTACTCGTCCTTTGATTTCTTCTCCCCATCAACCTTCTTGAATGGATCCTCACGGATAGCCTTGTGGGCCTCTTGGTACAACTCCTCCAATCCATCGGCCTCAATCTCGTCATCGATGTAACCTTGGAATTGAGACTTGTAACGCTCCTCATCATCATCTGCGAGGGTCTCCATGTACTCAGCGACGTGTCCGCCGAAGATGTATTTGCGGAGAGTCTCAGCATCGAGCTCCTTGGTCTCCATGTCGTAACCTGGGAAACGGTTCTCGGAGTGGGGAACGAGGATACCACCATCAGATGCACCCTTCATGGCTCCAAAGATACGGGCACCAGTGGAAGTGCGGTGGAGACCGACATCGAGGAAAGCCTTGAATGGACGTCTCTCCTCATCACCAGCAGCCTCGGTGAGTTGGTACTCTCCATCAGCTTCTTCAACACCAGTGAAATCCTTGTCCATACCGAGCTTCTTCAAGACACGACGGGCGATAAGGAGACCAGTGCAGTATGCGGCAGCCCAGTTGGTAAGACCGTGCTCAATACCGTAGGCCTTGAGCTCGTGGGAGTATGCGGCGCAGAAAACCTTGTCACCAGTGATTTCGGAGGTAACGATTTGCATGACGATGTCGCGGTTGGTGAATCGGACAACGAGACGGTATTTTGGCGCATTGTACTTGTTCTTGGCTTGAGTGATGAGACGCTTTCTGGCGTAGTAATCGGTCTTTCCGGAACGACGGCGCTTGTACTTAGTCTGGTAGCGACTGACTTGTTGTTAGAATGCGATGGTTGCTTTGTGAAGGATATATTGAGCTCACCTATAGTACGCGGAGTTCTTGACCAGCTTGGTGAAAGGCTGTAAAGATTCCAAAAGTCAGCAACCTTCAATTTCTCGAAGCATTTTGCTATTTGACTTTTCAAGGATTCAGAGACATGGGATGTTAAATGCCAATAATCGCAGATATACTGCAATCATAGTATTTTAATTTTAACTCACCATCTTGTTCGATTGACCGCACTACTGGAATATGAATTGTCGTTGAAGGTGGAAAAGAATTTCAGGAAGGGAGATTTTAAAATCAATTCAAAAATCAATGCTGTGCGAGACCCACTTTAAGGCTTAAGCGAATAGAGGAGGAGCGCATTGAGGTGGGGGACGAAGCTGGTCACGTGCCAATCCACGGACCATTCGACAAGAAGATGAGAGCTAGTTTCTCCTTGGTCTACAGAACTAGTATCTGTCCCACCTTTCAAGTGTCTTATTATTCCACGTCTAGGTAGTTTTTCAAATACGAAAGTCCTAGACATGTAAGGAATCAGTAAATTGCTGATTTCGTAGTCTGTACAGCGCCACAGTTATATCCCAAGTCTCGTTACTACACTTGTAATGATTCTCCATTCATCACAAAAACACTCCAATTAAAATCATTAAAACTCGCAGAAGTATTCATGGATCCTGCGGCGCGGTATGCTCCAAAGTCATCCCAGTATGGCCTCAAGTGATTTCTTGACGTGTTGTATAATGGCCGTTTGCTTGTTACCCCAAAAGATATCGACTCTGATTCTGAAGCTGATGAGGTCATCATCAGTTCCGGTGCTACTGTTGCTGCCATTGTCGGCCCAGAAGGTCAAAGCATGTGTGGGTAGATTCAAATTTCACTGGTCTTTATCATTATTGTTCTTGTATACAATAAAATCCTCGTCCATACAATCATCAGTGCTATTGCCGATTTCATTTCACTTCCCTGGACGGATGGCATTTTCAGCGCGGCAAGGAGATAACTTCAAGGTCGTTTTTCCAGAAATCGATAGCCAAATAAAATTCAGCCCTAGAAATTTATTAGGCCCAGTGTGTCCAATATTCAGGATCAGTGGGTTTGAAAAAAAGAAAAAGAGTCCAGAGCTTCGAAATATTATCATTCATCTGCAGTGTGTTATTTATCTCAACCGGTTGAATCGTTTGGATGGTTTCAATGTTCGAAATGACGCGAAAATTCCAAGAGATTCAATGTTTGAAGGCAATTAAAAGATCATGAGTGTTTCATTGTTGGGCTCCAATCGAGACTATTGGAAACTCAGGTTGGGACTCATTTATGTCCATCACATACATTACCATGTACTTTCGTTCTCATTCTATTCCTCGTTGAGAGCGGCCTTGGTGACGGTTGTTCTGATAATCGAAGGTAGACGAGTGGCAAAGCCTGAAGAGCATGTCCTTACACCTGGATATGTCTTTATAGCAGCGGGAGATCTTCGAAAAAAAACTACCATCTACACTGCACAGCTTGCACCGGTCATGGTCGCTACCGCTGAGGCAGTTGCGTTGATATTTGCCGTCCATGCCTTGGGCCGAACTTGTACTGGTGGATGCGGGGAAAATTCCAAGGTATAAGTGATAATAGCTTAAGCCAGCGATGATTCAACAAAGATATATTTGGGACACAAGAGCACGAATAATTGATAATTTCCTATCAACCCGAAGAAAGAGACTTGATTGCGATGGATAAAATGAATCACATATGAAAGTATACTAATTTCCATACTTACTTTAAAGATTTAAAATATCTACACTTGAGAGACGCATTGGATTGTTAAATCTGATTGGGATTTGAAAAATTTAAGCCTTGAGGGCCTCTGAATAGCTTTCGAAAAGCCTTATGAGGCGGATATAACAATAGATGTTAGGAGCGCAATATCTTTCGTGCAGTGCATGGGGGGTGGAGTTAGGCACTTGCGAGAAATTTGTAGTTTGACCGGCACGTACGATATCCTATGATGATGGGACACATGAGACACTGTGGCAATAATTTGATATGATAATGAGATCAATGATTACATCGCAATCCTACAAAATATATTGCATGGTCTGCAAAAGCAAGGACATGTAATTGCACGTGATCACGAGAACGTTTTGTTTGCATTGACCCTTGCTCGGATTATCCTTGCAATCTGGATTGTTTGTTTACATGACAACACAGAAGATATATGTGATGAAGAACACTATAAAATTACTTAATTCGACATCAATTTCCACATGAATACAATTTTGAGTATTCCTAAAGGCTCATATCCAATAACTTCAATCTGAGCCAGCAAAAATGGATGCAGATAACCTGCGCACCGCGTCGCTGTATATCAACAACCAGCTTCTTTCTCGAGGATTACTGCGAAATGGGCAAACAATTGACTTTGCACGCCCGCATAAATCGGAAGACGGATTAGATGTCACCATGGGGAAGATAATGAGTGTGGTGAATGATCTGATTTTGAGGAGAGATGTAAGTCTCATAAGCGCATCTCAGCCTTAATGCATCAAACAGAAAAAAAAATCGAAATTGACGGAAAGTTAACAGCGCGATTCTCAACAACGAGAGAATCTCTCTCAAACAATTCGAGCTTTACGCGCAGATGCTTTGCGATCGACGACTGATATGGAAAGGATCACGACAAAAAACACCGAATTACAACGAAAAGTTGGAATAGCGGATGCGACGGAACGGGCTTTGAAAACACAGTTGAGGAGTGCGGAACAGGCTGTCAAGGGCTTGAAAGAGGATATGGCGAGGATGAAAGTCCTGGTGGGACAGACAAGGGCGCAGTGTGCGAATGAAGTTAGAAAGAAGGAAAGAATTATCGAAGGAATGAAGAAACATGTCGCTGAAGGTGGGAGAGCAAGGGGCAGTGGGAAAGCTGTGGGTGTTGCGACTATTAATGTAGTCCCTGGAGTTGGAGGTGAGAATGGAAGCGGGGAAGGAATGGGTACAAATGACGAGGGGTATGATTTGAGAATGGAGACGAATGAGTTTCTGACGGAATTGGCCAGAGGATTAAGTGACGAGAATGAATCATTAGGGGGATTGGTGAGAAGGACCATTGAGACATTGAGGACGGTTTCTGGTTGCGAAAAAGAGGAGGAGCAAAGAGGAAATATGGTGGTACAAATGGAGGGCTCTTATGAGCATCTTGCTTCTGAAATGGAAATCGTAATTGAACATCTACGAACGATCCTGACAAATCCGTCATTTGTCTCGCTAGAAGAAGTGGAGGTTAGAGAGGAAGAGATCATAAGATTACGAGAAGGTTGGGAGAAAATGGAGTCTAGATGGAAGGATGCGGTGCAGATGATGGATGGGTGGCGCCATCGAATGGCTAGAAGTGGTCAAACCGTCAACATTGAAGAATTGAAGATGGGTTTAAGCCTGAGTCCATTCAAGCCTACGGCAGAACCTAATTATGAGGTTCTTCAATTATCGATGGTGCAGGAAGAAGACGAGGAAGAATATGAGGATGAAGGTGAAACACAGGCAGATATTGATGCCATGGATGATTCGGGCATTGGTGGTCATGCGGAGCCTGACTTCCATGACGAGGAAGAATTGAGTGATGCTGAGTCTAGCATTTTTGAAGAAGAACCCGAGAAAACAAGGCAAGAGGAATTTGAAGCTGAGGAGGAGGAGGAAGTAGAGGAAGAGGAAGAAGAAGAAGAAGAAGATTATGATGAAATTGCTGAGGAACAACAACAACCTGCAGACATGACTTTGGATACAGTATCATCTCTACCTGGGACACCACCTCAAATGTCCCCTCTTCGCGAAACAACCAAAGGAAACCGAGGTAGTCCCACAAAGCCAAGTCCTAAGGGATTCACTACTATTATTGAAGAAAATACCTGGGATCTCTTACAACTCGAGCAATCCTCACATAATCACAAATCTATATCAGCCCAAACACCTCAGCCTCTCCCCCGAAAAGAAAAGAAGGGGGAAGTAAAACAGCTCTTCGTTGCATCCGCCGACCAAACCTCCGCTCCCAAAACTCCAGTCCCAACTCTCTCCGCCCATTCATCAACTAGATCCTCAACCAGATCCTCCGTCGTAAGAGAAACTAGATCCTCAGCCGCAAGAGCAGCTTCAGCTAAAAAGCCCGTCCATCAAACACCCAAACCAAAAGCCACTCCCAAAGTCCAACTTCAACCTCCTACATCCGCAAGCCGCTTGCCTCGACCACCCCATATCCCACCTCAACAGAGTCCTCTCACCATGGCTAGCATAGCCGCTAAACTCGCCGCATCCGAACGTGAAGCAGACGCTGCAAGAGTAAAGGCTAAGTTGAAAGCAGCAAAGTTAGCACGCAGTGCTGCATCTACTACCAGCACGACTGCCCCACGATCCGAAAGCCCAATTAGGAAAAGGGAACCGGAAGTCACGAAACTAATGCCTCCACCTTCTTCGCCTGTCAGAGAGGAACCGATCAAAGGTGAAAGTACCAGTAGCACAACGATGAGAAGTCCCGAAAAAGACTTGAGTGCTGTATCAAATAGAAAGAGAAAGGTCAGAGCAAGTAGGGACAAAGAGCTTGGAAGAGCTGCAAGGAGAAGAAGTACATTGAGTCCGTGGGAACTGGAGAGTTTAATTTTAGGCGGGATGGGATCACCAAGGAAGGAGGAATGATGTGCATAGATATCTATAGTGCGGCGTCACGGATTAGAGCTTTTTGTTATTCTTTATTCATGAAGTTATGACTGTTGATTGTATAAAGAGGCCTAGGTGGTCTTTCCCCTAATACCAATTTTTGTTTTGTATGTAGTATGTCTGCCTGCATACATTGGACGCGTTTTCTTTTTCTTTCTTTTTCTTTCTTTTTCCTTCTCAAGGAGGTGGAATGTTAAGTATAATTTCATTCTTTTGTGCTTACTTCACTTCATAGTGTGGCATTGCATATATCTATCTTTAAATCTCCAAATATGTCTTAGTTATCCTTCCACTCCTAATCATTTCCTCTCTCAATATCCCTACAATTTAACATCCCTCCCCTTCCCCTTAACCCCCAACTTAATCGGTATCTTAGGATGTTCCCCAGTCAACTCTAACCCGGTAATCTTCTCTAGCTCATCAACAGCCTCATACGCACGTCCTAATTCTACCTTTAAAGTACGGAAGCCGGCTGTCTTGGCAGCTTTGAGATTCTCTCCAATATCGTCTAGAAATAGAATATCTGATGGGGAGAGAGGAGGAGAAGAGGACTTTTTTGAGGAATAATGATTGCGGAGAGTTTGTAGTGCTAAGGAGTAGATTTCCGGGGAGGGTTTGCGGAGGTGAACATGTGCTGAGGATATAAATACATCGAAGATTTCGGAAATGAAGGAATATGGTTTGGAATATGGATGATCGGGGGGAAAGATTACGGTGTTGGAGAGCCCGGCTAGGATATATTTTTTGGATACTTTTAGTTTTTGGAGACAGGGGTACATCCTATTGTGGTTATATTAGCACTAGATTCACGAAATCCTGAGATTGGAAACGTGGGGAGGTGCAGGAGAACGTACCAGGGATCAAACTCCCTTGAATTATCCATCATCGACCAGAAAAGTGCTTCGCCGTCTATTTGCGGTACGGGTGGGACTTCCGATGGGAGAGAATATTTTTCTCGCACGGAATTATAGAAAGAGGTCCAGAAAGAGGGGTGGCTAAGATCAGAGGTGAAACCGGCGTACCAAGAATCGTTTAATTCTAGTTCACCACGTTCGAGACGGTGCCTGCATCAGAGATTAGTAGAGTACTTTTTTAATATGTAGATCGCTTACCAGAATCCGTTGGGCTTGTTTTTGGAGATGGCATAGTTAATCCAGCCGGGTGGGATGTTGTTGGATATTTCGAAATCGAGAATTCCTTGCATGGGAGAGAGGACCTGGGAGGTGTTAGGGGTTGTTTAGAGTTGTGATAGCTGGTTATATGTAGGATAATATGTATGGTTGCTAAAAGGAAGATGATGAACCTCACTACAGACACATCATTCTCTCACTCAACGCATCTACAGTAACAAAAAGATACTACGAAACTTTTCGTGAATCTGTTGTCGTGCATATATATATGCAGACGACCGATCTATAAATCCAAACTACTCCAAAGAATTGCAAACTTGTAATTTCAAGCTGAACACTCATCATGAGATTGACCGCTAATTCTAACTTCAAATGCTGCGGCACGAAACATAAAGAAGGAATGATTACTGACACAAACACCCCCAATATCAAATAAGATAACTTTCGGTTGATTTTCTGAAGCCATGATAGACTCTATACTCTCCAAAACAAATTCTACAGAATAATCTTCTTCTGACATTTGGAATGAGATGTTCTGGTGATATTCTATCATCGAATTCAATCATGCTCCGTGAACCTCGGCATCGGGGGTCATTGACTAATTATTTATGCCGAAGAATATCCGCAAGCTTACCCAATCATCGCTGCCTTTGTTCATTCAGATATCAATTCGCGTTCATCAAAGCGCGACTTCCATGAACAACTTTTTGATCGACAACTACATAATTTCCATTCATAATTTGTGTTAATATAACTGAGCGACATGCCTCCTGCTTATTATGGAGAGGAAGGAATGGGGCCTTTGGAGAAAGGACGGCATCGTTACCAGAAAAAGAACTATCAAGGAGCTTTGGTGGCATTCACAGAGGTATTCATCATTTCTCGTTAGCACGTGCTAGCCGGTCATCTCTTCTCCAGAACATAATCAACATCGCAACTTTCAAATACTGACTTTTATATGCAGGCCGTGAAGATCAGTACTGGTCATCTATTACTCACTGCTTTGAATCATCGTGCTGCTACATTTGAGAAGCTGGATCAATTACAGTCAGCTCTTAAAGATGCGAAAGAAATGCTTGAATTAAAGCCAGAACTTTCGAAAGTGAGTTATTGTCATCACTTGGGAAATGAGTTGTTGTCATTGATCAAATCTCTAGGGCTATCTTCGATGTGGAAAAGTTCTACAACTCAAAGGAGAGCATGAACTTGCCTTGAAAATCTACCAGCGTGGGCTTAGGAAGGTCAAAGTTGACACTGACAAAGACCGTGTGGTAAGCTCTGGTATTCTTGATAGATTTCTATTGCTTTTTTAACATTCAATTCAAGACTCTCCAAGCCATGTTCAACAAATTGCAAACATCACAGGCCCCGAGTAAATCACTAGATCCGCTCGCATATCTGCCCTTCGAATTGGCAGAAATGATAGCCCAACAACTTACCATTCGAGAACGAGTGTATGTCAAGAATAACTTCTTTGTCGATTTTGGCTGACGGTCATTAGGATGTGTTTGACTGTCAGCAAGTCATGGAAGCGGGTATTAGAATCTTCTCATAAACTCTGGACTATCCTCGACATGACTAATGTTAGAACTGAAATCTCTCATAAAGCTTTGAAGGCATACCTTAAAAGATCAAAGTATACCCTATATGAAGCTAATATTAGAAATGGTACACTCGCTGCACCAAAATTGCGATACCTCACTGTAACTTGTAAGGAATTGCAACGCCTTACATTACACGGCCATAGAATCATTGGAGAATCCTTAATATCGGCACTCCCCGAAGCCAAGTCATTGCGATATCTGAACTCGCGTGGCTGTGAAATCTCTTTTCGGACTCTCCTGGAAGCGTTACGGCAGGTGCAAGCAAGAATTGAGGAAGTTAAATTTTTTAATGTCAGTTGTCTTTCTTCGGACTCCGCATGCATGTGGCCAAGGCTAGAAAACCTGCGGGTTTTGTATGTGAGGAGATATCAGAGTATTGGCATACCGTTGGTAAGAATTCTAGAGCTTTATCTTTTATACGCCCCTAATATATTGATTCTAATTTCTTCTACAGAACAACTTAATCGAATCAGTCCCAAATATACAAACCTTAGCCTTGCAAGGATTTTACTTAGCAAGTGCCGCACCACTGAATTTGAGCGAGCTCAGAAGTCTGAAAGATCTTGAACTCAAAGATTGCGATTTGAAAATACTTCCATTACTGCCCTCGACACTCAAGAGTCTTGCGCTGGATAAGAACCTGCGATTATCAAATCAGAAAGACGATACCCTTCTTCTTCCTCTTCTGGAAACTTTCAGCTGTGAGACTACCGGACTTACCGAAGGCCTGATTGTTTCCACAATCAAAAGCACTTCAAATCTAAAGCGCCTACTCATAGGAAGTCGACTCGTCGGGGATTATGCTGTCGCTCATCATGATTTTCCTTCATGCGATAGTATCGAAGAATTACACGTCAGCTATCTACAGTACGATGAACAAAACCTTATAAATCTCGTAAAGAAATGTCCAAATCTCAAAACGCTGGATATTAGCTATACGAAAATTACAGGTGTTGCCGTGAAACAATTTGTGGATCAGGGCATCAAGCGGCTTAACTTGAGAGGTTGCGATAAAGTGAGCCCAGATGCTGTGGAATTTGCTCGTGGGAAGGGTCTTGATGTTACATTTAACTTTGCGGCGGATTTTGGATCGACTTTTAGAGATTCGTTTTAATAGAATTTGAGAGGTTGTCTGTAGAATTTTAATGGGTGATGTTGTGTTATGATCTTTTGTGTTTATAAGCGCAGGGGTTTTTAAGACGGGCTATCGAATTCTGGATGCTCGTTCATTTTGTTGTTTTAGTTAGACTTTGAATTGAATATTCAGATGAGAGTTCTCGATTACGTTCTATTATCAAAATTAAAATTTATAATCAATGTATTAGTTTGCGCTGTAACATTTTATAAATTATATACATAGTTTATTTCTTAATTGAAGAGATATATATACTTTAAAAGGAATATTCTGTTACGCCGAGTAACAGGAAACACTCACGTGTAATCAATATCACGTGACTGGCTCAGTAAGGATCAGTGAGCTCAGTACTGAGCCGCACTGATCCTACTGAGTAGCCATCGGTACGAAGGTCTATATAATCTAGATGAATTTCCTTTGTATAGAGCTTCGTGCTCAAGATCAATCATTTAGTATACTCTACTATTAGTTACGAATTGTATTATTGTCATTACTTTAAGTCCCTGCTTGACGCCTAGTTATAAACCACCTCGAGAGCCTAGAGCACTTTCACGTGATCTAGACGGCAAACCTCGTAACATTTTATTATTTTTATTATTTTTATTATTTTTATTATTTTTATTAAAAAGTTATTAAAGATTTTTGTCACCATTCACCATTAGGATTAGTGTCCTAGGATAAAAAGGAGTCACGTGATAAGGAGCCCTAGGAGCCCTAAAGAGCCAGAAAGCTCCTGGGGGCTCCCTTTATTGTTCATTATATAGTCAGAGTAGTTTCATAGTTTAGGAGCTTCGTGCTCAACTTAGTTATCAATTAGTTTACCTACGTTCTACTTGATCTAGTAACGAATTCACTTTCAAGTGAATACCAACTGATAAAACCTTAACCCATAACTACCAATCGACGAACCTTAGGCAGCCGCTGCCTTTAGTACAGCAACGTTACAGGTACTAGACATAGTACTAGAATAGAAGCGACAAGGCAAATTAGATTCTAAGTCTAAGTGGTGGGGGGAATAGAGCTCTATATGTACAGAATACGGAGGATATCACACTAAACTACGGAATAGCGTGATATTCAACATCATTTCTATCTATTAGCTATAGATGATCGCTATCGGCGGACTAATCTACATCTCGATCTATACATGCAAGTAGGACAATCATCTCGAACTTGAAAATTTCACCCAGTAGTGATACTCGCCCTACGGCAGCTAACACTGATCTTCCGTGGAGCAGGCCTGGTAGGGCAGATCAGACGGTGACGCGACGTGTGGGATACTCTGGGGTACGTGACGATCTGCTTCATCAACACAGACGGCTCCCACGCTAGCGTCGAACCGATCATGTGGGGAATGGTTGATTATTGAGGCTACGATTTCTAGACGACTACTAATATCGACCTTTCAAAGCATATAAAGATAGTGAAACACCAACAACAATAAAATAAATAGTGTAGTATGATTTCGCATTAAGAAAAAGCTCCCATCACAAAATTCGGGTGTCGCGGCTTTGGTCGACTACAACGTGGTCCGGAAATCATCGAGTCTACATTATCCTAGGTAAATGGACCGTTTCTGTATTGTCGCACTCTGCCATGCGTCCCTTTCGAAAAGATGTAAGGCCACTCTCTCGAAACAGTCACCGTTCCGTTTGACCTCCAATACGTTAACGCGCTTGTCATGGTAGACCTCGAAGCTGATTCCCACGGCCAACAAGACATATATGTGATTATTTGGGGGCACAGGGAGGCTACCCACACCAGAAGCTGGATCGACGGTGTCCGCTTCAAAGTTCAGAATTTTGATAGAGGCATGAGGGACCAATGCGTCTGCTTCGTCTGATATAGTGTTTTCTCCGGCGGTCCATAGGAGTCTTGAATAGCTCTTAGGCGATGCTGATCCACGGATCTCTTGGATGTGGAATTCCCAATCACTACGAGAAAAGGCCGAGTATGTTACCCTACCTTCCCAGCCTGCCCAAGACCAGCTAGGGAACAAAACATTCCTCACTGGTTCTTGTTCACCGGGCACACAGCCCCAGAGAAGAACTCGAGGTGACCACGCAATCGGTAGGCAAGCCACGGTATCGCCAATATCTGGTCTCAAGTAAGACAGGAGACCTTGGAAAGCATTGAGCCGGTCGGATTTCATCGTCAGATTAAGCTCCATGTATTTCTCAACAAAGAATGAGTACTGTTCGAGTTGGGGTGCAGTTGACACAATGCCGGCATTTATCAAGCTATAAATAGCCGTGTTTATGCTATGTCCTTTCGGTGGTACATCCATCACCTTGCACCCCTTGCATCTGCTTTTGGGACCGAATCCGGCACAGGTGATACCAATGCTATTTTTTGAAATATCAGACACGAACAAGGCCTCTCTCTCATGAAAGAAGAGACATCGTCTCGACAGGATCCTCTCTTGGAAGGTCCATGCACGAGTCTCGTAATGCGATATCTTCGCATAATCGTCCAGGTGCATCAAGTCGTCTGACAATCTGTTCTCCAAAAGAAGTCCGTTCACCTCTCTTCGAATAATCTGTGGTTTGTAACGAAACTCTGAGTCTGATTCTAAGTCCGAGATACCAGGGAGAGATGAGTCAGAGCTTTTCGCTGTCCATGCTACCAGAGTCAAGTAGGCACCTCCATAAATCGCATCCATGTTTTGTATCTGGGTGGCCTTTTGCATGGAGTCTTTATTTTGTTCGATGCACAAAGCATCTACCCACAAGTAGCGTTGTTGCAACTTCCTTGTGAAAGAAATAGCATCACGGACGATTTTTGGGAGTTTGGCACGACTCAGAGAACCCTCTTCTGCAAGCTCTGCGCGTTTATCGGTCGTGATCTTAAAGACTTCTCCTGTGCCCCAAACATAACTCAAGGCTAGATACTTCCTTGAAGTAGTTGTTTCGACCAATTTGTTCTCATCAACATCGATCAAAAGGATCTGGAGCGCAGGACCAACCTGTACATCCTGGCTCACCGTGGTACGTTGGGAAGCTGCTTGGAGGATAGCTACTGATAATGGCTCTCATGGGTCTATCCCAATCATGGTCTTTTCATTGCTTTTTTCCATCTTATGGTCGCTTTCTCCTTTCTCTCGGTTGATCTCTTCTACCTCCTGATCGCTTTCTTCCTTTATCTTGATACTGCTTTCCTCCTCCTCGATGCTGTATTTTTTCTCCTCGTTGTATTCTTCTGAAACCTGGTCACTCTCGTTTCCCTTCTGACTGCTTTTCATCTTCTTCTGTCCAATTGCTGTCAGAAAAGCAGCTTCACCCATAACCTTCGATATTAGTTTCAGATTTGTAACAGCAGCCTCCTTTTCTTCATTATTGCTCGAATTCAATTTTTGAATGTCTTCGTTGAGCAATTCAACAGCATCGTACAACTTGAGAATATTTAGAAGATACATCTCTGGTTGAAAGCAGATCTCATGCTTTATGATGCCTCGCCGGCCATGATCAGAGATTTCCGCTGTCGTCTTGGCTGATCCAGGAGTGGCAAAATGGATGCAGCCAAATGTAAGATACGTGCCATTAACTATTGTGGTGATGTACAGCTTCTGTTCTCTGCTACGGCCTTCGATTTCACTTTCTTTTCTTTGATGGGTACTGATAGTAGTGACCGATGGAGGTTCTGGTAGCCCGGGTTTCGGTAGATGCAAGATGATTTCTGAGCCTGACAGCTCGTTCCGGAACTCTGACGGCAAGATATGGGTGATGAGATCGCAGACCGGGCAACCCTCACGGTCTCGAATACTCGCCGCTGTCCCAACGGTGATCCTTCGCTCTGAATTTATGCCGAGAATCACGGACAGTCCAAAACCGTCATTGGACTTTTCGTTGTCATCGTCATCGCTGTCGAAAAATTCGATCTCCATGGTTTGCCGATTACGGCTTAGAGGTACGTTATCTCGAAGGTCATCCAATAGCTGGGCAACTCCACAGTCGATACAAGGTTGGCAAAGACGATCAGGCTCCGTCAGACCTGTTGTTGAGGTCTCCTCGGTCGTGTCCATGATAACAGGTCTTTCAAAAACGAACAGTACCTATATAAACGTTGTGGAAATTATTTGTATGACAATACAAGCATCCTTGAAGATTAATGTATTCACCTCTTTTATCAACGTAGGAGGTGTTCATCTATGCTATTATATATCATTATTAAATGATGACGTGGAGCCATTCTGAACAGCAGAATGAAGACGACATCAATTTCGCCTTACTGTCTTCGCCTTGAGTCAACAGGGCGATTCGCTGGACGAATCACATAGAATCGTGCATCACCGCTTGAGAGCATGATTTCTTCCTGTAAATGAGCAGCCTCATCAACTTCTTAAAACGCGAGACATCACACACCCAAAGGCTATTTTTGAGCGGCGATGGCGATGTCAAATACATACATAAATACGTGTCACAAGCACGGGGTACCACGCGGATAAACCCCGCATATATTTAAAGTTAAGTCTGATACTTCACTTTTAGACCATCTTTCTTTTGGATTATCTTTTTATATTCAAAAAAATAATTTTTATCTATTAATAACTTTTTACTTATTTATTAATATAATTTTCTTAAATTTTAATTATAAATTTATGTCACGGAAACCCCTGCTTTCCTCCCACCCTTATTATATAAGAAACCTCAGGTACATTAACCATGTCCACACATGATACGATTACTCGGGATTAGTATACGATTTAGGTGGTCGGAGGATCAGACCCGAACAAGTACTAGGTATCAATGGTTATCGGTAAAGTAAGATCATTGGAGGGATAAATATGACTTCTTTTTGCCTAGCCATTGCGGCTAGGCCATTCATTTGTGTATATATAGAGTAGCTATCCCCATCTACAGGTGCTCTTTACCTGTAGATTCTAAGTTAAATACAATTGCTGGTCTATAAACACCCTTTTGGTCACATATAATCAATAATCTACATCCATCAACTTTAATACTTTCTTATATATTTATCCCTGTTATCCCTATTATCCCACATCCCCCAAATCTAAATCCCATCGCATCATTCCATTTACATACATATAGACATGCATACAAAATAAATCACATGAGCATCAAACCATGCAAGCCATGCATGCAAAAGATATGACTAACGAATGTTCAGTTTCAAATGGAAGATATGATATAATTATTTAAATTTGAATTTCTACAAACAAACCCCCAAAAAACCAATTTCAAACCATTTCTCGTCCTCCGCCTTCCCCATTCGATATTATAATCCACATTAGCCATAATCCATAAATCCGTAACCTCCAAGAACTTGTAAAACCGGTTTACTATCCTCTTCTACACTGTAACATCCTGTGTTATCTATCCCTCCAAATTCATACTCCAATATCCAGTATTGAATAGTCTATCTGGGGATTGAGTTGTGAGTAGGATACAGAATTCTAACACATGCTCAACATGTGCTTTCTAAAACAAAATTTCAAAAAAATCAGAACCAAACAAAATATCCCAAGAAAAACTAAATAGATGAGGCGAGTAGGCGCAGCCTCTGAGACCAAGTTCTCCTCTTCCAACCTATTAGAACAAGATTGCTACCTGAGCTTGGAGTCTAGCCCCTAGGTACAGAGAACAAAAGGAATTGTTCGACAAATCAACCAATATATGAATCACAGATCCAAGTACTCAATGACGCCTTAAGATACTTGCCCCCACAAAAAACCCAATTTAATAACCCCTCCCAAACACCAGGTATATTTCCCATTTCCCAATGCTCCCAAAAAACAAGTGTAAGTAAAAGGAAAGGAAAAAACAGAAAAAACAATTATAGACAAAAAAGTGCCTAGACAAATTCGCCATGTCCAATCTACCAAATATTCAACACGCTATGCCGCATGAAATCCGCTATACAATGCCAAAGCCTTCAATGATTGTGTTCTCCAATTATGAATAACGGAGGCTGAACTTCTTTGTATATATATAACCATCATGCCTAAGTCATAATATCGCGTGTTTTCATTCTTCGATCGTAATTGTTATAATTCTCAAGGTGGGAGTATTAAGCGTGGAGATTGCGCGCGCGGTTCCGGTCATGATTTAGAGGCAGAGGTTGCTCGGTTGTGACCGGTGAAAAGGAGTGTGAGTTCAGATGGTGGAGCGGAAGAAGTTCTGGGACGGAATGAGAAGAGATATGTGATCCAATGGTCGAATTCGAAGCGCACAAGAGGTCGCAATTGCCTTGAACAGCCGGTTGTGGAAGACAATATGTTTCATCTGCGATATTGTCTAGATGAGTGTGTATGCGAACTTTGACTGGCTGTGTGATATCCAGAGTCTGAGTAGTCTTCTCGCGCATATGGATCTTGGTATGATTGGTGTGTTGAGGAGTGTTTTTCGCAAGCATATCCGACCAAAACCGTTCTCTCTTGAATTCCATGGCCTTGCGTACCATACGCCGCGCACATATCAACGCTGTGCTGGTAGTAGAGGCAGCGACAAACTGAGTATCTTTCGACCACGAGGTAGCACATGTTGAATGATGATTTGAGTTTAAGGCTGGTAGTTGCCGATTTCGTATGTTGTATATAGCGTGGCGGGTTTTGGTCGCAATGATAGAGGGGTAACTAAGATGAGTAAAGAGACAATGAAAAGTATGCGATCAACGAGAGGTGAGGCAATGAAATATATTAACGAGCAGACTGAAAGAAGATGATGCCTGGACAAAGGAAGTCTTAACTTGACAGATGATGAAGCTTGTGATGCAAAGGTAGGAGTCATTGATCGAAGGAATATGACTGCCTTATAATCACTGCCACTTGAATGGGTGAGTCTTCCCGTGATGAAAAATAAGGCAGCAGTGGGTATGGGCTGGTGAGTGAACCTGCATCTAGGATATGCAGGTCAACAAACATGCAGGAAACCTATACATGGGATGAGACGATGAGTCGTAGGCGCAGTGGAGAGTTGGAAGTATATCTGCCTCAGTACAGACATTCTGGGAAGGAAAGAAAGCCATGCCTGTTCACATCTCGAACCAAGGCCCAAACGGATGGTCTCCCACCACGAAGTGGCTTACCATCACCTCGATCGAGACATGGTATATGGAAGGAAACCAGGTCTCTCATGGATGGGCTGAAATAGAAACCTTGAAAGCGCTGAGTAAAGCCTCAGCCTCGACTAAGTAACAAGTACTTGTTCTGTCTGAGATAGTTCCGAGAGGTCGGGATTATTGATCTACGCAAGATCGATTTAGGTTAAGACGGGTAAACCGGGATATGGCAGCAGGTAGCTAAAGAAGGAATAAGATGGTGGAACGTGTACTCAAGCCTTGGCTGTGCAGGAAAAAACACCACCATTGTTGACAGATACCCACTATGGTCTGGTCGAGAGTCCTCTACAATGGCAAGGACCATGTAGGCTCTCTGGATAATCTCGGTTTAGAGAAAGGACAGTTATAAGAATAACGAGCAGGGTGGATTAGGATCATGTGAAAGCATAATAGTTTGCCGGGGGGAGGCTAATAGTCAGTGACGGGAGAGTATAGTCAGAAATAGAAGTGCAATGGGGACGGGAACGAAGGTGGAGGAATCGGGAAGGAATGTTTGTAGCAACATTGAATAGTCGGTAAGCATTGCCAGGATAAGTGAAGTACGCAAAAGTAGGTATAGTTTAGTCAGCCGTCGGTCGGTGGACGAGTTGGGAAATAGATTCATCGTAATGAAAGGACCCAAGTAGAGAATAGTGCAGTCATAGTACGGAGTAAGAAGACGAGGACCCTGATTGGGATCGCGCGTAAAGGTAACAAATTGCCGCGGGACTCATTACGATCCCCATGTTGAAGGCCATGAATGTTTGACAAGGATAAGTTCAAAGATGATGGATCACCGGACAGTTACACTACCGCAAGTAAGGTACGAGCTGCCAGATTTCAATCCTTGGATGAATATGTGTCGGTCAGCCAAGAAAGTTTGATAGAAATTGGATGTGCGGTGCAGTGCGGTGCAGTGCAGTATCGTTTCCAGGTTTGTGTGTGTGATGAAGTGATGGAACAGGAAAAGAAGAAGATGGGAAAAATAAAAAAAATGTTGTCAGCAATAAAATCTAAATTCAGCTTTTTCCCCACTCAAATCATTAGCTTGAACCTTTATAACCAGGGCCATGTCTCGCCTAGAGGGAAAAGAAATAATATGATTGGATGAATAACGACCCTCTTCAATTTATTAATGTTTGATATTCCCAAAGAAGATTGAATGTCCGATATTTATCAAATGGGAACTTGAATAAAAGCCGTTGAAGAGAGCATAATACATTAATACATGATGAATTCATAAAATATCTGTCAGATCCATCAATCTTCCATCATCGCAAGTACCGGACAAATGAGAATGAGACATTCTTATTCTGCACCTTGACGATGATCGTTTTACTAAACATCATTCACATCTGTACGTAATCCACAAGAGAAATGGTATTCAGCCGCCTAGACAGATGGCTCGTACTGTAAAACAACTGATTTCAGTTGTAAATATAGTAAGTTATTGTCAACGGGACGCACTTTGATCGATTTCCATCTCGTTTTAGAACGAGGTAACTATAGTTAGTTAACCGATCTATTTTGAGCTTTCTAACCCTTTTCCGTAAATCTACATTTCCATATCCGGAAAATTGTCAATCATGCACTTCTTCTTTCCATCCCAATCCCTACACAATCACCCATAATCTAACTGCCTAGGACTTATATCAACCCATTATGAAATTTATAGAAACCTTTATTCAGATGTCCATATGTATAAACATGCATACATGCATACATGCATACATACAACCATTAATAGTCAATAACCCAAACCGTACCGAAGGATTCCTCACAACAGGGGAAGCACCCATCACCCATCTCCATCTCCCATGCCCATACAAAGCAAATATACTCAGCTGAATCAGGCATACTCACTGACCACATTCCCAAGCAACAATCATGTATGTACAGCTCTTCCAAGAAAGTTCGTGTCCGGTTACAGGATCTGGTTTCGGGGAAAGAGTCATAAATTTCTCAAATCTAGAATAGGAGGCTACTAGCTATCAGGTAGCTAGAGATTTGTGAGGTATGTATTGAAATGAAACAAACCCAAACAAACACAAAGCTTTGAATTCTTGATTCTGAAACATATTCTAGATTTGGTAGATTCTTGATATGTACAATTTTTGATGTTATTTTCAATCATTATGTTTATAGTCATGTTCTTAGTCATGTTCACATTGATATCGATCAATTCCATATGTAAACAATAACTTCAACAATTGCTTGTAGTATTCCTCCAGTAAACTAATTAAGATCCAATCCCCAACCTAAAATAACCATCTGCATAAACCTACATGATCATAACAAGTCCCTCACTTCCAACCATCTTTAATCTCTCTCCCTCCCTCTCTCACTCACCAAAACCCCTCATCATCCATCACTCATCACTCATCACCATCAAACATCAAAACATCCCAAAATCTGCCTCGCTCGTACCCACCATCCACCCACCATCCACCCATTCCACACAATCATTCCCACCCATTCCCACACCATCCAGCACGCACCAAGTCATTCAGCCTCGCACTAAAACCGGAACTCGTAAGGCGACCTATCTGAAATCCGAACTCAAACCTCCCACCCACATGCATCCCCACTACATAATCCATGCTAACAGTGCTAACAAAACTAGCAAGCAAGCAAGCAAGCAAGGCCCACCAGCAAGCAGGAATGCACTGCCTCATTGTGGCTCACCTATGACATTACCTTTCCTCACCTCCAATTCTCCCAGTCCTTCGCACTTCGCACATACATACATACAAGTAGATAACCTAGGTATTACTAATAATTAGCAATTGGAATCTCGTCACCGTGCAGTATAAGACCACTATTAAGGTTAGCTAGCTAAAGTACATCCCTATCACACATACTAGTACTAGTATTAGCGCTCGTAGTTTTGCAGTTATGTCATTTGATCACGAAAGAAGCTTTTGTTTTCTAGTATAGTATGCTATGGTATGAATGGATGGAGTAATTATTACGCTACGCGCTACGCACGCTCTGTTATATCGCAATATCCATGTATCCTGTATGTACATTACCAAGGTAGATATGTACATTACATGTATGTATGTATGTATGTATCACGGGGACTCCGAGAATTATCACGAGGTGAATATTGTAGATATGACATGATATGACATGGCTGGAGATTTTCGGGATTAACGAGTTAATTGATCGTGCGTGCGTGCGTTTTTGCATGGTATGGATTGGATGGGATGGGATGGGATAGGAAGAGAAGCTTGCCTCGGTCGTTTGGAAATGCGAATACTGTATTAGTTAGGTATTTAGTAGGTAGGTTATGCTTTGGATTATTGTGAGAATGGACGTAAATTTAAAGGCATCGTGTGAATTCGATTCGGGGTGATGATTTTTAGGTATATATATCTCTCTATCTAGATATCAATAGGTAACCTACTGGTAGTGACAATTGAATCCATTGATATGAACGAGATAGATTCGCAATTGACGATAGTGTTGTTAATACTAACTAGGTAGGTATGTACCTAGGTAAGCAATTCTTACCGATGAACCCATTCATCCCTACCAGTACCCATGCCATCTACATCAATCCACATCCCATATCCATATCCATCACCCATCATCTACGGAGTATTACCCACCATGACAACAACAACGAAACAAACGGCCTACCGGCATTCAGCCACACTCTCAACTAGGGTACTCCAAAGATCCCTGAAGATCCCTGAGGATCCCTGTAGGTATTCGAGACCGATTACAGAGTCCCTATCCCTAGTCCTAGTACACTAACCCGGTATTATTGAACCGGTCTACTGGTCTAGCTAGCGTCATATCATAGATATCATAGGTATCGTATCACACCATATCCCATGATGAAATAGGTACTCGAGAATCTGCGAAAGTATAGTATAGCATCACAAGTAACTAGTGAGTTAGATACTGGTTCGATTCTAATATATCTAAGCGATACTACTACTGAGTCTTACGAAATCCCAATCTCAATCCCATCATCTCAACATCTCAATATCTAGCTAGATAGGTATCTACTACTCAAGTGCAAGTAGAACTCCAAAGAAACTAATACGCTATACTCTACAATCGCAACCTCAATCACAAACCCCCATCGCACCACCCATCACATCATACAATCCCACCATCCATCCCAATATCCATCCCAATATCCATCCCAATATCCATCCCAATATCCATCCCAATATCCATCCCAATATCCATCCCAATATCCCCAACATCCCCAACATCCTCACCATCCCAATAACCAGTTGTTGACCTCCTGGGATCTTGGCAGCATATGCATATATATTGCATGATGCATATAAGGAGCAAACAAAACTCAACTTTTAATTCATTCTTTCCTCTTTGGTATACTGTTTGTTTGCTTTCAATATTTTGATTTCAAAGCACTTTTAATTCCGAAGGCTGAATACCTAACCTTATTCCTTCATTTTTTGAATATATACTCGCAGCTTAACTGCTTAGCTAGAGAATCAATCAATTCAATCTGATGCTCTTTCTGGTCTCAATAAACCCAATACCAGTAGATACCCAAGTAATCTTACCTATCCATCAACCCATCCCATCAATCCATCCATCCCATCAAAGCACCAAAATACCCCATCCATCCCTCCCTCCCTCCACCCCTCCACCCCTCAAACAAACTTCCAAATCTTTAACCTCTCAAAATTTATATTTATATCTATATACTACCTACTAAATATACCTAAAAATTTCTATCTCTTTTCCATTTATAATTTTATCAGATTTAACATTAATTACTAATTATAAATTTATAGATTTACTTACTAACATATTTATAATCCTACATCAATATCAATATCAATATCAATACCTATTAATATTACTACTAAAGGAATAAACAAAATGAAAAGACTAACATAAATAACCTACTTAACTACAACTAAAAATCACATTATCCACCCACAGAGTAATTAATTAATCAACATCATGATCCATTCAATTCAATTCGATTCTTTTTATTTTATATCGTTTTATTTTCTTTTCTCATCTTCTCATCATCACCTTCTTTCCCTAGGTAGTTACCTACTAGCTATATTCCCATCCAATCCAAAAATTTCCCCTCTCCCAATTTAATATTTAATCCCCTATGATTATCCCATCCCATACTCCATTTTGAATCATCCATCCGTATTTCACCCTAATAAACATGCTCAACCCATTTCCAGAGGGTATATTATATCTGCACGAATTTTACCTATGTACAAAGAAAGCTAATAGCTTTCAGCGAAAGAAATCTTTCTCTCTTTTTCTTTTCTTCTCTTCTCTTGTACCAACTCCATCTTTAGATACTTTTCAGGAAAAAGAAAAAGACAAAGACCACGCTCAAACATACCATACCTCAAGTATTATTTTGACCTCCCTCAATCCCATGTTTCAAATTCTTAATAAACCAATCCGAGTTAGCATCCACCATAAAATTCGTGATATTAAATTCATTCGATCCATTTCCCATCTCTGGCATTTGGACATCACCCATGCCATTCCCACCATTCCCACTCCCATTCCCATTCCCATTTCCATTTCCTTGAGCAGAACTAGAAGGATCTCCCGGAATAACAGGTAATCGAGGAACATTAAAAAAATCAAAAACATCCAAATACTCCAATTCATTAGGAGCAGGTGTTCTGGCCGGTGTAATACTAGGCATTCGGGAAAGTCCTACATATTTAGGTTGTCTAGAAATTAAAAAATCTAAATCATATGCACATCTTCTCATATCTGCTAGGATCTTGACCGAGGAAGGAGTGACGCGTTCACCATTCGTACCGGCGGCATGTTCACTATCACGATGTTCGTCAAGCACGCGTTGGAGAATGGTTGTGTAGCGTTCCGCTACGAGCCAGTAACTACCCATTTCTCGAAGGGTGTCGACGAAGAATTGAATCTGGGGGCTGAGTTTGTGTTCGATGGTTGAGCCATGTACGAGAAGTAATCGAGCGGCTACCCAAAGCGTGAACGCAAATGGTGGACCTAATTTTGGAAGCATGCTATTTTGAACAACATATCTATAGCATGTGTCAGTACGTATCAAGAAAAATGTTTTGTAAACTCCAGGTTTCCAAGAGAATTGAGTCATATTTGGCTCTTATGCCAGCTTATAGGTAAGATTAAACGAGGAAAAGTACGTACTCTCCTAATGCTGCAATATTTTCAACTGCACCATGACAACGTTGACTTGCACTATACGAAGGAGTAAAAATAGGCGATCTAGTGGTAGGGTAAGCAGCCGATGAATGAAGTCGTATTACTGCCGTGTGATATGTCGCGTGTAACATGACCCAGCCACAATTGATGGATTTATTGCTTCCTGGTTGAAAAAGCTTTGCCATGTTTCCATAATCACCAGGCAGATTGAATTTCCATGAAGTGAGCATATTGTCTAGTTCTCGATATTCGCCTTGCCATTGTTCAACGTCAGACAAGGCACTGATATCCACTGGCTTTTTCAAAAATTTGTGAATTCTGGAAAGAATACCAAGGATTTCGATGTAGTATGAGAATGCGCCAAGGTTCTCGGGTTTGTCAATATCGTATTCCGTCCTTTCGCTCGTGCGAAACCATCTTGTTTCCACATTTTGATTCTTATTCCAAAGATCGTCTCGACAAGGTAAAGTTCTGTCAATTTCTTTTTCATCCAAGGCAAATTCGAAAGCTGTAGCAATTGTGGCATATCGATCCAGAAGATATACCATCCAGAAGAGTCGCCTTCGAGATTCCTCCTCAATCCAATTCTCAGGCTCTGGCAATACCATTGCTCGAAGTGTATAGATTGAAGGATAGTTTGGCGACACGGAGAAGGAAGTAGTCTCTACAGAAAGTCCCAATTGAACTACCGAGCGCGTAATTAGAGCCAATAAATTCCATCCAGGTGGGCCGTTACTACTGCCCACCAGATCCAAGGCCAGAATTACCAGAGCCTGTAAAGCCTTGACCGAGGAGTTTTCTAGTCCATATAATAATACTTTTTGCTTAGATATATCGTGATAATGTCGCCTTCTTTCTTCGGTCAGTCGTTGATCCGTGGAAAATCTCAAAGTAGTGGCAACAATAGCATGTAGAAGTATTTTGTCTGATTCATCCAAAGCAGATGGACCGAATAAAGAGTCCAGCGTCGATCTTCGATGTAATATTGGACACCAAGTATTGACATACTTAAAGTAGAGATCAACTAGTGCATATAATAGATCATATGGTGGGAGAGCATGGTCGGAAGAGACGTCGCTTGAGTTTTGAGTTATGTTCAAGCTTGGTGATTGTAGGGGTGGCTGGTTCGTACTATAGAAGTCCGGTGCTTGACTGGTTGATATTGAGTGATTATGTTGTTGCATGTCCATGGATAAATGAGATCCCTGTGATCCCGGGGTGTGTTGCTGATGAAAGATATCACTATGGATAGATGGCATCGTGGTATTTGGAGGTATTGAATGTCCAAAATCCATGGATGTACTTCGTTGCCCAAAGGTGGAAGGCTTCTGAAGAAATAGGGCTGTCTCGGCTCTAGCAACATGTCCTACACGGTGACTAGAGAGCCCCTCATTTGGTTTGAAGCTGTTAATACTTTGTGGTGTACCGTGATCGCTCGAAACACTGTTGGGGACTCTATTGCTGTTATGACCAAAAGATGATTCCAAGATTTGAGCATGCGAGCGTAGAATATCCTCGAGTCGATCCAATCTTTGTTCCAGTTCTCGGCCATACCCAGCTCTCAATCCGGGTTTCTTTCGCTCCTTGTATTCACATACGGCACCATTGCGACTACACCATCCGCATGATGGTTGACCGCGATCACATTTGACCTGTTCGTGTCAGATTTATTATATGTATTCAAACATTGAAAATTCAGTTTGTAGACTTTGGAGTGAATCGTTGAACCCATTCCGAGACACATAGAAAATACTTTTTCTGCGTAACGCATATGATTCCATCAATCATCATTTGTATGTTTGATCAAACTATGACTGGAGTGGAGCGACAAGAGTTTGACGATCTTCCATCAAGAAAGGTTTAATAAATTGTGATTTGATATATCGTACCTTTCTTTGCTTACATAGCTCACACCTTCGACGAAACGTCAGCCAATCATGTCCAACAATTTTCGTATCATTGGTTGGGGGATCATCTTCCGATTCCTTGACCGGAAGAGTAATGGAGGAATCATCATGGATATCCATTGATTGGTGTTAAGATTAGGAAGGTAGGTGAAAGAATGAAACATAATTCCTTACGAAACAGACATTGGTCGACGTTGCCTTTTGCGAGGACCGTCTCCATTTGCATCAATGCTGTCCTCCTCCCCGCTGTAAGATTGATCATTGTCCCCATCACTTTCGGGTTGAGTTACACCTGAACGTAAGGACGTTCTAGGTGATTGCTGACTATCCATAGAAGATAGAAGCCGAAAGCAGAATCCGATAACAAAATGATAATAGAATTGATAACCAACCTTGTCTCGAGTCGAGGTCTCGGTGAAAATGGGAACGAAATGGAAGGGCAAGCTCGGTGTTAAATGAGCGAGGAGGTGGGGTCTTTTTAGTCCAGAAGCAAGTGAGGTGAGAGAAAGCTGGGACAAGAGAAAAAAAATATATATGAGCATGTGGGGGGCACGTGCTTAGGATGAAAATGAACAATGATGGGGGTGAAATCTTATTCTTCTTATTATATTATCCATGAATCCTTTGAAGCCTTGGGATAAACATCAGTAATCCTTGGTGCTTCCGTGACTCCGAGAATCTATCACTCTATCACTGGGCAGTAAAATACCTACGAGTTACTCTAGCACCAAGGAAAAAAAAACTATTTAAAAAAACTTAAAAAGATAAGGTTATCAGACAGATGAAAAAGGATAAAAGGAATTTCAATTCAACATCAAATTCGATTTAATTTTGCAACATCTAATTGGTCAATTCAACCTCAAAATATGCCCTAAAACGACATAGACAGGAGACAGGGGTTCTCGATTACGTGTTGTGGGGTAACGGTAACTTTCTATCGATCAATATTGATGCACCATCACCAGCTGACTCGATCATTGATCAATTGCAATCGTAATCATACCATTCATGCAGGCCTGTACTGGTTATGCAACGGTGACAGATAGATGTATGTATGGCCAGTTTTCTTCATTTATTCTAAATCATTGGCATGCGAGAGAAATGCACATATGCACCTAAAGTACCATTTGGTACCTGCGAAAAAAGACAAGAGGAAGAGTATATCTGCATCTTATAACGACCATTTGAGCTGAGTAGTGAAGTATGTGAGAGTCTTGAAGAGTCATGGAGAGATTTTTTCTATATGGATTCAAACAAAACAAATCCTACTGCATTCGCATCGCAATCACTATACAAGAAATCTTTCAAACCTAAAGAATGCACACAATGACCGGAAAAGAACATCTTCAACAAACATCACCCACATCAATAACTAACTCACATGCCAAGTCATAATCAATACTTTCCTAGGCACAGACTTATAACCGCTCAGGTTATGAGATTGACTTGCATTCCGCATCAACAATGGCTCGGTCGATATTCTCCCGGTGGATTTGGAAACAATAATCACCCCGCCAAGGTGTTTCTTTAGAAATTGAGGTACAAAGTAACCGCTCTGTCCATCAATCATGGGTAAACGGTAAATACAATCCTGGCTTTTCTTTTGACTATTTACTTCCATTTGCTCCCCGTTCCAGTACAGTCAATACATTTATTCCTTTCTTCCACATCACAATGGCTTCTTCATCAGCTCGCAGCTTCCCATCTATCAAAGCCGTCCGAACATTTGTTGTGGACGGCGTCGGATCTGGGGGAGATTATCACAATGTCAAAGGTGGTCATTGGTAAGTTCATCAGACAATTATCTTATGGCTCGTACTAATTCACATCAGGCTAATTGACACACCAATTTCCACGCCTATGTCAAGATGGGAAAACTACCGAGCATCAAGAACAAGTTGGGGTATCAATGTGCTAGGTTCATTCTGCGTTGAGGTAGAAGGTTCAGATGGCACAGTTGGATTTGCGACAGGATTTGGAGGTAAATTACCAAAAAAAAATATCCCATCACCCGGGCTGAAGCTCATTACATATTCGCAGGTCCACCAGCATGTTGGTTAGTTCACCAACACTTCGAAAGATTTCTCATCGGTGCCGATCCAAGAGATACCAATCATTTATTCGAACAAATGTACAGAGGTTCAATGTTTTATGGTCGAAAGGGTCTTCCCGTTGCCGTCATCTCAGTTATTGATTTAGCGATCTGGGATTTACTTGGAAAGATTAGGAGAGAGCCAGTATACAAGATGATTGGAGGAGCCACAAGAGAGAGATTGGACTTCTATTGCACAGGACCAGAACCTACTGCCGCGAAGGCCATGGGATTTTGGGGTGCTAAAGTTCCACTGCCATACTGCCCAGAGGAGGGTCACAAGGGACTTCAGAAGAACGTCGAATTCCTCAAAAAACACAGAGAAAGTGTGGGCCCTGACTTTCCGCTCATGGTGGATTGCTACATGAGTCTCAATGTTCCATACACTATTCAAATTGCTGCAGCTTGCAAAGATTTAAATATCAACTGGTGGGAAGAGTGTCTATCTCCAGATGACACTGATGGCTTTGCACAAATCAAACAAGCTCACCCACAACTCAAGTTTACCACTGGTGAGCATGAATACTCGAGATATGGTTTCAGAAAACTTATCGAAGGTCGCAATTTGGATATCATTCAACCCGATGTTATGTGGCTTGGAGGAATGACGGAATTGCTCAAAGTTGCAGCTATGGCAGCTGCTTATGATATTCCAGTAGTACCACATGCAAGTGGACCTTACAGTTATCATTTCGTGGTCTCTCAAACAAATTGTCCCTTCCAAGAGTACCTTGCAAATTCACCAGATGGGAAGAGTGTCCTACCAGTCTTTGGAGATTTATTCTTGGATGAACCAATTCCCGTAAAAGGATATCTTGATGTTTCACAACTCGACAAGCCAGGTTTTGGTTTGACACTTAACCCAGCTGCACGACTTATTCCAGCTCAATATCTCTTAACACCAAACCCAGAGAGACCTCTTGGTCAACCAGCAGTTGGGCAAAAGAAATCTGCAGATCAGGGTATTGTGAATGGAGTGGTAGAAGAGATCAAGAATTTGTCAGCTTCATAGGTTGGATTATAGCCGATTGTTATATTAGTCATTTAATCATTTTTCTCTTGAATACAATATCATCTATCTTAGCATAATTAAAACTTTCCAAGATCCCATTTTAAGGTCACTAGTGATAGCGATATCTTCAAATGAGTGTATAACATAATGGGACCTAGGTGAGAACAAGTGGATGAACAATTTACCCCACGTTTGGGAATACCATTTTGGCTTCGGTGGTCTTTACATCGAGAAACCGAATCGCGGGGTCCTTTTACTAGTGACAAGGGTCTAATTTCTGAAGCTATCAATTCATTTACAACAAGACGCGAATTTATTCGAATATACTTGTTAATTGTAACATATTCGTATTTCAATTCTCTGTACAACTTTACCTAGGTACTTACCTTGATTTCACATAATCCACAACTCTTGACGAAAAAACAATCACTTCAACATACTCATCAGAGCTACAACCACAAGATACCCCACCATCCCAGTAAACAGCATAACATTCATTTCATCCTCATATACATCCAAATTCTACAAACTTACACATCTACATATCTCTTTCTCACATTATACATTTAAAAAATGAGTCTTAAAAGCGTACACCTTCTCGCCGGCAAAACCGCCGCAATAACCGGCGGAACAACAGGAAGTTCGTTCCCCAATTTCAAAGAATTCCCTCTCACATCTCCCCTCAACTAACACCCTTTGTTTCCTCTAGTCGGCCGCGCAATTACCCTTTTGTATCTTCGTCAAGGTTGTAATGTAGCAGTTAATCATCTAGGTCTTGATTCCGATATTCCACATCTGGAATCCCTTCATAAAGAGGCGAAATCTCTCTTAGAGGAGGATTCGCTTGCGGGTTCTTTGTTGGATGTACCAGGAGATGTTAGTAAACCGGAGACGGGGAAGGAGTTGGTGGAAAAGGCGGTGCGGAAATGGGGACGATTGGATATTTTTGTTAGTAATGCGGGGGTTTGTCGGTTTGCGGAATTTTTAGAGTGAGTGTTCTTTGGGTTTTTAGTTGGTTGGTTGGTTGGTTATCTTGAGAGGGGGAGAATAGAGGGGAATGGGAATAGAGTGATTGAAAAAGAAAGAAAGAAAACTAACAAATCCCCCCCCAAAAAAGACTAGAACCCGATCTCTTCACCCACACAGTCCGCACCAACCTCGACGGCGCCTTCTACACCTCCCAAGCCGCCGCCCGTCAAATGTCCACCCAATCACCCCCCGGCGGCGCCATAGTCGCCATCTCCTCCATATCCGCCCTCGTAGGCGGCGCCCAACAAACCCACTATACACCCACCAAAGCGGGAGTCTTATCCCTCATGCAAAGCATGGCGTGCGCGTTGGGGAAATATGGAATTCGTTGTAATGCATTGTTGCCAGGGACGATTAGGACGCAGTTAAATGAGGAAGATTTGAAGGATGAGCAGAAGAGAAAATATATGGAAGGACGGATTCCCTTGGGACGGACCGGTGTTCCGGGGGATTTGGCGGGGCCGGCGGTTTTTTTGGCGTGTGAGGAGTTGAGTGGTTATGTTAATGGGAGTGGGCTTTTGGTGGATGGGGGGTTGTTTGTTAATTTACAGTGAGGGAAGAGGGGGGAGAGGAGAGGGTTGGAGGATTGTGAAAGGGAAGGGAAGGGATGGGATGGGAATATATTATAGATTAAGAATAAGTATTGGCTCAATCTAGTAGTTTTGATATATTAGGAACTTTATATCTCTGGTGATGGGATTATTTATATCTATTTATATTCCTCTACATTATAAGATTATAATAAAATACGTATAAAATATAAATCTAAGTCTTACTCTATATATTCAAAAACTTATCTATTTATTATTTATTGAATATTAAATTTAAAATAAACTTTGAATTATATTTTTAAAAAAAAAATTATTTTTTAAATAGATCTGTTTATATTATATCAAATTATATATTATATTAATAATATAAATAGATTTAAAATAATAAAAAATCTAAAATATATGTAGTTTTATTTTCTTATGTTTTAATATTATAAAGCATTTTAATTATATCAAAAATTTATTATCTTGATGATTATATATAAATCTTGTGACGGAAAAGTCGTAAACGGAGTCAATTCAATCACTTAGAATCTAAAACTAAAGAACTAAGAAGATTCTAAGTAAGAAGGTCTTTATATACAGGGCTAGTGCACGTGAGCCACTAGTGGGTAACAACCGTCACGTAACAAATCTAAAATCTATAATATTAATCTCGATCTCACCCTCTCTAGATTACGATTATCGAAACGATCTAACGGGGTCGAATATTTCATGATGTATATATGTAGTAATTAATAATTATAATACTATCAGGATATATTTTATATTTATAACTCTCTTGATTATGATGATATCGATGGAGATAGTGTCGTTTTGGTCTACGTTGATATTCTCGTCTAAATTTAAACTGCCGTGTATAATTATAATGTAAAGAACTTATAAATAGAGGGCATCTCTATTCTAAGATCTTATTCAATAAAATGATTAAGGCTCTATACCTATTGGATGATGGGATTTTCAATCTAGTTTTGATCTGGTGAGTAGTGCTTGATGTTTGTGATGTACTCGCTTTTAGTAGTAGTCAGAGGATTGCATTTTCCGTCGGTGGTGCTGATTGATCATAAGGCTCCATTGACTCGTAGCTCGCACTCAATTCTATAAATAGCCTCGCTGATTATGGGTTAAAGAAAGAGGTGAGGAGCGTCGCGGATAAGGAAAGCTTTGAGTTAAGGTATGTAGTACTAAATGAGAAAGCTCGATGCAATGCATGTCGGATTTTCTGCGCATGCGATGGTATTGTTTCAACTACAAACTCCATATAAACAATGGTGAACTGGGCTAAGTATTGATTTGCTGGGACTAGCAGCAGCTATCTGCGACGCCGCGGGATAGCTGCTCCATAAATGTTGTGATGCCTGCATAACGAGAAGCCCCGGAACCAAAGTAAGAAGAACAGGCGTCTCTAGATAACTGTGTAAAATGACATGCCCAGATTGAGGATAATTGGTAGGACTTTCTTTGGCATATTTCTTACATATCTTCAAAGCATGACGAAATTTCTATTTCTAGTACCTACAATATTCATCTCCATCGGCTAAAGTATGATACAAGCATCAAAAATGCTCCCGTCAACAATTTTCATATAGATACCACGGCCTTAGAAGTTGCGGCTAAGTTCAAGTACCAAATCCGTGGTAAGAAAGGTAAGTAGCCTCGATTTTCACAGCGGATTGATATGTATACACAAGCAAGTCATGCACTAATCTCGCCTTGAACCTGTAGTACTCGTAAGGTATACTGGTACAAATCCTCGAGAATTAGGAGTTGTTACAGCTCGCGCTATTTCTTCTAAAGGCCTAGAACTCCTCATTCTTGCATACCGCACTAAAGAGAAAATACATCAAGTGATAGCAGAACTCAAAACAATGCATCAGATGTGCAAGTTCAATCGCTAGCTAGAGCTTGATCTTGCATCTACAGAATCTGTTCGGGCTGTAGCAAAGGAACGGAACTCGACTATTAATCTCCAGACTAGATATTTTGATCAAGAATACTAGGGTTATGTCAGGTCAGTTCAGGAACTGACCTTGACGAATCTGAAAGAAGGTGGTGATGCACCTTGCAACTAAGCATATTGCACATTTAAGCTTCTTGTTCACTAACTTGATCTTGGGTATATAAGCTCGTGGCCGTCTCCAGGAAAGCGAGACCTGTACCAGGAGCCAGAGTCTTGATGTTATCTGAGGATGGCACCAATTCAGCCAGGTGAGATTTGATGACTTGAATTTCGAAGGGAAATCTATTCCATAAGAACAAGAGCCAGACAAAGACTATTTTGCTAAATTTGGCTCATACGGCTACAAATCTTTACATCCTAGAAGCAGCCTATGCATATGCACAATCAAAGACTGCAAACATTTTGTTTTCCACCTATTCGACAGAGCACTTGTATTCTAAACACAGCATCTTGTCATTTTCCGCCAATCCGAAGGTAAGTTACTAATCAAGTCTTCCATCGAGCTTCTGCCAATTAATGTTTTTCCTTGTAGATAGGTACATATTAACATTCTCACCGAAACTGCCATGATCATGAACTTACCGCAGGCTACAATAGATCATCTAATCAACATGGACGTGGTAGAAAAGACAGAGGAATCAGGATCATCCACCACCATGGCCGCAGCTTTAGATCCAGATCTCACATGTACTACTTTCATGAGTCATCTTACCCTTCCGTCAGATTGTCCCAGATATTAACACCCTTGCAGCAGAGTCTGAGCCCTATCTTCATGATTACAACACTATCGCGCCTAGAGAGTTCGCTAAGGATAGGAAACTGGCCGAGAAACTTTGGGTAGGTACTCAGTGAAGGAATTGTTGGAGAGAAATTTTCGCTCGAATTTTGATACAATGAATGATACGTACTGTATTTTTGGATAGGTGGTGGATTTTGTAATCATTGTAGTAAAATTGTTAATTCAGAGCCTGCAGATTATTATCTAGGTAAGGTAGTGGCAGCATAGGTACCTAGACTAGCAAATCTTGGTAGCTTATACTAAGCTAGGATTAGGGCAAACCTAAGCGTTATTAACCCTAGATAGTCCTCTAAAAACATACGTACATCTACTGGTATAATTGAAGTAGTCTGGGTTATCAGTTTAGCGTTGCGATATCATGCACTCCCATTTGCCTGGATTGCTAGCGTCATATCCAGACTTTCACATGCATGTAAGCTCATATATTGAAAGCAGTGTGGGTATTTTTTAATTTTTTTTTTTGGTTACAACAAAATCAAATTAGCATGATTGGAGGGTAGGTAGGTGAGCATGATTTTTAATGTCCAGAGAACTGCGCCTTACACATGCAGGGCATAGCTACAGATAGATAGGTAGGTAGTAGTAGCTAACAACCCAGCACCATATGAATTAACATCAACATCAACATCAACATCAACATCAACATCCCATTTTCTGCAGTCTATTTTGAAAATCTAGTCTCCATTTTCAAATTAATCAAAATGATTACAACACAAGTTGATATCAATGCTTCTCCAGAAACCGTGCGGAAAGTAGTCAGTTACAGCAGCCGTAGCACAACTCACGATCAACGCTAACTCTCAGAATCTCAGCTTTTGGACTTCCCTACCGTCAGTGAATGGCATAAAGGACTCGTCAAGAGTATTAGACCGTTAGATTCCGTCGATCCCCTTGCCGTAGGAAAGAAACTTCATTGTGAAATGGAAGATTTTGAATTTGATTCCATCATTACCGTAAGTAATTATAATCGTTTTGAATGTATATACAATCTAGTGTAGCATCAGATACAGCAAAACAGTCGAATTCTAGACTAGCATTTCATTTCGGGATAGGAAAATTCCCCAAACAAGTTTGCGTGGCAAGGTCCGCCTGTTATGACAGTCTCCGGTCTCCATTCCTTCCTCATTGAACCGAGTAAGAGTAACCCTGGCGATACAACATTTACACAGATGGAGGTATATCCTGGAGGTGTTTCGTTCTTGATGCAGCCTTGGCTTATGGGAAAGCCTATTAAAGGCTAATTCGAGAAGTATAATGCGGATTTGAAGAAAAATTGTGAGAGTCTTTGAGATCAATGGGGATACCAAGATTGTATCAATATTATGGGACCTAATTGAATTTATGTATAGATTGCTGGGATAAGGGGTGCAGCGGGGAGGTAGCCATAATGCTTGTGGATTTAGAAGGTCAAATATGGCTCTCAAAACAGCACAATTAATTATTGCTCATGGCCCTAAACCAGTGTAAAACAAAGTTTCCATAAAGACAAAATATTTACTCTCACTTTACACTTGACGAGGAAGCATGACAAACGTTACTGGTTCTATTCTTGTGTGCCGGTTTCCTGCCAATGAACCCACCCGCTTGGAGGATGGGAACCTGGCTTCTCGAGGGTCAAGCATTCTCTTACGAAGCTACAGAGATTCAGACTTGAGATCTTCTCGCGAACAAACATGGCGGAAGATAAATACCTGTAATGTATCCCTTGGATCTGGACCATAATCAGCAGCCTCTCGCAAAAGGATGATCTCGAAAAAGTAATACATCAAATAGGTTAGTACATGGAAGACAGTTGAAAGTATCTTACCCGTGATTTGGCTCTGTGATATGTATGCCTCAGAAGTCGTCTGTGTCGAAAATCCAACGCTATCACGGAGGCCAGCTTTCCCAAGCACCAGAAAAACACCAGTCTTCAAAATTATGAAAAAAAAAAGGGATTAGGATCGTCATTTAAATACGTGAAAACCAGAATGGCAGTATTTACAATTGTGAAAATGACGAGAATGATCGTGGTGTTCAACATAAAAAGCAACAGAATCGCAATTGCTCTCTTTGGTTGCCGGATGGCGGCAGCCAATATTGTAACGTGAATGGAGTAAAGCAGATAAATAAGAGCACTCAAAAGGCTGAGAGATACCGGGACGAAAAATGGCAGGGAAAATGAAAAGCGCCAGAATAAAAATGGCATTAAAGATAAAAAGCAGTGGAGCAAATTCACCACACACGCAAAAGGATAAAATGTACCAGAGCGACAACAGAACCTCAACTAGTTTTGCTGTGCCAATAAGTCTCTTTGAAGGGAAAACAATCATGAGCCATTTCATTAACCTCATTGTGCAATATCCTAAAGTAACATCTTCATCGCCCTGCTTATTCGACACAAGATGGAAAGTTTCTTCTTGCTCGTGTCACACAAGAAGAAGATAAGTAAATCCCAATTGCAATGCCCGCGTCAGGTCATCTCCACTATAGATATGCATGGGCACAACCGTTCAGACAGATGCTCGTACCTCCTACTGTCGGTATCATTCGATACCCAGTGATCCAGCTGATCGATTTCATGCCACTTGTCCGTACTCATTTTGGATGTCTCTATTCTCTCAATAGATGGAATGTCCACTGAGGATTATTACTGTAGGACACAGAAAAGTAGGGCACTCGTACGGTGATTAGGGTTATTATTGTGGCAGAATCTTCGTGCATTGGAAACCATCTATCATACGTGTCATTCATTGGATCCGGCTAACCTTATTAACTGCGCCGTCGCGTGACTTTGTGTTATTGATGCCTGATGACTCAGGAATTAAAAGATTTCTCTTTCCGTACACCTTCATTAAATTTATTTATTGATCTATTAACCCCATTTTCTTTACAGCTCGTGTATCTTCTGTTTCATTCCTATTCTATCAAACATTTCGATCATTACAATAAAAGCTCGACCATAAAAAGATTCTTCCCATATCAGGTTCGAACAATATCAAAAGCTTAGACAAATTACTTCAAGTCTTTGCAGTCGACTCCATACTTTTCTCCTGCAACATCCCTAAATACCCATTTTGATTTCGACTTCCTCATCTCGAATTTGCGCGTTTTGATATGATATCCATTTCCATGATCTTGTTTCCATAGTGATCAAGATCCATCGACTTCATTTGAGAGGACGCGACAATCATTGTAGTTGTTGATTCTCGGTCCTGTCAGCCACCAAGTCGCGTCATTCAATCACACAACAGCCAGCCATACAATCGCGATGGATTCGCCGAAACAAGCAAATGCTGCTCAGCTGGCGGCCCGCAGTATCAAAGCAAAACCTAAAGGCAGGTTAAATAACCAGAAAGCTGGCTTCGCGCCCGTGCAAAATAACAACTCTAATAATAATGCTGCCGTTGGTGGAGGAGGTGGTGGCGGTCTATTCGGTGGAAGTATATCTGCTCCTGGTTCATTCAACTTCGCAGCGCCATCCGGAACACCAAGTTTCACTCCTTCATTTGGAAACTCAACATCCAATCAATTTGCTGCGCCCGCAAACGAAGACCACCGGCCAGATACTACAGGTGAAGAAGCTCTGCGAAAGGAAAAGGTGTTCAGCAGTGGATTCAGATCGGGCGTTGGAAATGAAGAGGCCTTGTTTGCTTCTCATTCCCCATACCATCATAACCAACAACCGTCAAATACCCTAGACGCCTCGAATAATACACAAGCACCAAGTCTGTTCGGCGGAGCAAACGCGACACAGCCAAATGGAGGTGGATTACAATTTGGATCGTCAACATCGCAGAATCAAGCAGGAAGTTCAATTTTCGGTGGCTTCAATTTTACACCTACATCACAAGCCACAAACAACAGTAGTAATTCTACATTTGCGTTCGGTTCCTCATCACAAACCCCAATCAACAACAGCACTCCAGCTTTCAATTTTGGTGCGGCGAATTCTGGTCAGGCAGAAAATTCTCTGGCTTTTGGCGCAAATTCAACTTCGAAAACGCAAAATCCTTTCACCCATGAAAATAAAAAAGCAAGTAATTTTGATTGCGACCCTTCATCTTTTTCCGTTCTTGATAATTCCAATTTCTCTTGTTCAACAACTTTCCCTACTAATCATTTCCACAATCCAATTTTTGACCAACAGTTCTTTTACACAAACGAAGATAGCTCAAACATGTTTGAAGACTACAAAGTAGAATATCCCGGAGATGTTGGGCAAGCGCCAGCACAAAGTTTCCAAATTCAGTATCCAATAGGTCAATTAGCATTGGCCGCCAATATTAGCTATCCTGAAGGTCTACCAGCCACAACAGCAACTAGCTCCATCTTTGGCAACACACCTTTGCTAGCGGCCCATCGTGCTAACCCACTTCATTTTGTACAGGACGATTCAAAGACCTCTTTCGGACAGAATAATACCAACAATTCTTTTGGTGCTCAAAACAACTCTTTTGGCGGTTCCTTTGGTGGTTCCTTTGCAAATCAAGCCAACACTAGCTTCACTGGTCTCAATTCTACCAATGTTGCCCCTCAAAACTCCCAGAGCCTGTTCGGCAACATGGCGGCAGCGACATCTGCTCCGCCTTCCCCGAATGTTTTCACCTCGTCGTTCCCCGCAACCACATCCGCTCCAAGCACCACAAACATGTTTGGAAGCGCTGCTTCTTCATTCCCTACTGCATCTGCACCAAGCACTACAAATTTGTTTAGCAATGCTAATTCGTCATTCCCTCCTGCCACTGCTTCAACCACTCCCCTTTTTGGTGCTGCTAAGCCTGCCGAATCTACTACACCTGCTGTGACTGCTCCACTTTTTGGTGGCCTTAGTAAGCCTGCCGATTCAACTCCATCGGCTCCAAGCACTTCATTATTCGGTGGTTTCAAGCCTACAGAATTGACTCCTTCCGCTGCAAGCACTTCATTTTTTGGTGGTCTTAAACCTGTCGAGCCGACCCCATCAGCATCGGGTAACTCCCTTTTTGGTGGTTCCAAGCCTACTGATCCAACTCCAGCTTCTTCAAGCACATCAAATATATTCGCCAAACCCGCATCAACACCTACTCCTGCATCAACTTTCACTGGCTTCAGCAAACCTGCGGAATCAACTGCAGATCTCTTTAACCGTAACAATCAGAGCAATGGCCAAAGCAATAATTTGTTTGGATCAAAACCTGCAGAAGAGCCAAAGGACAAGCAAACTCTCAATCTTTTCAACAAACCCGTCGGGCAACAACACTCTGAGCAGAGTGCAATGGACAACACGACGGAAAAGACTCCAGCAAAGACCCCAGATGCTCTTTTCGCAGGCTTTGGTAAGGCAAATTCCTCGGCAGAATATCAGCTCGGCGGTGCCACCAAGGAACAATCTGTAAGTGACTTGTCCAATTCCCCAACTGACGACAGGAAGAATGCTAATCTGTCAAAGCTCGCCGCTCCGTCCGATGGCCAAGGTGCGTCTTCATTCAAAGTTCGTGGTAGTGCCGAGGCATCCGCTTTGAATAACGCTTCTTCTATTTTTAAACCAGTCGATGCTTCTGCAGACGCGGCACATCACCCAAACAATGCGCTTGGTAGCTTTGCTTCTCAAGCACAAGGCAGGCAAGCCTCGGACGAATCGCCAGACAACACTTCTGTTTCCAACTCGCTCGTTCTGAGTGCCCCTACAAATTCATCCTCGCACCCCACTCTCCCTGATAATAAAGCACTTGCTCCTGGTAGATTGTCCGATTTCGAGTTCCAAGTTTCAGAACCTACGGACTTGGAGATGGAGAGAAATATGCCTCCCAGCTTTGATATAGTGCAACGAAACGAATTCAAGGCACTTTGGCGTATCGCATCCGTGCAGAGAGCAATGGCAGCCTACTTCCATCATCTACCGCCTGGCGCGGACCCATCGAAGGGACTGGCGTGGATGGAGGCTAAAAAGAAAGAGATTCTCGCAGAACATAAGATTGATTACATTTCAAACAAGCGAGGTAGAGCACAAGCTGGTCTTGAGAACGACGAGAACCAAGAAAACATGAGTCCTCAGAAGCGAATCAGACAAGACAAAGAACGCCCGCATCGTGTTCCGAGCCCTGAAAAGCGCCCGCGAAGTACTCGGAGCCCTGATAAACGCTCACGTGCGACAAATGAGTCCGAGTCTGACCTCAATGGCAACTCGGTGCTAAGAGCACCAAAACTTCAGCCTGGTCGTTCGTCCAGCCGAAGTAGATCACCTTCCAGAAGCGCCGCTTTAGAACCATCTCCAAATAAGAAGAGAAAGAATGAGACTCAATTGGAATCAGGTGATGGTGAAAGTGGGGGACATAAGAAGAGAAAGCCTGAGCAGCCAAGTCAAAACGAGATAGCTGAAAGTGGTAGCAGCAAGAAGAGAAAGCCTGAGGTTTATTTGACTCAAAATGATCCTGAAGGAATCGAAGATGGCAAGAACAGCAACAAGAGAATAGTTAATGGTTCTAGTTCAAGCACCTCTAACATGTTCAAGAATATCTTGGACAGCCCAGAGAGAAAGACGCGGGCATTGCCTGGAGCTGTTAAGGAATCCGTTCCTGCTCCAGCAGAGGCACCTACTGCCAATCCATTTGGAAATCTGGCAGGTGCTTCTCCTATCAAATCTAACACCGGCACAACCTCTACTACACCCAGCAAGCCTCCAGCATTCAAATTCACGCCTACCTCCACCACACCTACCACGTCTCCAACCAAAGCACCCATCTTTACTGGTACTAGCGGTATCAAGCCGCCTGCCTTTTCTGGTACTCCTGCTGGTGGCGTTCAGCTACCTACCTTTTCAAGTGCCCCAGCTGATGGTATTAAGTCACCTACCTTTTCGGGTGCTCCAACTGGTGGTATTAAACCACCTACCTTCGCTGGTGCTCCTACTGGTGGTGTTAAGCCACCATCTTTCGGAAGCGGACCTGTCAACTTCATGGCCCAATTTGGCCAAAAAGCAGCTGAAAGTGCAGAAGATAATGAGAAGTTGTTAATGCAAAAAGCTAAGGACGCCGACTTCGATTCCGAGGATGACGATGAGGCTGAATGGGAGGCCAATTACAAAAAGAAGAGAGCTGCGGAGCTCAAAGAATTGGAGGAGCTTGCAAAGAGCAAGGCTCCTAATTTCCTCGTCAAATCCACTGGAACTACAAAGTCCATCGAAGCAAAAGAAACTGCGAAGCCAACAGCTACAAATATTTTTGCACCAGCCGCCAATACTAATTCTACGCCATTGTTTGGACAAGCTAAATCTACTACCGGAGCTGCTGAGAGTATCTTCAGTTCAGCAAACGCATCAGGAACATCAACTCCCAACTTGTTCTCTGGCGCTGGATCCGTCCTTGGCAGTGCTGCAAAGACATCTTCATTTGCCGGCAACCCCTTTGCACATCTTTCCGATGCGGACTCAAATAATCAAAATGACGGAGATGATGAAAGTTCTGACGATGGTTCTGACGGCGAAAATGAAAAGAAGGATCCAAGCTATAAACCAAATACAAGCGATGACACTTCAAGTACACCTAGTGCCTCCGTTGATGAGTCTGGTTCTAGCATTACCTCCAAAAAAGCAGTTACTGAGCCCCCAAAGCTGAATTTGTTCGGCTCAACTGCTAGCTCTGGTGCAACTACGCCCACTCCCGGTGCTGGTGGGAGCCTTCTCAGCCGTATGACTAGAGATCCTGTGTCAGAGGAGAACGAGAAGCCGGCACCAAAGCCATCCACGAATATGTTCGGTAGTTCTGTCGGGACAACTTCTGTTACTCCAGCAGATAAAACTTGGAAGCCAGATACACCAATTAAATTTGGTAGTACTCCACCTTCTGCCCCTGCTGCCCCAACATTTAACTTCACTGCTTCTACTCCAACAAAGCCGGTAAACAGCCCATTTGGCGGATTGTTTGGTAATTCCGGAGCATCTACTCCTGTTCTCTCTAATGGACCTACCACTACTACAGGATTTCAGTTTGGTGGTCCTCCGTCTGCTACATCTTCTTTATTCCCTTCCGTGGCAGCTTCCGCAAATACTTCTCGAGCTACCTCACCCGGTGCAACCACCGATGGTGCCACTGATGCCGATGACAATGATCCCGAAAAAGTCCATGCTCAGGTAAACCTTTTGGAATCTAATCCAGGCGAGGAAAATGAAGATGTCATCCACTCTGTTCGAACTAGGGCGTTGAAGTTCACTCCAAGGGAGGAAGGTGACGAGAAATCTCCATGGGACACTAAAGGCGTGGGGCCATTGAAGGTACTTCGTCACAAAGAAACCAAGGCTACTCGAATTCTTTTGCGAAGTGATCCATCTGGATCTATTATACTCAATAAATCACTTCTTTCGCAGGTCAAATATGAAGCTAGCGGTAAGACCCTCAAGCTTATGACAGTCGGTGATGATGGGAAGGGTTTGCAAACTTGGGTTCTTCAAGTAAAGGGAAATGAATTGGCGGAAGAGCTGGCTAAGTGTTTGGAGGATAACAAGGTCAACAACAATTGATGATCAACTCATTCCACCTTATGTATCACACTATTTTCAGCAAGAAATGATGGTCTGTTCATGGAAATAAGTTTGGCGTTTGCGTTGCATAGCGTGGACTGGGAAAAAGAAGTTTACGATTGTTTTTGTATTGCGATTTTGCTTTTGCTGTTTTTCAATTGCTCAATATTGATGAAAAGGAAGGGTGGAGTATTTATAGGCATATTATTGATTGGCACCGACCTCTTCAAGTTGCTTTGCGCATTCTATCAATTGATAACATCACTTTGTTGGTGGGGAACTACGACTATGAGATTTTGATCAGGGTTGTACAATGGGCTGTGACCCCTTCTCTCATCAAATTCTCATGGGGCATATAGAACCTTGATATTGCTGGGGTTGTCGTTTTGGAACTGGAATTTGGCCGGAAGCGATTGTAAATAGCATAAGGGAAATACTTCAGCACATTGATATGAGTACTTAATGAAACGTTTAAATCATTTCTTTCTTTTATTCGCTGGTGATGATGTGACTGTAATCCGTTGCTGAGTTGTGAGTATAGGTATATGGCTGTTTAGTGAGCTTCTCTCCCTTTCTTTGAGACTCGAGAAAATCCTAGCCAATGTTGCCTGTGGAACAAACAAGCTACTATTGTATCAACTTGATGGTGGTAAAGTGTAAAGTACTTCATCCTATTCGTATTGATAATTGTTTTTGACTCATTCTATTCTATATATACCTACTGAATGCCAGAACTTATAAATAAGAGCTTCGAGACCTAGCATCTCGCTAGCTAGTACAGCTAGCTCTCTTCATGGTCACATGATCGATGTCTCTCTCAGTGGTTATGTTTCTACCAATACCGTTTCTTCTCTTCTTTTCAGATCTCTATATTTGAAAGGATTTCATTTCCCAGGTCTTGGTATGAACAGTAGTAAAATCCAAATGATTCGCTGGTGATGATGAAATTTATATCATTATATCAATTATCATACCCTTTAATGAAACTTTAGTGGGTCAAACCACGTGTGGTACAATAATACCCAACTTGCTCATAGGTCCTCACCGTTCGATGAAACCAATCTTCCCAGTACTGATAAGCCATTACCTTCTTTCCTTGGAAATGCATGAGCCCAACTGCAATATAGGACAATTATGGCATTGTGGCTTATTTCGTGGAGCACAAAGTTGGTACATGCGCATCGACGTCGTCGTCTGCTCCCTGCGGCGTAGAAATTTCTCGAAATCTCGCGAAAGATGTTTCACCCGGGGTCTCCACATCATGAGCTTCATTTGTTTCGTTCGACGATGATGTCTATATCTCTCCCTATATATATATCGACATGGTTCGCTGGAATTGTAATATAGTATTGATCGGCATTCAAGTTTTTAGGTTTAGTTTTTAAATTTAGCCAGATTTAACGTTTTTGGCAACTACTGATCGATTATTTTTTCGTGTTGATGGTAATTCTTCTTATGTTATATTTATTATTGGAAGTGGTAATTTTATATCGGTATTATCATCTTTTACGTGCTGTTTTTTTTTCTCGTTTATATCCTTACCATTGTTATATTTATTGAATAGCGGATACCACTTTTTTAATTTTTGTTTTTTTTTTCGGAGATTCGACGATGTCTTCTGCACCTTCGGATCTTTCGCTCAGTCCAGATCAGAGATACGATAATGATCAGATGATCATGGCTTGGATCGCTGCTTTGGTGGCAGAGGGATGTCCTCCTTTTGCCGTGACTTACAAGACGAACTCTTCCCCATGCAACCCAACTTCTACAGATTGCAAACAATCATAGTTGTAGAGGTTTACTTGTATGGGAATATGTGATGGGTGTTTTGAGTTGAGCTTGTACTATTACGGCAAGTTTGCTTAGGTTATGGAATCGGAGTCGTTGTCATTGTCGGGACTTTCTCCATCAGTCTTGACAACGCTGGTTACAAGTATCGCAGATTCTCTCCGTGTTTTCTGATCTAGGGGCTTTTATGCAGGATAGCAGGGCTGGCCGTTTGTGCGCTTTTTTTTCTCCTATTGTCTCGGCTCTGGCGTACGCAGTTCAGCACCGCACTGCATCATATTTGGGTAGCACCAACGCACATTCGTTAAGTCTTGTCATTTAATTACCCCTGTTCTCGGCATCTGCATTTTTGAAAAGAGACTTTTGCACGGAGTATCATTTCTCATTGCTATACTACCACTCGGAAATCCACAAATGGAGGAGTGGAAAAGGACTGAGGATTTCGAGTTCAGACTGATTTCTCGGTATTGTTAATTGTGAGCGTGGAGGCTTAGAATGATCACGAAGTGCATTGTATGATTTATAAGGCTGGATGGAAAGAGTTTGATAAGTATGTCGCTTTGAATAGTTGTATATGAGCTATTAGCACTAAAGAACTCAGTAGGGCATTTGGATCTCATCCCGTCGAGATGGCAGGTGACATGGTTCACCAATTGGAGGAACTACATGGACTTCCGATTTAATCCTTCCAGGCACTCTCGAGAACAAATTAAGGCTTTAAACGGGTGCACCTAGACTCTTTAGTCTCTCGGAGGAGAACCTTCTCTATTTGAGTGTGGATGTACCTCTGTTTATTTCCTCATCCTAGCAACAGGCCACGCAGGCAACTGGGAAATATGTTCTTAATGATGGATATAGAATACTTCAACGAGGAAATATGGAAAAATTGGATTTCCTGATATTACAATTTTGTGTTTTTTTATCAATGTATTTACCCTACTACATATAATATTTCTCAATATCACAAGAAATTATATTCAAATATTACCTACGTGCATCTACTCGCGAAAGAAAGAAACGAATAAATAAATAAATACTTTGATCCAGGTATATCCATGTTCATATTCAAGTCTTGCTGTAATAAAGTCCCTTCAGGGTACGGTAATATACTCGATGGATGTGGCTATCATCTCCAAGTCCTTCAAAATTTGACAATCGAATTAAGAAGCACCTTCGAGGCCCAAAAGGATATTACTCTCCACGCCTTCGCTGCATGCAAGGATGCTAGAGTGCTCTCTGTTTTTTTGATTGGTGAGAAATTGTAGACGAGTGGGCATTGATGGTGTGGTTGATGTATAATTACGTATAAATTAGATAAAGCGGGCAATTTGAGGAAGAGTAATAGATTAGATGTGTTGATTATATCTATTCATTTGCTGTTTGGATACATGGAATAGGTGGTTTTGATTTCAATCGTTTATGTAACAGGTAGGAAGCCCAAGTGATATATCAATCAATCGGCTTATACACATGTCCGATCGTTACCTTAAGATGAGACTCCAGTTTGTTGACCGTTATGTGCGCTGTACCACAAGTATTCCATCATTATTCAAATTCTTAGCACCTAAGCACCTTTCTATTCACACGCACATCACATTAGCCAACATCCCCATCATTCTCATTCCCATCTAACCATATTCCCACATCCACCTGCAACCCCCATCCCATCCTATTCCATCACATCCCGTCGCATCGTTGGCATCAACAAGAAACAAAAAGAAACAACTCACCGCACCCCTCTCATCCTCCAACCCAATAATAGGACCCTGCTTCGCGGCCTTCGGAAACTCGACCTTCACCTTCTTCTTCGTCTCCTTTGCCTGATCCACCGGTTCTCCTTCCAATCCCGCACTCCCACTATCCCCTTTCGCTTTTTCCTGCTTCGCTTTCTGAGACTCGTCGTGCTCGACTTGGTATTTTTCCGTGCGTTGGTCTGTGCCTGCGTTTTCGGAGGGAGGGGTGCCGGTCCATGGGGTGCGGTAGTGTGTGCCGGTTGAGAAGGAGCGGGGTCGTGAGATGGGTGGTAGGGTGTTTTGGGTAGCTTGGGGTTGGAGATGGGGTTGGTGGGTTGGGGAGGGAATGCGGTGGAATTGGAGGTGGAGGCGTGGGTTAGGGGTTAGGTGGCGGATCCGGGAGCAGGGAGAGGTGGATAGAGCTGGGGACATGGTTTTGATTGTTGGTGGGGTGAGTTTTGGATGTTTGATAGATGTGATCAGGTAGATTGTGATAAAGTTTTCAAAACTAAGATTGATTAATTGATGAATTGAGGTTTATATGTTGATATATATGTCAGTAGATATGAAATAATAGATAGTTGTAAAAGGATTAAAGAGTTGAAGAGTAAAAAGTAGGACAGAAAAACAAGAAAAGAGAAATAGGATTGTGCGAGAAATAGGTAGCGAGAAACAACTAAGTAATAGCTTGTAATAGCTCTGGAACGCTTAGATCAAGAGTTCTCCCCCTTAGCTAATCGTTCATTTATGCATTAGTGACTACTTGGCACCGGTAATGGAGACGTCAACTAGTATTCGATGGCGTCACAATTTTAGGGGGATCTACAACGTGGGGTACTGCTAGTCCTCGTTTGGGCGATAGACTGTGGCGAATGTGGCTGATGATTGTAATTCAGGTATTTCAAGATTGTGGTATTGTTAGTGGCTGAGCATTGGGAGATAAAAATAAGTCAGTTAAAGAGGATGCTATATATCGTGGTAAATAGACCATTGCAGTATTGACCTTAGCCGAGATGGGTGGATATCATGTTAGGGGGGTGATGTAAAAGCTGACCGCAATGATCAGTGATATATACAATGGATGAAAGAGAAATGCGGGTACACGTTTTGACCAGAAATGACTCGAGTAAATTCCCAATATATTTAAGGTTTTATAATACCTCACGAACGCCCTTTGCTATGCTGATACCTTCTCCCAAAACGCCAGATCCGTACCGTACATACATTTGAGATGAAGGCTGTGAGCTTTCATGCTCTACCTACTCTGAAGGAAAGGATCTGATAATAATTAGTATCAATTTTTGAATGTAAAAAGAAAGGAAAGTATACGCACATCATTATGACCAACAGAAACAATAGCATCTTCCGAAACTCTCACTCCACCAGCTCCTTCAACATAAGCTAAAGGAGCATCTCCCATAACTTTCCTTGCACACTCCGCAACTGTAGTGTTTTTCTTAACCAACACACAATCCCTAAACACCTTCTCACTTCCAGAACCACCACTTCCCGCTATTAGACTTCCTACGTTCCTTACAGGAAATACTGGTACTAAACCTAGTAATTCTGCTGCTCGAGAGAGTACTTGTACTACTCCGGTACTTCCAAATCTGTAAAGAACCATGTCCTTTAGATTCTCAATTCTCGTTTTGAGCTTCTCGTCCAATTCTTTTAGACCTCCACCGGTTTCATCGCCGTCGGCAATTAAATCATCCCTGGTATCCACAAACTCACTTCCCTCCGTATATCTGACAAAACCCTGTTTAGCCAACCTCCTCAAGAAAACCTCCGAAACAGCACTACACAACACAATACTCTTCGGATCTTGCATCTTTGCGATCTTGCTAATATTCTTGTCCGCATCCGCATGATCGATTTTATTAAGGGCAATAACCGTCGGGAATTTCTCATCCGTAAAAGCATTCACCACCAAATCAATCGTCTCATCAGACCAATGTTCCAAGGGCTCCTTCAATCCCAATTTATCCAACGTCCTCGCAACGACCGAACTCGTACTTCCATATCCGGAAAATTGCCCCTGTAATGTCTCGACAGCTGTAGCTTTGACAGCTACGTGTCTCCGTTTTATCGATCCCCATTTCTGCATCAAGTTTCCTCGAATCCATGCTACGATCTCCGAACGCAACCACACGATATCATAACTAGGATCATAACCTCTCGTTGCTTTGCCTTCCGCGTCAGTAGTACCACTTACGTCGACGACGTGGATGAGCGCATCTGCATGGCGTAAATCATCGAGAAACTTATTTCCAAGACCTTTTCCTTCATGGGCGCCTGGAACGAGTCCGGCTACATCGAGGAGTTCGATGGGAACAGAGCGACGTCCGTCTATACAGGAACCATAGTTGGGTTTGCAGCGCGATTGAAGATTGTAGCGGGCGCAGGCACAGTCGATTTGAAGGTAGCCAATTGCACGTTGAGGATCGATGGTTGTGAATCTGGGAATGGCTCAGTATTTGATCATCTTGCTTTACTTTTGTGCGATTTTCACAGCTTTCTATCCGTAATCCTGGGAATGTGCGCATATGATTCATGGAGTGAGTGCTTACGGAAAATTGCCTATATGAAAAGGAGGTGTAAGTGTATGGAGGGGTAATTTGAGGTCAGATAGAATAGCATGGAGAATATGTGTACGCACCAACTTTCGACGAAGCATCAGTAAGACTATTTAGAGTTGTACTTTTCCCTGAAGAGGGCTTGCCTACGAGGCCGATCAGAGGATCTCGTGGCATATCGTGCGGTGGTTAGAGAGATGTGTTGAAGAAGATGATCTTGCATAAACATAAAATTTGTGTAGCCGCGGTGTTTATACCTGAGGCAGAAAACAGTAGATTATCCTTAAAGTGGAAGTCTTGAGATCATTGTCATCGAGCTCTGAAAAACATGTGCATATTTCTTGTATCAATAGACTTGTTGCTTATTATTTGCTCAATTTAAACAATGGCACATCCTTACAAATTTGTGTCTAGCAGTCTACACTTAGAAAGAAATTCCTTTTAGGCCGTCAACGAGTTACACTTTTGGCATTTTGAAGATTGGATGTCTTTTGACTATACTCACGAGGTCAGCTAGAGCTTGGATGAACATGTGGGAATTCAGGTCTGATGTTCAGTAGATCAATATCAATGTTCCACCGACCGTGAGTTTGATGAACAGGCACACCCTTATTGTCTACACTCTTCTTAATCTAGTGCAATTCCTAAACCGTATATAGCTTCTATGATCCTCCGCACTGATTTCGGTATGCAGTTTCTGCCCAGGGAATCCAAGCCCTAGTATGTAGCTATTCTCTCATAAGAAACTTTGCTTAAATCGTGATCTCCAGCCATTATTCTCCTCGATGTGCAACTTGATGCTCTGAGGTACCCACCTTCTGCAACGCTTTCTTATATCAACCCTGACCCGGCAACTCTCATCTCTCTCATTTAAAGCGAGCAAAGCTTCATTTTTATTCAAGAGATCAAGCTTCGGCAGATGGAAACCAACGTCCGTGTGCAAAATATGGTCTCGCCTTAAGACTTCTTGTCCCTGAGCTTGGAAACTAGTCCCAGTACCGGAACTCCATAAACGCACTCGCGCATAGACATCTAGATAATTGAGGTCTGTCTAGGATGCCCACAATGTGAACATTCGTACTGAACATGGGGAAAGTATTTTTAAGTGTGTGTAGGTACCTAATCCACGTTGATTGTGAATCAATACATCTTAAAAATTCTCACAAACCTATTGTGATTTCAAGTGCTCTATGGGTGCATGTACCGTTTGTATGAATAGCCAGCCCCTGAGTAAACGAGCCTTTTCAAATGCAGTATACCTGAAAATCCTTTCCAATACTTTTCATCGAACTCGCCTTGACTCGTGTAGCCAGCAGTATGCGTTTGCCAAGAAAGATGTTCTTTGCATTGCACAACCACAAAGCCCCAACCTCGTCATTTCTGAGTGGCTTTGAATCGAAGGACCCTGGAGTCAGAATGGCGAGGTAATCACAAGATAAAGTCGAGAACCTCGCAGCTGAAACCATCGAATGTTCATGTAGAGGGTTACACACTCTTTTGCCGGCGGCTTAGCAAAGTGCAAATTAAAGATAGACGAATGGGATATAGAATATTGAATCACATGAAGAAATGTCCCGGAAACGCCACAACACCGCCACGCTTAAGTGTCCCCGCCAAAGAGAAGTGAAATAAGGAAAACCAATCGGATGCACGCGGCAGCTAGGAGAGAGTCAAAATTTCCGTCTTCGCGGCAATTGTGATGCTACCCAAAAATAAAATTGTTGAATCGTCTCAATAGAAGGAAATCTATTCGTTGATTAAGCAATTGTAACAATATGCAGGTATAGTAGATATGTAAGCAATCACTGATAACCAATAATTCCAATTTTGATTTTGATTTTCCATAAGCAAGATTGGCTGATGAATTATCACCTATGATGATGTTCTATGGCAGAGAAAAGCAGGTGAAAGAGAGGGAAGAAAAAGATGGCTATGACGTAAGGTGGTTAATAATTTATTGACCAGAGCGGTTTGGTCTTTCTGACTCTTTCATTTCTTGGTTGGGCTACACTTCACCACAATTACAATTCCAAAGTAATCTAATCTATTTTCAGTAGTGCCAAGTCTTTCTTGCTGGTTAATAACAGGTGAAATAATGATGAAGCTTGGCTAGATTGGTGACGTTGTACCTCCAACTCAAGCAAAATCGGGAAGTCGTACCATTCAGAATTCCCGGTTCCGAAAAGTCCTACTCATACATAAAGGTCCACTCGCCCATTATTAGTTACACTTTGCAAACAGACAAACAGACATTCCAATCTTCTCTACAACAAAACAAAGAATTCTCTGCTTTTTTAAAGATACCCATTCATCAATAACTCACATCAGCTTTTCAATTCGATACCTTTTTACCAATCAAATCCAACATCATGCCTTTCACAGCAAGGTAAGAATCATTCTCCCAGTTCCCTTTCGGCTCTGTCGGATATCATACATACCGCACTCCCCTCAGTTCATTTCAAAAAAATCAAATACTGACATTCCATGACAGCGATATCTGCAAGATCATTCTCGCCATCATCCTACCACCTCTTGGTGTATTCCTCGAGAGAGGATGCGGTGCCGATTTGCTTATTAACAGTAAGCCTATCCATACAGTATTCTCTTGGTATACACTCAGAAATACTAACACGGCTTATAGTCCTTCTCACCATCCTTGGATATATCCCCGGTATTATCCACGCCTTATATATTATTCTGAAGTATTAAGCTTCGCCTCATGGTAACGCATTTTCTCAACTCAACAACAAACAATAAATCTTTACTCTCCTCGACCAACGATACCCCTATCTATCTTCCGTCTCTTTCCACACCTTCTCGAAATCAGATGTTACCGTCACGGTTCATGCTCCGACATATTTGATGAATAATTAATCTCTTGGCATCGGAAGTTTCGGCTGCAGAATATTTCTCGGCATGAAAATATGATGGCTTGGGAGTTTTGGACATGGGATATGCGTGGGCATGAATCAATTTGGGGGGTGCTGATGATTTTCCGATTATACTTATCTTTTTGCGCATTTCATAAAATGGGGTTTTAATGGAATGGGGTTTTTTTCATTGGGTCTTCTGGCAGCATGTCTACGGATGTGTGGTGCAATACGGGTTTCGCGGGTGAATCGTACAGAGGAATTGATGGATGGATAATATACTGAATTTAAAACCGATTACAATTTTTCAAAATGCCCAGAAATATTTATGTCGTGATTGATGTGTGCTGTGTTGAGAACTTGTCGTATTTGTGTATGACCGCCAAGAAGAAAGAAAGAAAAAAAAAATATAGCAATAGGTGGAACATTTTACTTTGTCTTACCCTCACCGACTTGTAGATTGAAGTGGTCAAGCGTTACTACAATAGAATCTTCCAGCTCTTCAAAGTAGATGGATTTGACAATCCATGATTCTATCCTCACTCATACTCCGATCCCGAGTAATAAACTTCCCGTCCTCTCCACTTCATCCACTTCAGCCCTTTCTCAGGATGCCTCCTTTATGAGGCAAGAACTGAAAACTCGGCTTATTCGTATTAAGCTTAGCTCACAAGCATTAAGCGACCCAAACTCTTGGCAACCCACAGAGAAAATTTACTTTTCAAAGTTCCTACTTCAATCATCAACAACACTCAATTCGGCGTAGGATAACCATTTCTTTGCGACCTCATCCAAAATCAAACAAAATGCCTCCAAAAGTACGTCCATGAATAAGAACCGCTTTGCTGTTGGCCTGCTTTCTTTTGGAGAGTTATGGCGTGATACAGTAGGCTAACTTATTTTTTATCCAATAGGCCAACAAGAAGGGACCCTCTGTCAAGAGAAAGTTCGTTATCGACTGCAAGCAACCTGCCAATGACAAGATCTTCGATACCGCTGCTTTCGAGAAGTTCCTTCAAGACAACCTTAAGGTTGATGGATTGAAGGGTAACTTCGGCGACAAGGTCACTGTTACCAAGGATGGAGAGAGCATCAAGGTCGAGACCTCTGTTAACTCTGGTCATTACCTCAAGTACTTGTATGTTTTACCCAAGCAATGTTACTGAATTGTGGTTTTTGGAATACTTGCTAATCTGCCATTGCAATAACAGGACCAAGAAGTTCCTCAAGAAGAACCAATTGAGAGATTGGCTTCGTGTTGTTTCTACCTCCAAGGGCGTCTACGAATTGAGATTCTTCAACGTTGTTGGTGATGATGCTGAGGAGGATGACGAATAGATGGTTACATATTACATCTATGATTAAGAAATTATACCATGATGCCTGGACTATGGACTAGAATATCATGAGGAGGGTTGGGATTTAGCAATAGTAGAAATAACCAATGCTATATTACTGCTCTCTCAAAATGTTTTACTCTGGATATTGATATGTGATTCTGCTATGAAATTATTTGCTCACAATTTGAAAGCTGCTGTGCTCATTGGCTGTTTGATTGCAATTTTCACATGGCTGCGGAACAATGTTGTGCATTTCTTCCATATCTCTATCTTCAAACACTTTCTGACCCTTATTAAACCTTTTACACCTGTGGAAAGTTCCGTTCCCATACTCTATACTTCAAAATCAAAGCGAGGCACCCTTTAACAATTCAAAGAGGCACCCTTCGTGCTCGCCAGCAATACCCTCCATAAAAGAAGAAGGAAAGGAAGTTATTAACTTCTCCCTTTACGATATCAATACTGCATTGTTCTCGAGATCGTAGTTTGACCATTTGAGATTGTACTGATGTACTGGGCGGGCTTTACCATTGTTGGGTATGATGATGGGTATGATGATGGGTATGATGATGGGTATGATGATGGGTATGATGATGGGTATGATGATGGGTATGATGATGGGTATGATGATGAATATGATGATGGGTATGATGATGGGTATGATGTTGGGTATGATGATGGGTATGATGGCGTATAAGTAATACTAAAAGAAACTACCTCAGTTTCTACACAAGAGAATTGTGAATGGTTACATACTGTGCGTGCGCCTCGGTGAAATGGGTGAAGATGTGTTTTATGTTGCTTGGAGGTGTAGGGTGTATTTCTATATTACTTTTAGAATTAATATTTATTAAAATGAGTCTGTGAATAATATCAGTATCTATCTCTCTCTCGCGCCACTTCTACTTATCACTTTTGTGGTGATTTCGGCGCGGACATAGAAGTATTAGTTCTTGGGATTTAATTAAAATTTATCGCCGTTCTGATATTAAGGATGGAGGATGGATGATGGGTGATAATGCGTAAGGGAAGTTGATGTAGTGGGTGACTTTGGTTAAAGGTGATTAGTTAGTTGATTAGTTTTCAATATCATCTGAATCTGATTTTCTACTTTACTTTTTTTTTTCTAAATGTAGTAATTAGTAGGAGTTTTTAATATTTACATAGGGAACAGGATAATTAATCTCAAATTTAATTTAATACCCCAGCTCTATTTCGACGTCTAAATTCTTTGATGGTAAGCTTAATTGCAATCAATTATTTCCTGAGTACTTTCTACATTCGTGATGTTGGTTCCCGAGTCTTGGAACTAAGAGTGAAAATTAGGATGCGTGGTAAAATGTTATATCTTTCAGCAGCTTCAGGAGCTTTTTTACTGTTTTCTGTGTTGGGTTGATGTCTGCGGATAATAGGATCTAGCGACTGCTTCTGCAAAGAGTATGAGGTTTATTTTCTGGTTATGACATATCTGCTCTTGTCTGTGGAGATGGGAGATCATGGTTAACTTCTTGTACAGACGTTTTTCGCAATGATTTGCGTGGATAAGAGTAGGTAGGTATAGTATGTGAGAAAGAAGGGTTTTGTTTGATATTAGAAGAAGTGGATATTTGGATTTGTGATGAGGATTTGAGAATTAAGGAGTACGTTTGCTGGGGGGCTGTTATATTGGAATAGTTGAATATCCAGATCAATGGACACTTGGGTGTGCAATATGAGAGATGAATGTTACGTTGTAACATTATAAACTATTATCACCTATTATAAGATCACATGAATAGTCTTGTGAGGGAGCGAGGGAGCGAAGGAGCGAGATTCGAATCTCGCTCCCCAGCTCCATCGCTCCAATGTTGGAATACAAAGGTCTATATAATCAAGATGGATTCACTTTGTATAGAGCTTCGTGCTCAAGATCAAGATCAAGATCAAGATCAAACATTAAGGGTACTCTGCTCTTAGTTACGAAATAGCATCATTGTCATAATATAGGACCCTGCGTGACGGCCTAGTTATAAGCCACATCGAGAGGCTAGAGCACTTCCACGTGATCTAGGCGGCCACCCTCGTAACAGGCGGGTGTTACGAGGTGTCTAGATCACGTGGAAGTGCTCTAGGCTCTCGAAGTAGCTTATAAATAGGCGTCAAGCAGGGACTTAAGTAATGACAATGATGCAATTCGTAACTAATAGTAGAGTATACTAAATGATTGATCTTGATCTTGATCTTGAGCACGAAGCTCTATACAAAGGAAATTCGTCCTGACTATATAGACCTTCATGCTATGGACCTTCAGGACCCCGAAAGGTCCTGGACCTAAGAATATGTTGGACCTTTATTTTTCGTGCATATTATGTAGGGCCCATCACGTGGTAATGGGCTTGTGGAGTCCGACGTAACAACCAAGAGTTTAAACTTTTTCAAATCCTAGATAACTTTATTTATATTTATTTACACAGTTATAATTAAACAAGAATATTATAACCCTATACTACTCCTCCATCCTCCCTCCTCCATTCAAATCAACATCATCCAAATCCCAAGCCAAACCACCACTCACCTACCGACATACTCATCGGCACATACATAGATACACCACTCACGCGCACGCGCACGTGCATCCCCGGATTTCCCGAGAGGAGAATAGCGCCGTTTCAAGCGAACCTCGGTCATTATCACATGCAGCGAATGTTTGCTTGCTTGCGGTTGGTTTCGGTCTTAGAGCTAATTAAGTTCTTACTTACTCCGTATTTTTGGACGTATATATCAACTATCTACTTGTACCTACCAACTTGAAGCACTTGAATTATTCGATTACTTATTTACGATTTTTGGACTACGATAACCTTATTAACTTTAAGGTTGTGATTATTATTCTGCGAAACGTTGGGAAATCATTCTTTCGATAGTTATTATCGCGCATTATCGAGTTAGATATATCGATACATCGATACACTGAAGTCTTAACCTTTAACCTTTAACCGTTGACCTTTCATCAATCAATCACAATCATGTCTCTCAAAAACGGTAAGCTATCCACCCCATCCCTCACAAACGACCTCACCCCATCCATCCATTCATCCATCCACACCACACTCCCTACCCACCATCCACGCACACCCACTAACCCTCCTCCACCATAGACGCATTCCCCTCCTCCACCGCCTTCGACCTCATCTCCAGTTCCCTCCAAAACTCCCCCGCGGACCGCGACTCCGCCATAAAACAAGTCAACGCAATCTTCGCCTTCGTCCTCAAAAACTCCGCCGGAGAAACCGCCACCTGGCACATCGATCTCAAGAACGAAGGCACAGTAGGAACGGGACCTGGAGAAAAGCCCACGGTGACATTAAGTCTCAGCGATGAGGATTTCGGCAAATTGGTAAATGGAAAGGCGAACGCGCAGAGACTTTTTATGGGGGGTAAGTTGAAGGTTAAGGGGGATGTGATGAAGGCGACGAAGATGGAACCGATTTTGAAGAAGGCACAGGCGGGCGCTGTTAAGGCGAAGTTGTAGGTGTGGATTGTGGGGTGGGCGGGGAAGGGTAGGGGATGGCGTGTTTATGGAGGGGAGATGAAGGAGATGCCGTTGCGGGAATATCCTTGTTTTGGTTTGGTGTGCTTCTATTACGGGTTTGTGTGTCTACTTCCTGGTAGATGTGAGTGGCGTTAAACCAGAAAATACAATAATTAGGTGAAATAGGATAGTTTTAGGATTCGGTGTTAAGATAGAGCGCGGGTCTCATGGATGAGAAGACTAGTCAGTTCAATGGTATATTTTATCGCCAGAAATGGAAATGAGAGATGCAGTATCATTACTATTATTCTTATTATTTTGCTTGTCCACTATTGTGCATGATATTTTCGGGCTTGAGGAAATGGTATCGAAAGAGAGTAGATGAGGCGAATCTTGCATGACTTGCTTCTAAAGTAAAATTTATAAATATAAATACGCTAAATTGACTTGCTTCTAAACTAAAATTTTGTAAATGTAAAAACGCTACGGACGCTAATTGTCGACAACGAAGAGAATACATAAATCCTCATATCTAAAGTAAACCACCATTCTAAGCCCAACCCAACCCAACCCAACCCAGCCTGTACATACTAGGTACCGTCAAACTGTAATAAAGCGCCTCCCACATATCTGAACGCCAATGTCCAACATATATGGGTATCCGATCCCCAAGACACACGCAATCCCAACCCAACCCAAGCCAGCCTCTCGGAAAACCCGGAGTGAATCAAATATGACGCCAAGAAACATTAATAAAAACGAGGGACATCCTCCATCATGTGACGGAGGTAATCATCACAGGATTGTGTCTGGTCGGGTAAATAGTGCATATTCCCACTCATTCCCAGATCACTATTGGATAGTTCCTCGGCGGAACTATGGCTCTCACCACTAAAACTAAATACGCTCTGTGCAGGTCCGGAACCTGATGAGGAATCGTGATGATTTGAAGAGGTCATGTCGTCCCACATGGAATATGATGACGACCAATCACCGTAAGGTGAATTCGAGCTAGCAGCTTGATTCGTTTGATTTGCTCCCGGGAGACTAGGTGCTGGTCCACCATAGATCGCACTATGTATATTGCTCTGACCATTTTCTAAAGAACCGAGTAGCAACCCCAAGCTGCTTAATTCATTTGGATGGTTATCCGTTTTGTTGGTGATGAAGTGAGTGTTGTGGGAACCTGCGCTTGGAGGGGCTGTACGTGATAGTGTTGGTGAAGATTGTTGTGAAGAAATTGGCGTATTGCTCAATGACAGATAATCCAAATTTGGAGGTTTGGAGCCTGTGTTATATCGAGGTTTCGATAGCGAGGATAGTTGCGAAAGCGAGCTACGATTTCCGCGCTTGTTCACCGGGGAGTCTTTTCTCGCACCTTCGTAAGACGATTGAGACGAAGAAGTTTGATTTTGTGAGGTGTGGTTGAAAATATTTGGCAGTGTAGCTCGTCGGAGCTTCTCTTGTTGAGCTAATATGTCATTCTCGCTCATGCTGGCACTTATGTGCTTATATGGGTGTGGTTGGTTCTTCTTCCTTGGACCAAGACACAAGGCTGTTGCTGGTTTCGTGACTTTGGGAGCAGACATGGCGGAAGCGGTGCGTAAAAATGCCGACTGAGTTTTATCGTGCAGATTTTGGCTGTCTAAGAAATTTAAGGAGGAAGCGACTTTCTTAAGCTCAGCTGCACCAGAAGCATTGCTCCTTTCCAGGAATCTGATAACAGTAATGACAAGCCGCTGACTCTCTTGCATCAACTTGCCTTCCTGTTTGAGATCAAGTCCTTGATATAAAATGCTGAGACCACACAGCGTAAGCATGCTGTTCCTGTTTAGGCAAAAAGAGAATGTCATATTTCTCTCTTCAAGAAGCTGCGTGATCTGTATAAGATGTTTGCTGGAATCGGCCAAGGAGATGATAGATGGTGAAGCTTTAGCTCCAAGTGTGGAACCGACAGCAGGACGGTGGATTAATGATCGAATATGATAATATGCAAGAGACTGTCGCTAGGTTAGAAACAAAACTAAAACCCACACGCTATTGTTTGACTTACCAGTAAAGCTGATCGATTACCCGTGATATCTGTTGATGGCTTGCCTTGCACAAATGCAAGCTTCAGATGAGCAGGTAGATTATCAGACCATTCATTTAGTTCCATCTCCAGAGCAGAAAGTGACTGTAAGGATAAATCGTGAGTGGCGGCTGAGGGATAATTTTGCTCCAAAACTTTGGAGAGAATACGCGAGCATCGGAAAAGAGCCAGAGCGCTGGATATTCTTGTAGGTTCCCCTGGAAGCATGGATTCATAACCATTCTCGGTCACATGTTCATCATCTGCATCTAAAGGATACTCGGCATAAATGTCATCTTCCCTCAGTAACTTGGGCAGGCCAACAAGGGAGGCAGAAAAACTACAGAGGGTTAGCGTTACGATGCAAAGGCCGGCATAGTTCTTACCAATCAACAGTATACAAAGTCCAAAAGATCCTCTTTCTTGCCTCAGTAGTCAGTGCATCAAAACAGAATCGCTTCTGACTTTGATGTAAACCAAGTCGATGAGAAAGCCCTACAGCAATCCCTTTGTAGTGCTGTAAACGATTATAGTCTCCCTTTTGAATGCAATAAAGAAGGGCCAAAATCAGACATTGAAGTGTGGAAATCGAATTTCCCATCAGTATAGAATCGAGAGCTGTACGCCATTGGCTTTCACACAACGATATTTGTTCCATATCAGGGCAGTCGGCGGAGAGTCCAGCAATAGCAAAGACAAGGTGTAATTGTGCCAATTTATGTTGATCTTTCACTTGTTCCGGATGCGATGAGTATTCTTCATATAGAGGCAAGAAGGTATGTTTACGTATAACGGGGAATAATGGTGCCCATTCTTGGAAAAATACATGTACGCATTTGTCTGAGAATAGGCGTGGAGGCGCCCAATTTGGGGCCGGTGTGACCACGGGTGATGAAGTTGAATCGTTTTGAGGGTTCAAAAATGCTTCCGTCTGAAATCCTACGATCGCCTTGCCACTTTCTTGAACTTTACGCTTGAAGAGATCTAGAAGATGTTAACGATGTTGATAAAATGTTTCTTATGACGTCTTACCAATATAAGCTCTACCACTCGATGCTCCCATGAAATATGAGTCTGAATTCCCACCTTCTAGCAAATGTGATGAAGTTTGGACCCTAAACGTATCTTCTTTTTGAGGTGATGACTCTCTTCGACTTTCGGCGGGAGGCGAAGTCGACGTTGACGATATTGAAGAACTTCGATTTGAGTGCATCTTCGAAAGAATGTCTATTTTCTCTTCCTTCTCATCAAGTAAATCCTTGAACTCCCTAACCTCCGCCTCTAATGTACGAACTCTTTCCTCTAATGACTCAGTACTGGAAGAACGGGGAGTCAGTAATTGCCCATAGCAGGAAAATGTTCTGGGGAATACCGAGAAGCCGCGGCTGTGACAGAACATAAACGCCAAATAAAGATTTGGACATCGAGGTGTATGGGACGAAAGAGTCATTATACTCACTATCCTCGAGGAAATGCTCGTCGACTCAATTTATCGCTCGTCTTACATTCGAAGCCGACACCGGAGCACTGTGAACAGCATGGCCGAATACCATCGCATCGTATCTTTTTGCTTCGACACCTATCGCAAGCTTGTGCAATGCGACTTTGCGAGTTTGACGACCCCACCTTAATCATCTTCATGGGTAAAATTCCAGGCATTTTGGATATAATTTGCCTTTTCCTTCTTCCAATGTTGTATTGCTCAAGGAGACGTGGAAAATGCAATCTTCGTCTTCGAGAAGATATTTCCGTCTTGTATCGGCGACGCCGTTCTGTTAAACGTTGGTGTCTTTCTTCAGCTTATCTTGATTTGTGATGATGGCAAATCAATTCGTTTGTGTAGCACTGATTGGATTGGTGATGAGCTATATAGCTATATCACATTAATTGATAAGAGCTGATTGATTTGCCAATGGCGAATGGAGTGGAGATTGTGGAGAATGCTAGGCGTGTGTAATGTGCCAGGTATGTTCTATTTTTCTATGTTCTATGTCGTTCGATGAAGAAATATTCGCTCGGATAATGAGGAAGAGGTTTGGTGGGAGAAGGGGTGCATATAACGGTTGTGGTGATGGTGGTGGTTATGTGGGTGTGGGTGTGTGTGCGAGGGAGGGCAGGTGAAATGGCGGAATCCTTATAGCTAATAGGCGTGGAGATGGAGTCTGGGCCAAGGTATATCATCGGCGGTCGTTACATGGTTGATTCTGCCAGCCAATGGCAACCAACGATTTCCAATGTCGAATGGGTGTGATTGGAGGGTAAAATGAAAAGCTTAGCTTAGCTAGCTTAGCTGGCTTATCCATAAATCCCACGGAACAAAAACCCTCACACTAAAAAGAACCTTTTTTAGCGGGGATGATCGAAGGGAGCACGCACGGTACCTACAGCTTTGTACAGATTAGACAGATCAGACAGATTAGACCATTTGCCCATCTTGGTCTATAACCAAAGTGGCCAAACGAGCATGGCCGTTTCCTTGGAGCTGGGAAGAGAGATACATCAATCTTTGGGATGTATGCCTATGTCAGTCTTGCATGATTTTCTCTTACGCGAATTATAACGTCTTGTATTATACGCTAGCTAGTATACATTTATACATTGCACGTTGTACATTGAAGATTGTACATTACACACTACACATTACACACTATATATCCTACAACCTTCAAATCTCCCCCCTCGGATCCCGCAATCAGCATTTCACTCAACAACAAACCTGTATATCATCAAAGCTCATTCATTTGTCGATCATTGCGCTATCATGGCTGTAAGCCAGGTCGCCACTTTTTAAACTCAATCTCAACCGGCTCGGCAGCAAAATGCATACCGGGCGGAGATAAGAAAAGGACTTGGCCTTGAACTTCGAATCAGCACGGAATAAAATGTAGAAATGATCAATTTCCAAGACTACTTAAGGAAAGGTAGACGGTTACCCCAGGAAAAGTTACTCGGTTAAGGTTAGCGTTATCGCTCTTTCCACTCTTTCTCGTAAATTTTTCTTCCAAGACCGAAGTTAGCAATTAGGTCTTACTCACCAATACAACCTCAGATGTTGATGCTTAGATTTGGGGTCTCTTTTACCTGTCCTGTACTCCGTATATTGGAAATCAAGAAGCGGCTGAATTTTCCTTGACATAAGAGATATTGTAAAATATTATAATATAGGAGTATTAATGCATTTTCTCATAAATTTTCATCAGGCTAATTGATTCGCATCTCAAGCTCCGAGGATTGGGTCACTTACTAACCCGACAGACAGTGGAGCAACATCATGTGAACAATTTGACCCTTCATCTGAAGTTTAAACCTTCACTTAAAGAGCTTGCATGAAAAGATTATGTGATGTCCAAATCCTTGGGAACATCATTCAACCAAGTACGGGACACTTGCTGTAAATGGTTAAACATTCGGCAGGTTGAATGTGAAGAATCGGCAGGCTGAATGCGATAGTCGCAAATCCACGCTTATGGCGCCCCTTATGGTTTTTATGTGGCACTGTACAAGGACTGGGTCTGGCTTTGGTGATTACACAAGACTGCATATGTTTTCTTCATCGAGTTATTCATGCTGCCCAGTGGATGTGAGATGCCAGCGCGAATTTGAGTTTTTCATTGAAATGTTCCCGCAGTTGATGGTCAAGGCTCTGACTCGCGCTCATGTTGCTTTCGCTCGGTGATGGACGGAATTTGTTGCGCGTAATTCTCCACTAGTATTGCTAATTAATACAGTGCAGAGTAGTATTTAAGCCCTAGTCAAACTGGTGCTTGTCAATTAAAGTTTTGGAATTCTTCTCTAATGATTGGTACAAGGTGTGGTGTCTTCTCCGTTTTTTAAACTTTCTAGGGTACTCGTACACATGAATGTTTGACCTGCCGGTATATTAATCCTTACGCACGTTTCATTCCTCTTAATATATTACGCTCCACAAAGTTGTTGACAACTAATCATATTTTCCATGATAGAAAACGTCTTATCTTATGTTTTATATTGAGACTAACGGTTCGTATCTTCGGGATAATTCTTAAGCGTACTAGGGATCTTGTATTTTCCGGGTCAATATTGCACCTGCATTTGAACTACTTCAACTGAAATCGTCCTCTTCGTTGCTTTCGGGGCCGAGATCATCACTATCGACATGCACTGATTGCAGAAGTTGAATAACATCAGCGGTTTTGGACAGCTCCGATATCTAAGTATTTTGTTAGCGATAAACGAGATATCCGAAAGAATATAACAAACTTCTTCAATGATAGACCCATAAAGCGCATCTAGCACGATACTCTCTATCCGTTGCAATTCTAATGCATTGCGTCGAGTTTCCCAGTCGATCATCTCGTTCCTCCATGATTCCATCACTTCTTCGCTTGCAAGAAGACGCTCTATCTGCAGTTCGACCCTACCTCGAACTAATTCTGCAGCTCGAAGCTTGAAAACATCTTCCAGTCTGTGACCACTGATCAATGTCTCAAATTGATCAGTAGATTCTGTGACATCTGTTCCTTGCCAGAAAACTTTTAATGAATGCTCGCCATCAACTTGTTGCACAGTTTTGAACTCCAAGCCGTCTTCCTCGTTCAAGCAAGCAAAGTAAAGGAATGGGCACTCCCATGAAGTTTGCCCATCCGAATGGCCTATGATACGAATGGCTGGACGTTTTCGAAATGCAGCAACTTTTGCTGTGCCCAAGGGGTCAGTCACCATTGGCTCCACTCCTAATACTAATGATGCAAATGGAATCTTTTCGTCGATAAAACCATAATTGAAGAGACTCTCGGCATCACTTCTTGCTCCATAATTAATGGTAACTTCGCTTCCTGCGTCCAATTGTATACCCTGCTCAAGAAAAAGTACGGCATTGCCATTGGATGCCTGTTTCCAGAATGCGTTGTGTTGAAATGAATGATTGGCCATGTCAAGAACAGGCACCATCACGTCGCCGGCATTTCCAAGTACTAAAGACCTTGACCTGTACCAAGCATCGAGTCGCACCCAGTCCGAGAGTAGCAATGGTTGAAATGGTCCACCGTCTTCCCACCAGCACGAGTGACACCAAGGTATTTGAATAGTCTTCTCACGCAGATCTTCAAATTCTCGTGATAGTACAGCCATTTTGCTAATGATAGAATCCTGAGCGAGCATCAGCAAGTATTATAGCGTCAACTGTTGTTTCTCTCTACCATACTTCTAAAGAAGTCCCCTTTAAAAGCATTCTCTCTCCGTCACTCCACATCGTTGGTGATGGAACCTTCTGCGGTAGAAACCTTACGTAGTCTGACCACGGATTCCTCACGCCAACGTTAAAGGCTCTTTCCGGTTGTTGTACTGCGGTGGACAAAATGCACTCTTGTTCCAACCCGTCACAGTTGTGGCATTTGCCACTTTCAGTTTCCTCAGATCCGTAACACTCCAACTATGAAGTGGGTCAGCATGGCTACGATTAACTTACAGCACGACCAGGTCTCGAGCAGATTTTCAACGTTACCTGTCGTTGATAACAAGATGTGCATATTAGAGTCGTATCGTTTCTTGCAATAGTGATCTGTAGCAACAAAAATAACATAATGTCTCCTCTAATAGACTTTCCCCCTACCAACTCTCTTAATTGTTTGAAATGGTGATCTACCATCTCTATTTCTGATAGAAAGTCTTTACCCAGTACAAGATCCTTAGGAATGTCGAGTACGGTGGGAATATCGCACGTATTCACTGTGGTCAGTGCTCTTGTAGTAGTGATGCCATTTGGAGGACTGGGATTGTCCCCTTGTAGACATATTTTAGATGAAGAAACAGCAGTGTCGAGGAATTCTATATTGTTCGACCTGCACCAGAGAGGTAGAGCAGAAAGAGGAAGAGGTGTGATGCGCATTTTGTCCAGTGTGTATGTAGGATAATTTATTTTGTACAGTAGTAAATTTACTTGCTGACTGATTGTTTGTATGTTTGAAGTTGTATGTAATTCAAATTATGTAGGATTGAAGGAAGTGGTTTCGAGTTTGTTTACAGCATTTTCAATATCAAAATGTTCCTGCCGCGAAACTTACCTCGAATCCTCTTTCACCGCTTTATGGCAGAAATAATTACTGCCAAAAGATGATGGAACTGGAGAGTTCTTACTTCAAATTTTATACTTTTGAAAATTTGAAAATTTGATAATAAATCGATACTATAAATTTTTTTTTTTTTTGAAAATCTAAATCAATATTAATAAAATAATAATTAAGATTTTCATTTCAAACATATTTTTTGTTCTTTAAGTTTATATATACTTTATATTTTTGTGACGGAAAAGTCGTAAACGGAGTCAATTGTTACGTCCAAAACGATTAGTATGTCACATGACCATAAAACATGTGATGGAACGGTGAGGAACGAACGTTCCTAGGAACAACCAGGAACGACGATTCCTAGTTAACCATAGGCACGAAGGACTATATAATCAAGATGGATTTCTTTTGTATAGAGCTTCGTGCTCAAGATCAATCATTTAGTATACTCTACTATTAGTTACGAATTGCATATCATTATTGTCATTACTTCAAGTCCCTGCTTGACGCCTAGTTATAAACCTACTTCGAGAGCCTAGAGCACTTCCACGTGATCTAGACGGCAAACCTCGTAACATCAATTCAATTACTTAGAATCTAAAACTAAAGAACTAAGAAGATTCTAAGTAAGAAGGTCTTTATATACAGGGCTAGTGCACGTGAGCCACTAGTGGGATAACAACCGTCACGTAACAATTTTATTATATTTTTTGAATTCAAAAATACTCTTTAAAAATAAATAATTTAAAATACTTTACATAATATTTATAATTATATCAACATATTTTATATTGAATAATATAAATTGAAGTTTTACTTCTGAGGATATATTTTATTTATTATAAAAAATAAAATTACTTTTTTGATAAATAGTTACAAATAAATTTAGTTCAGGTTTGAAGATTTCTGTAACGATACTGTACTGGAGGCAGCGGCTGCCTAAGGTTTGTCGGTTGGTAGTTATGGGCTAAGGCTTTATCACTGGTATTCACTTGGAAGTGAAGTCGTTACTAGATCAAGTAGAATGTAGGTAAACTAATTGATAACTAAGTTGAGCACAAAGCTCCTAAACTATGAAACTATTCTGACTATATAATGAACGATAAAGGGAGCCCCTAGGAGCTTAGAGGGCTCCTAGGGCTCCTTATCACGCGATTACTTTTCATCCCAAGACACTAATCCTAATGGTGAATCGTGACAATTTCTTTTCTTTAATATTTTAAAATATATTTTAATTTTATAAAAGATATCTCAATTTAAATAAAATATATAATTATTATTTTTATTTTTATTTTTAATATAAAACTCCAGTTTGATTTCAATAAAAAATATCAAAAATTGAAATTTCAATAAATTATTTATAGTCAAAGATTGAAAATAAGATGCCATAGTAAAAGTTACTGGAGCTATATGAACTATCAACTCCAACACGATCGAAAGACTTCTGATGAACCCGTAGTATGTTGAATGAGGATTTATACAAGAATTTAGACAACAATTATATATTGAAGATAATCCAACATTCGCCACCCTTCTTGATCATCTCGAATGGTAAAAAATCATTTACGAATTGAGCTTGAAGTATTATCCACCAGGTGATTCAACTTCATAATACTATATCCTTGCTTTTAAATTTTATCACATCTCGAGAATCCAGGTGAAGAAGATTCATCGTCATCAGCACCAGTTCAAAATTCTCCGTGTTGTTTGTTTCACGAAGGTAGGGTTTTGAGGTGAAATTACTGCAGATGATATTCAGTACTGTTACTGTACCTCGAAATATACAATCATGAGGGGTTGCTCATACCCTGTCTGCGGATTTGCATAGTGGTTTTCGAATCAAAATCTTTCTTGTCATTTTTCTTCTCCGGATATTCTCATCATGTCTATCTCTGGGTGTTGGATTTATTCATTCTATCACACAACCAACATCTCCCCTACCAAAAAAAGTATCTACAATCCCACCAAATAGCTCAAGTTTCGATGATCCCAACATTTGCACCGGAAAAGAAAAAAGAAGAAATAGGTTTATTCTTCAGGAATAGGAATGTATATGTTTCCCATTTTCCTCACCCTGAACCAATCCATACCACAGCAATCGCGCTCTGCAATTTGAATATCTCACGCGCAGCGAGACATCATCTTCCCCTTCTCCTCTCAAGTTACTGTTCGATCTCCTCTTGTTCCTGTAGCCATTCATTTCATCCCATTACACACCCACTTTCCTCATTTCTTTTCCCCCCAAGCCACTTCAACTTCATGTATAATGTTGTATACTCCAACCCCTTCCTCTACAACAATCGTAAGCTAGTTATGGGGTTTTCCCTAGAGAAGAGCTGCTCATCTCTCTCCTCAAAACGATAGTCGTATTTCCTTCTGAGAAATCTGTTTCTCTCTAGAGCTTCTCATCAAAGCCTTACCTCTTATATCCTTCACTGTTTCAATCGAGGTGCAATGGCTAGCATAGAGGATAAATAATTGACGGACCGAGCCAGACAGAATAGGAAAACTTGCATACATGTATTTGGGGATATCCCGCTTCCAAGCCCCTTTTAATATAGTGGAATTATAAGTGTTCCTGCGAAGAAGTTATGAGGTTCGACTATTCAAGAGTGAGATGAGTAAATCTGTAGCTATTTCTTGATATCGCGTTCCTCTTTGATTCCATCCTCATATCATCCTCTCAACCCATCTACTTCAATTCAAATCCCCTGTTCCCCTGTTCTTCTCTTCCTCTCTTCTCCTTCTCCTCATATTCTTGTTCTCTCTATAAACTCAAACTTAGACTCAAAGTCACTACCACTCTCACTCTCACTCTCAACAAAACAATATCAGTATTATCATCACCGTCAGCAAAATCAACATAAAAAGAAACCCTCCAATTCCCTCCATCTCCCTCATCCCCCAACCCCAAGCACCAACCCCAAAACCCCCCATACCCAAACCCCAAAAGCTCCGCAGTACCTCTAACGCAACACTCCAACACAACACCTAGTACCCTATCTTCCCTGTAAGAGCTTACTTTACTTAACTCTTATATCTAAACAATTTATACAATTTATATATGTCTCTACACTAAAGCATTCAAAAGTACAAAGAGGAAAGAACTTAAAAGATATTATTGGCGAGGGATGATAATGAATAGAGAAGTAGGATATATAATATAAGATATAGAGTTAACTACCTAATACCTATTTAAAAGAAGAAGAAGATAAGGTAGTGGTTGTAAGAAAAATGGAAAAATGGAAAAATGGAGAGATAGATAGAAAGATAGAATAATAGATGAGATAGGAAAGGGATTTAATTATATATATAAATATCTAAATACAACATTGTGATGACGAAATGAGTAGAAAAGAGATGAGTACATTTCTTGGAAAGATTAAGGATGAATGTTTGTTTTACCTTTTTTTATATACAATGGTATATTGAACATTGGAAATCCATACGAATATCCAGGAATGAATACAACAACAATTATCAAAGTCGAACTCACAATGATCAAACCAAATCTCCCGCTAAGAAGACATTAAATTTCAAACCTTTATTCCATTCCTTTACTTTTCTATTCCATACGCCCATATAAATGCAACAAGATCCAAAACCTCTCTATAAATCTTCTATATTCCCAGCGCCGCATCATCCATACGATATTAAACCACAGTACCTAGATACACACACACCACATGACCCCTCTACTCCAACTCAATCCTCCTTCCCCTCACTCCAGCAAACCCCCCCACAAACCTCCCAACCACATACCCGCCAAACGCACCCGTAACAACCGTAACCGGCCACTTCTGCCACTCCCTATCCCAATCCAGCGGAATAGGTACCGCGCCCAACCAAGCACCTAATGCACATCCAAGCGCTGCACCAAAAACTTCATCCACTGGCGCACATAACGAAGCTATTTCGATCCATCTGACCGAGTCCACGCCATGGATATAGAAGAGGGGAAAAAGTGCTAGGAGAGCAATATGCGCTGACGAAAGAAGTGTATGTTCTATATGAGTGGTAAAGGGAGCGCCGAAGAGGATTTGAAGGGCGGTGATGGCGGGGATCGTGGTGCCTGTTAGGATGAGGGAGAATATGGTTGTCTATCGGGGGAGGGAAGTATTAGTGATTATTCTTTCACATCTACATATTGAAAGAAAGAAAGATCCCGCGTATAGGAGTAGATTCAAAAGGAAGGACATACGAATATTTTATGATTAACCTCCCCACCCTCCACACCCTTCCTTTTCTCTCCAGGCTTCAATTTCTTCGCCATATTTGACCCAGCAGCTGGTAAACATGTTACTGCATAAATTACCTGTAATAAAGCGACAGGCAATAAGGAATGCAAAAGTGTGTGTATAGGATCTGCGACCAACGCAGAGAATCGAAAATAATATGCTGATAGAAGAATAGCTGGTTGGACGTGAGTGACAATACGTGCCAGGTTGGAAGGAAGAAATTCGACGGGAAATGATTTGGGTTTGGAGGAGGTATCTCCAGATACAGGACTAATTCCGGACATGGTGATGGGATCGATCAATGGCATTTCCTTGGTGTTGCTCAATTGAAAGATATAATTTTTGGGATTCTGAGATTCGTGTTATTATTTGGAGCTGCGTCACTTAGCGTCGGCATTTTTCGGTAAGGGTGCCGATGGAGTAGTTTTAATTCTGGTGAATGGAAGTATCATGAAGCAGTTTGGGAACATCATTATGAAGATATGTCAAATGCGCTTTTGTCATTTTGAAGGTATATACCACGCAATATTAAACAACCCTCTTACTTTTTTGCCATAGCTCGTAATATTTGTAAGAGCGTCCAGACCTCTTCATGACATCACGCAATCTCAAGTAATCCTTCAGCACCTCTTTCTGCCCTTGAAACGTATATTTATACCAGTTTTAGCTTTATAACAGCTTCCAATCATGATATCGAAGTATCTTCCAGCAATATTTCAACCTATCTCCAGCCATCAAGATGTAGACTCGGGTCTAGCCACCAAATTCCTCAATGAAAGATCATACACAATATCTTCAATCTTTTTCACATTATATTTGATACCATCACTTCTTCTCCTCAAAACATCATTCTTCAAATTCAAGATTTGGAATCCGGCATGTAAATCCTTAACGAATTGACTGATTTGTAGAGGTCTCTGATAATCTCCAAGAGTAACGGAATTGATAGCTAGTCGTGAAAGCTCTTCGATCAAGGAGATGAGGGAGAGGAGGTATTCTTCAATGCTAATGTGGAAAGCGTCTCGGTCTTTGAGATTGACTGGAACTGTTTTATTGTTAGATGTGCCATTCGCAGAGAAGATGTGTGCAAATAATTACCTTGAAGAATCTCTCCTACTTCCTCAATTGTGAGAAGTCTTCCTGATTCAACGGGCTTTCCGTCCTTGGCCAATCCACCCAGCCATCCGCAGAGGAGTATGGCAAAGATCACATTCTGCACATCTCTTGTCCAGATTCCATTATATCTATACCCGTTAGCCATGCCTATCATCACAGAACCTAGAGCGCATACTTGTAATATGGATAATTTGAAGCAACGCTTGCAAGCTTTTGAATACTCTCAACTTCTTCTTTTATAGCTTTCTCTGCAGACTCGAGAACTGGCTGCACTATGAAATATTAGACGGCGAAAGCTAGAAAATGGCCCTGGAAGACTCACAGTGAGAAGCTGGTGTCGAATGCGCTCGAGATAAAACTGATTGGGCATTTCTACACTGCCTCTCCAATGTTTGCAAAATAGCTTTGATTTGATCTCTTACTTCGGCATCTTCATCAATCTTGGTTTGTAGGTCTTCAAAGATCTTTGGGTCTACCATTCCATTGAGGTCGGACATTTTGCTTGAAATTTTTGGAGGGGTATTGTGGTGGGGTTTTACTTGGTAAGTTTGCTTTGAAGATACTCGAGTAGGTTCTGATGATAAATTTCCCAGTCACATAAACACAATATTTTATCACCAATTTGAAAATTATATACGATTCACGACGCGTTTTGGTATCAATCTCGCGCATGTGGTTCTCAATGCATATTAGTGGGAAATCGAAAATGGCTTTTATTATGATTGCTTAATGACGATTTAGCGTCGGTATCACAGCGAAATTCATGTAGCTCTCTAGTAAAAATAGAATACAAGTTCCATCTAAGGTATTTCAATTTCCAACACAAAGTTCCAGCCAAGTCAAAATGCCGCGAGAACAAAGCTCTCCATCCATGATTTCCACCGGAAACAGCTAATAAATCAAGTCAACCTCAGAAGAATCCCATTGGTCACAACTAAATCAAAACAGGCAGAAAATAACAAGGCTCTTCCTCACAATCCAGGCAAGCCCAGAATTTGCAATGAAAAGAAGTTGTTCGCTTCACCTGGAGGCAGTGTAATACCAGGGAAACTATGGGAATGATCATGCGCAAGCACAGCGGACCATCCCCGAAGGACAAAAATAAGTATAATCAATGTGACCGTCTGTGACGATCTTTCAGAGATTAAACTGAAAAGAACAGATACTACACTTGATCTAAGCCTGTACGTGAAAACACTGTTAGCAAAAGATCAAAAGATGATGGGGAAGGCGTGTGAAAATGTAGGGGGTATCTTACCAATAGGCAAAGAGAGCTAAGGAGAAAAGATTGTGGGAGAGAAGGGGATCTTATATAGATGTTTGAAGTGGCCTGTGCGCGCTCGTAAAGTGGCCAGTTGGTGCAAACATGTTTGATAAAGTGGCAAACATGGCAAACTGCTTTTGACCGAAGTTCTCGCGATTAATGAAAAATTAAAAAAAGGTTGCTTCAGTCAACGTATTAGGTAATCACCATCTCCACTACACTCAAGGCTCCACTACTTTTGTGCATCGAGAAATGGTGCTTAGGAGAGATTGTGCTCAAGGAGATTTCTCCATACAAATTGAATTATACTCCAAACCCTTTACCCGTTTACTCATTACTATACTTTTGACCAGACTACCTAGGCTACATACAAATCATGACTGATCAATAAATAGCCTTGAGGTGTGTCTCTACTATCTTGATATATATTTCGAGAAGCACGAATGCGCATCCAAAATTAGATCCTATATAAGTTTTTGGTTTTACAACTACATGTAGGTATGAATAATAGTCGATAACCTACGATCAATACATGCACATATTTCTCAGCGTTGCGGGTTTAGCAACTTATCTACTGCTTCTATCTTTGCATTATCATCTGGTCAAATTTTTACAGATTTAGTAGCCTTAAACCTCAAGTACACAAATATACCACTGGAATTCAATAATGCCTCGTTTGAGACCGTCATGGTTGGAAAGAAAGTCGGAACAAATAATAGTGACCACTGTCCCTACCCTACTCTCCAACTCCATCCCAAATAAAAGCCTGGTCAAACAAAAGGTCAGGCGCATATGCTTTTAAGTAACACTTCGTCATGAAGCTGTCTTCCAGTTCCGCATACGACATGTTGTCAATCGCGCTGCTGTCGCATTTCACTGTACGCATTGCTAGCATTGGATGTTGTTGGAGTCATATCTGAATTTTGACCTTAATTTCAGTCCTATATGACTACCGTGGCAACTTTTTGAATCTTTCATGCTTTCTTTCGTCCTCTTCTTTTTCGTTCTCTGATTCTTGCTTATCCTACTTGTGAAATGCATTAGTACCGGTTGATACGTTCCTTGGGGAGTTCTCAAGGCTTCTGTTAAACAGGTTTGCCGCTTCTTTGATGTGATATCAGGGCGTAACGTCCATTCAAGGAATTGCATCTGTGGGTTTCATCTTGGATCAGTGCCAAACCTCAACATCCAACGTTTTTCTATAATGAATGCTTCTACTCTATCTTTCCTCCTCATGGCTTTTCTTATCAAATATCTTCCATACTACACAAACAAACATAGATTCAGAAGTTCGATCTGACTTCAACTTGCAGAGACTAGTCACTCATTCTTCATGAAAAACTCGCTTCTGTGATTTACCCCTATCCTACTCCGTCCAGCATTGATACTATTTCCAAGCATTTCAAATAGTAGTAATTCACTCCATTCAATTCCCGCATTTCCTTCCTACATATATACACCAAACAAAATCTCGAAACTAATACTCAACATCGAGGCCTTAGACTGTCACAATCGCCTATTTTCCACAGATTGGTGTACCATTTTTTTAATTTTTTTTTTGAAATAACAAGGCTCGGTCATGGAGATATACGTAGTGAAGTCCACAATGAGAAGCTCTCGTGGCTGTTTTATTCCAGTTCGTGAAAAGACTCGAATATTGGGCTTATATTCTAGGTAGGAGTGGGATCAGATTGCGTAGGTTGTGATCCCGAAGCCCTCACCATTCCTGGATGAGCACACCTTTCATGTCTATCACGATCCCACCTCCTCACAAAAGCCGTTGGACAAACAAGAAATCCACACTTAAATGGCCTTTCATTGCTGTGCGTTCTCTGGTGTATCCTTAAGCTGGATGATCTTGTGAATGAGCTTGAGCACTGATCACAATGATGTTTCATTGGTTCTTTCTTGATCTTTGGAAACTTTCCTTCAAAAGCTGCTGGATCGGGATGTTCTAGCATCATATGCTTTTTGAGCTCCTTCTCGGTACTGTATCCCCAAAGTTTCCTTGGACAATTTAAATCTATACACAAGAAGGGCTTTTCATTTCGGAGAAGATGCTTGTCACGAGTAGGTTCATCGGAAAATCCCTCATGGAAATAGAAACATGCATGGCGAGGGTATTTGATCCATTTTGGTCCATAGTACGTAGTGAGTTTTTGCTTCTTCGTCACCGTCACCGTCAAAGCATTTGATTTGGAAAGCTCGGCTAGATAGGATCGTACTTCGTCAAGGATTATTTTTAAGTCCTTCGGGTCGGCAAGTTCATCCTGTACAGCCCACACTTTTCTAGTATGGCTCAGCAGAAGAAGAAATGTGTCCAGCTGGTCAGATCCAACAAGGTGGGTACATCGATCCTCCGGAGAAGGAAGGACATCCGACCTTTTTGTGCTTTGTACCCCGAACACCTCATAAAACTCCGCGATGGCAGATCCAAGGTAGCATTGTTCTGAGTTCCCAAGATCCAAGGGTAATAGATGCTCGGTCAGGGATTTTAGGTGGTCAACCCAATGCACAATTGCATATTCTTGGAATGCATAATATCCATGGCTGACGTAGTGATGGATTTGATTCTCATGTGTGGTCGGGTCAAAGCATTTGAAAAGAAGATAGCGCAGGCACATTGTTGCCAGTTTCTGTTCTTCCAGAATGATCTGAACATGACTGTTTTTAATCAAATAACTATTCCTCAAACTTATTAATAATTTGGACAATTATAGCCTGTATTTCATGCCATCTCATAGGCCGCTTAGCACACGAGATCCAGCCCAATAACCTTTCTGCTGTAGCTCGCTCTGAAAGGTTGGGATTCTGATATACTTGAGTAACAATCCTTGAGTACCTGAATTGTCAGCAATGACAAGCATGATCGAATTTTTCTACCAGATGTTCCTTTTACGCTTGTTCAAACCCGATTGGAAATGTGCCCGGCTGAAGTTCCTCATACACCTTTTCACGGGATGTTTGATTATAGAGATTTATAAGGATCAACTTTGCACATAGGAACATCCCTGACGGAGGTTAAACCAAGATGCGAAGTAATGGAGGCCACTTACCATCTGCTCCTTCAGACACAACCTTTATAATATATGTCTTCGTACAGTCTGGTACAGCAAACTTTTGTTGTATTTTTTCCGACCAAGCACGAGAATACATCTCAATATCAGAGCTATTACAAGAGTTTGACAAGCGTAAGTCCGAGCTTTGCCGAAGACATCTCTTTATGTCAGGCTCGTTTTGACTTACAATCAATATGCGGAGCATTCCTGGATGCCAAGACTTTTGGAAAGTTGAGAATAGGGTAGAGAGCAAGAGTCTTCACTGAGTTTGCTCGCATTCGTCCATACCATCAATTACCAAGTGCACCCTTCGGGATTTTGATACAGTTTCAAAGCATAACTCGAGTAACTTCGTACACATCTCATACGATACGAGTGACACGGAATGACTGTTGATGCACTCACTATACAGTTAAGGCAGAAGAATTTCGTTCTGCTTCAGAAGTTGAGAAATTATAGCCCTAGAGACAGCTACAAAAGTGTTTCTTTGGCTATCTTCATACAGTAAAAGAAGATCGTCGATGATGAGCTGTCCTTCATACATTCCTCAATGATCACGGAGCTCAATACAATTTTCCCTCATTTCAATTAGTCCACAAATCGTAAATAGAGTAGATTTGTTGCACCACCTGCTCCGGGAATGCCATTAATCCATAAGAGCGGGGTAGTTGACTGCTGCGGATCAAGCCACCCTTTTGTCTTACACTCTTTTAAAATCCAATTGCCCGAGGAGGAATAATCGGCTCGCATAGCCACCGCAGTCTCATGATCGAGTATTGGATCCGTGGCAGCGAGCCAGTCTAGCAATGCAAGCCTTTGACGCTTGTTATCTTCCTTTTCAATAGCCTCAAACTGCTTTTTGTGGCTAAGATGCTCCCTCTGATATTTTTGGATAGAAAGAATTGAGTCTTGAATAGCTGTGAATGAAGTTTCGGTTTTGGCATGCTCCATTTGCTGCTTTTCGAATTGTAAAATTGTCGCCTGACCTTCTACTAGAGTTTTGTGCCGGCCTAACCCGTCTATTATGTGCCTGAATTTGCTATCAAAGTCTTTCCATGTTGCCCTAAATATTTTTTTCCACGCTGAGATGTAAGTGACCATATGCCGACGAAGGGTTGAAGGGTTACTTGGTTTGCTGAAAACTCTAAGTGCAACGCGGTGAAACTCTAGTATGTCCTCATAGAATAATGCAAGTACGTGAATCATTTGTGAATTGCCTTTGAATAAATAGATGTATTGACTAAGAAGAGGGATGCTTTCAGCAAGCTGCTGATATGCATCCAATAGTGTCGAAAGACTCGGCCCATGAACTTGCAACCTGTAAATTTCAGTAAATTCTGCCATATTTTAGGGAGCGTCCTATACACACTATCCAGGACAGGGCACACCGACTACTTTTTAAGCACCTACCCGAAGACAGAATTTCATCGGGCCCCAGACGAAACATAAAATCGAAGAGGTGTTAAGGAAAACTTCGATGACATTTGAATATTGCTCAAACGCTTCAATGAAGAATTTGACACGAGGAAGATTCATCATGCTCTTGCGCTGGCTTTGATCGTCTTGTATCTTCAATATAGAGGCCTTCAAGTCATCCAGTGTCGTAGTTTGGAACCTCAGCTGCTCCTCTTGAGTCAATCGCTTCTTGAAGTTCGATAACCCAATTTGAAATGGGTCGGCCGTGATTTGATGTATACTCGTCTTGTGTCTATAATAAGCAATCGACAAGAGCTCTTCCACGCATGAATATATGACCAAGCAGAAATGAAGAAATATGTCATTCCTCGCCGTAAAAGTTCATCGACTTGGGCCCAGACACAGTATGAGATAATTGATTCTTACAACTTGAATACAATCTTGATCCAATTTAATGGATGTTAAATTTCGAGAGAAACTGGGCTAGCCTGATGAAAAGCATTTCTTGTGTAATACATTACCTATGAATGAGGAAGGTGCAACAGACATGAATGTGGCTGATGTATGTATCCGTTTGGCAGTCTCGTGAACCCAGAGCCACTCATTCACACAACACAACACACTGCCATGTATTGTACTCCACACTTTATGAAAACTATTACTTGCATTTAATGCGATGGAATCAACCCGACGGCGGAGCCTCGCTGCCTTTCGTTTGGGCACAGCATTTTGCATGATATAACCATACATTCTGCCATGCCCAGACTTTCGCGTATTCATTCCATTTTTATCTGCAAGTTCAAAAGTAGGACATAACAATTTGTCAATATATACAAGTTTGTATTTATTACAAAAAAATTGATTTCTACGGGCCTAGTATGAAAAATCATCATCGACGACGTCTTTTCCTAGCACAGACGACTCTACAATCTCATCAAATTTTGAACAGCCAGGAAAGCACGGGTCGTCTTCTAGATATCCTTGAGCCCTCAATTGATTTACATGAACCTAAAGGATATGGGATTCAGGCATGCGCGGGTAAAAGGCCATTTCCCGATACTCTTGAGCCGCCGTTTGACCTAGATGGACCGTGAGTTAAATGTCTATACCCAAAAGATTTGTACTTTTTCCTGAATCTATGGCTAAAGCTGGAAGTTACAGAGCCAGAGATTTTCATTTCCACAAAGAAAGGAAGGGCCAGCCCTTGGCTCGCTCAACAGCTCAAAGTGACGAGAGCATTTCGGACAATGGCGGTTCATCACGGCCTCTTTTCAATAATAATAACGATCTAGTATGCTTTGGACTGATAGGTACTGAATGAAGCAAGATTGTAACGTCAAATCTCATTGAGAGCAATCAGATTCATAATACACAAACAAAAATCCTCGATACCACAGGACAAGAAAATTCAGCAAACCATCTCATCAGCACTGGTTCAAAAGGAGATACCCCCTAAACCTTCACTTTCAGCCTGAGAAAGAACTTGTGTTCTTGAATACAGCCTTTACTGTCGATGAATCGAATCTCCCAGCAAATTTCGCGGTTCTAAACAAGAAGACAACTCGAGTTCTTTGCCAAATGAAGAATATAGGTTGTCATTTTGAAACAAATTCGTCAAAACTAGGTCATGACTCTACCGAGAAAAGGACATATCATTATATTGACATTACAGTAGCCGGCCCAAAGAATATTGGTGATGTTATCGGTACGTTGCTGTCAGCAAAAAAGATTTACTTGCAACATCCTGAAATGGCAAGACTTGAGAAGTATGTCCAGTACTATAACCCTCACTTCTTGAGTTTCGACAACGTTCCAAGTTGCAATGTCGTGGATAGCAGAAAACTACATGCTATCAATTTCTATAGCGAATATTCTCTGAATACAGAGTCAGATACTAGAAGTGACACGCAACTCAAACCAAAGCTTTATAACAGGGTCGCAAAGATTTTTGATTCGTTGACAAGGTATAGGAATCTGAGAAGAGTCGAGGTAGTTGTCAAGATTATGACTCCCCTTATGCAGTAAGCTATTTTCTTCTGTGGCAAAGTATCTGAACTAATGACCGAGCTCGAATGAGTAGGCACCAAGCTGAGGCATTGGATTTCATAGCGCAGAGGGAGTTTGGTCCAATCCCTGATGAGTATTCGTTGTGGACTACTCAAACATATGAAACTCAGACCTGGTGAGCGAATCTTGACTAATTTGGCGCCGGGCAGCGATTTTCTTAATGCTAACTATATGCGAGTTATCAGCACAAGATATCACGCCACAAACTTGGAAAAATTCCCGTCGAACGTGGCGGCGGAATTTTGGCGGATGGTGTGGGTCTCGGTAAAACACTGACAGTACTTGCCAGCATCATGCAAACATCCAAAGAAGCCAAAGACTTCCTCGACTGCTCCCTTCGAAATTTTGGCCCATCACGCAAGCCCCAAACACAAAGTTATTTCCAGATCGACGCTTGTTATAGTACAGACACATTGTATGTCTAACTCTTACCCGAACTCTTCTTTTGATTGATAAACTGCAGTACTCATCGATGGATGGAGACAAGAGATTTCTAAGTAAGGTGTCGCTTGAATCTAACCGGGAAAACTCAGACTAAATCAGTAGGCACTGCCGGGGATATGTGAACATCAACATACGCCAATTCAGAACAGTTTAGATGATCTTGGTGCTTTTGTTTCATTCATAGGTTCTTATCCCTTAGATGATCCCTCCGTGTTTCGAAAACATATCATAAACCCGCTTCTAAAAGAGGAAGAGGAAGGCGCCAACAATCTTCAAACATTACTGGACTCAGTATGCTTACGGCGTACCAAAAAATTACTCAATCTATCAAGTGTAGAAGAAATATATCGATTAGTATACTTCTGTTTGAGGAGAAGTTGCTCTACGAATTAACGCGATAGGAGGAGACACAAGCCATAAAACAGCAAGATAGTCGATCGAGAAACAAAAATGGTTACTTTGGCATCTTCCAGTTACAACTGAAATTACGGCGGCTTTGTAACCATGGCACACTTTTTAAAAAGCACTCTCCAATTTCTCAGAATGACACCGAGTTTGATCCTGAGCAAGCACTTGGACTCCTACAGGAGAAGAATGATTCCAGATGCCATTACTGCGATGTAGAAATCGTTGGTCTTGACCCTAGTGTCAGTTGTCGCGGCCGGTTCACTACCTGCGGACATCTTTCCACAAGCGAGGATACACGGATCCTTATAATGACAACTGGAACCGGAAGGGTTTGTTTCCTTGTATCTAAGGGACACGCACTAGCTAACATTCAAAGTCTCAACCTTACAATCTCCAACTATGTGTATATTCTAGAGCCGCAGTGGAACCCAATAGTTGAATCCCAAGCTATTGCTCGGGTTCAAAGAATCGGACAAAACAGAAATGTCAAGATTTTCAGATATATTGTAGAAGATACGGTAGAAAAGGTACGCTAAAAATACTATTTGCATCACTCCGATTATTGCTGATAGGATTCCAATCAGGGTATCCAAAATCGACAATCGAGAAAATTGAATTTCGCAAAAATGGGGTGGACAAGTGACCATTCGGAGCTTCAATGAATTTCTGCAAACACAAGCAAATTGATCATTTCGCGTTTCAGACAAAGCCTTATCGCGCATCAGCGTGCAGCCTGTATCTTTTTAGTGCAATTTGATTAAAATAGACGGATCCTCAACATAAGTAGCAGCAAGAATAAACTAACATTTCCTCTAAGGTTTGCATTATCTGTGTTACCTCGAGTAAAAATGCCCTCAGTGTTACGTTGAGCTTTGTCGCAGTTCGAGAATCGTCGGATTAAAAGTGGCTACAGTCCGTTCTTCAAGCACATGGATGCAGATTCAACTTTGCTCGAATGGCTACTCTGATTATGGTGCATTCTCCTCATAGACCTGTCTCGAATATCCACTGAAGGGTGGAAATATGAATAAGCTCCAAGCACTCTGAGTAGGTACCATTGAATACCTACCATCATGATAGACAGGCTTCAGACTCATTCTTACCCGAATCATCTCATCAGGCTACTAAGAGCATTCCGCCGCCTGAGCTGCAAGCGTAAATTTGTATGGGTAGAATACAAGTAGAAGTAGTAGTAGTAGTAGCAGTAGTAGTAGTAGTAGTAGTAGTAGTAGTAGTAGTAGTAGTATATTGTTTTTCGTCTGAGAGACCTCCCTAAGGGTATAAAGATGTGCTAAGCTAAGCAATTTACAATAATATATTACCAAATAAAGGATCCAAAAACCACGAGGGGCAAAAAGAATCCTTTATAGGCAATCCTGGGTCCCTGATCCCACGGTGTTGTAGTTCTATTATATAACCTAGAAAGCATTTTGAGCTTTACCGTTGCGCAGCGTTGCAATCACTCTTCATGTATGATTATTGCCAATTTTATATGATCCTCCTACTCCATTTAAGATGGATATGCAGTGGTTGAATGGAAAAAAACTCCAGGTAGTCCGAATCTCTCTAGGCAAGCCCTAATCCTAAGCCCTAGCGTCTATACAAACCACAAATTCCTAAAAATTCGAAAAATTCATCTCCAAAGGAACCTTCCCTCCCTCTTTTTTACAGCATTCCCCCTTCTTCATTATGTATTAGAACTCCTCGAATGGTAAATAGTTCGGTCTCGCGTCACATAGAATATCGAAGAGATCGGTGGGGGGTGGAATATCGAGCCCTTGGGTACAGAAATAGTTCGAAAATGAGGTCGAAGCGGTATCGATATTTTGCTAGGTAGATCGAGTGATTTAATCTTAGCTCTGCAGACTCTAATAAAAGAGCTGGAGGTTCGTAGAGGGCACCGCGTACAGGTGTTGAATCTTCGCCCTCCGGGTAGAATACAAGGAGGCAGCAAAGAGCACATTTGGCCCCCAACACCCATATTTGGAAGAGAGCGACCGATGGTCATGTGCATCTAGTCTTTGCGTTACAGGAAGAGAGAGGCTTCTTAGTTGAGCAGATATCGCTTGATTATCCAATAAGCCCGCCCATAAAAAGTACAATCAGTAAGCCTCTTTCTGAAACGTGAGGTTATCTTGTATCACGTCTTAAAAATACTCTTTTCGCGTACAGAGTTTATCTCATCCTCAGACCCTTCTGTCACGATTCACCATTAGGATTAGTGCCCTGGGATAAAAAGGAATCACGTGATAAGGAGCCCTGAGGAGCCAGAAAGCTCCTGGAGGCTCCCTTTATCGTTCATTATATAGTCAGAATAGTTTCATAGTTTAGGAGCTTTGTGCTCAACTTAGTTATCAATTAGTTTACCTACATTCTACTTGATCTAGTAACGACTTCACTTCCAAGTGAAGACCAGTGATAAAGCCTTAACCCACAACTACCAACCAGACGAAACCTTAGGCAGCCGCTGCCTCCAGTATAGTATCGTTACAAAAGCCTTAACCCATAACTACCAACCGACGAACCTTAGGCAGCCGCTGCCTCCAGTACAGTAACGTTACAATAATTTTATATAAAATAAATTATAATGCAATAAATAATATTATATTAAACCCCTTTTTTTTTGTATTTAGATTATAAAAGTATTGATTTGATGATTTAATATAATCTGTGTATATATTTTGAATAATTTCTTTTTTAAGAAAATAAGAATAGAAATTAGAGTTTCTTAAAAACCCTAAAAGATTATTAGTTGAATCCAATACCAAGCTATTCTACCCTTGTCACACTATATATATATATATGTTTTATCGCATCTTTTTATGTCATTTGTGTCACTTGTAGATATCTATTCCTCCAAGACATTTTGGTAGTTTTGATATTCATTGGCCTTGCCCTTGGTCCTGGGTTGATGGTGGGATTCTAGGTGAAGGGGGACTATTTTTCGAACATCTCTAGGAATCTGGAAGGCTAACATGATGTCGACTTCTTGTCACAGCCTGGATTGCTGGGGGAGAGGATGTCACGGTGTTCTTGTTTGTTAACCATGTTCTCGGAATGAATATTGAATACGGCCATTTTCAACCTTCGAACTCTTGATTTTTCACTTTTTACATGATCTCTCATCCGCTAAGTAGAAAATTCTGCTTGTCAAGTAAAACGATTTGTAGAAGCAAGTGCTCCACATCTGTCCTATCTATATCTATTTCTATATCTACAATGACATGCATAACATCATCACGCATACAGTATTGACGCACAACAAACTCCACCAATGCATACCATAACCTCTACAAACCCTCTCCTTTTCCCACAAACTACCAATCACATCCGACCGCCAAAACCCCCGCCAATTCCTCCAACCACTTCCGATCCACCTCATCAAATCCCTCCTTAACCCCACAATCAACATCAATAATCGCCTTCACAATACCATCCACAATAATCGGCACAACAATCTCACTCTGACTAGCTGCATCACATGCAATATGACCCGGAAATTTCTCAACATCAGGAACAAGCTGCGTAGTCTGAGTTGAAGCGGCAGTTCCGCATACACCTCGAGAAAAGGCTATAGTTTGACAAGCGACTTTTCCTTGGAAGGGTCCGAGGATTAGAGAGGGTTTGGTGGATGACGGGTCCAGGGTGTAGAAACCTGGGGAGGTGAGTTGACTGGTCAAAGAAAGAGGAAGGGGGACGAACCAGCCCAGTTTACTTCCGAGGAGGGCGATGGAAGTGATTTATATGCGTGCCATAGTAATGACGCTGTATTTGATAAATTACTATTTCTTTTCGTTATTCAGGATCCTTGGTACTACCACTCTTCATTCCACATCATATCACTTGATACTACAACAGGAGAGCCTGGGATATTTACCACACCTAAACTTCATCAGCATATAATCTTATTTACTTATCTCAATCTCAATTGCAATCTCAACAAATTAGACAAGAAAAGAACCAAAAAAACATACCCAATTTCTCTGTCCATCAAACAACCCCCTCGCCTCCTCTAACACCTGCGCATAAGCTTCCTCTTTACTTATATCAGCTTTAAACGTTGACGCATCGGCATGTACCTATTTTTTGCATTTGAGTTAGCTTGCTTGCTTGCTTGCTTGCTTTCTTGGTAAGTATTAAAGAAGTGCAAACAGATAAAACATACCATTTTGCAGTCGGGTTGGTTGGTGGTGATGGGCTAACTCTAATGACTTGAGGCCGGTCCGAGTGGAAATAGTGCAGTACGTAGTTCGGGAATCTAATGATAACTTGGAAGCTTAGTGGTAAAATACCGGTTGTGAAAATACTTATTTATGAAGAGGGTTTTCACATGATGCGGGTGGGAGAGGAAGAAATTGAGTGGTGGTCTGTGCGTAACTGAAGTTCCTGTATTGCGTGAAGTCTCGTGACTTTAGATAGGTTATCGTTAACGACGTCAAGTTTTTGGTGATTTTTCTAACTCCTCCATATTTACCCAGTATGTTACAAATCTTGTATTGTATATTAGTTTGATGCGATAATGCTTGTATATGCATATACTTCACGTGTTTAGTCAAGCGTGAGCGTGAGCCTGCTACTCTGTATTATCTCATCCTCAGACCCTTTATTTCGATTATATTTAATATCAATTTATAGTAAATATAACGTGGTTTATCAGCGAGCGGGCCATATCACCGAGCGGGCCACTTTTACCTCAATTTATATCTTTCAACTTCAATACGCGATTTATCAACAATATATTATGGAATCGAATAATCAAGAAGGTCGAATACTTTTAGCTATCGAAGCTATCAATAAAGACCAAAAATTAAGCATTCGGAAGACTGCTAAGCTATATAATATCCCGTGTACAAAGATTCAGCGCAGAATAGACGGTACTACCCCTTGTATCGAATCTCGAGCAAATAGTCATAATTTGACCAAATTAGAAGAGGAAGTGCTTATCCAGTATATAATCGATATGGATGAGAGAGGGTTTGCATCTAAATTAAATGATGTAGAAGATATGGCGAATTATATCCTCGAATCGCGGGGTGCGAAGAAGGTTGGAAAGCTCTGGGCTTATCGCTTTGTTAAACGATGTCCAGAATTAAAGACGCGTTTTAATTGTATTTATGATTTTCAAAGAGCTCTCTGCGAAGATCCCAAGCTTATTGAAGAGTGATTTAGATTGGTATCGAATATGCAAGCGAAATATGGTATTGTCGATTCTGATTTCTACAATTTCGACGAAACCGGCTTCATGATGGGTATAATATGCTCTGGAATGATTGTAATTAGTGCTGAACGAAATGGTAGAAGCAAGGCAATACAATTAGGCAATCGAGAGTGGGCTACAGCAATTATATGTGGCAATAGAGAGAGTGAAACTATACCTCCATTTCTGGTAGTTCAAGGACAAGTTCATCTTTTCAATTGGTATACCGAAACCGATTTTCCTGCGGATTGGGCTATTAAACCTACTTCCAATAGATAGACGAATAATGAAACAGGGTTAGAATGGTTAAAGTATTTCGATAAACATACTATTCGTCAAAGAAAGGGCAAATATCGAATGCTAGTATTGGATAGGCACGAAAGTTATGAATCAATACCTTTTCAATTATATTGCAAATCAAATGATATTATATACCTCAAATTACCACCACATTCAAGTCATTTAACTCAACCACTCGATGTTGGGTGTTTTGGCATACTCAAATGTTTATATAGTTGTCAAATTGAAGGATTTATCAAAGCTTATATCAATCATATTATCAAGGTTGAATTCTTTATAGTCTTCAAAACTGCATATTTATAATCATTTACTATTCAGAATATGAAAGCTGGTTTTCGAGGAGCAGGTCTAATACTATTCGATCCTCAATCTATACTTTCAAAACTAGATATTAGGATTTGTACTTCTATTCCTCCATCTACCTTTTTGGAACTTACCAACTCCTGGATCTCTCAAACCCCTTATAATCCAACTGAGGCTCTCTTACAATCAACTCTAATAAAAGCTCGAATAACTCGTCATCAATCAAGCTCTCCTACACCTATATTTGAGACTGTATAAGCTTTAGTTAAAGGTACAGAGAGATTAGCATATGAAGTTACACTTTTGAGTGCTGAGAATCGTATGCTTCGAAAAGCAAATGAGGTATTAAGTAAACGTCGATGCGCTAAAAAAAATTCAACTACATAATGGAGGAGTACTTACTGGACAAGAAGCTGAAGATATATTATCATAACAAAAGGTTGATAATCAGATTCAACACGACGAGCGTCAAAATGGGGGAAATTTTAATAGGGAATCATCTACTAGTCGATGCTGTAGTAAGTGTGGAAAGACTGGTCATAATTCAAGAACTTGTCAGAATAGTATAATAGATCCTAGATTATTAGATTCTTGATAGTTTCAATCAATTGATTTAATTGTTGTTAAATAATATGAGTTTAAAGTGATAAATTGAGGTAAAAGTGGCCCGCTCGGTGATATGGCCCGCTCGCTGATAAACCACGTTACAGATTTTTATTAATTATTGTATAATTAGAATTTAGGTGTAATTCGATCAATAAAAACTTGGGGAAGAATAATCTTTTAAAGGATTTAAAAACTTTTGATTAACGTGGTTTATCAGCGAGTCGCCACTATCAGCGAGTCGCCACTTTTTCACTTATTCAACCACTTTAAACTTATTTTAATCAACAATTATTGAATCAATTGATTTAAACTATTAAGAATCTAATAATCTAGGGTCTATTATATTATTAGAACAAGTTCTTGAATTATGACCAGTCTTTCCACATTTACTACAACATCGATTAGTAGATGATTCCCCATTGGAATTTCCCCTATTTTGACGTTTGTCGTATCGAATCTGAATATCCATCTCTTGTTATGATATTATATCTATAGCTTTTTGACCAGTAAGTACTCCTCCTTGATGTAATTGAGTTTTTTTAATATGTCGACGTTTATTTAATACCTTATTTGCCTTCCAAAGTATACGAATCTCTATACTTAAGAATATATTCTCATAAACTAATCGTTTTGTATCCTTAGTTAATACAATTACAATTTCAAATATAAATGTAGAAGAACTTGATTGATATCAAGCAATTCGAGATTTCACTAAAGTTGATTGTAAAAGAGCTTCAATTGGATTATGAGGTGTTTGAGAGACCCAAGAGTTGGCAGATTCCAAAAGGATCGATGAAGGGGTAAGTGTACGAATTTGAATATCTAATTTCGAAAATACAGTTTGAGGATCAAATGATATTAGTCCTGCTCCTCGAAAGCCAGCTTTCATATTCTGAATTGTAATCGATTGTTGATATACAGCTTTGAAAGCTATAAAGAATTCAATCTTAGAAATATAATTGATATATACCTTGATAAACTCATCAATTTGACAATTATATAAATGTTTGAGTACATTAAAACATCCAATATCAAGTGATTGAATTAAATAACTTGAATACAATAGTAACTTTATATATATAATATCATTTGACTTGCAATATGATTGGAAAGATATTGATTTATAACTTTCATATTTATTCAATACTAACATTCGATATTTGCTCTTTTTTTATTGATTAATATATTTATTGAAATGCTTTAATTATTCTAAACCTATCTTATTATTTGTTCATTTATTAAAAGTAAGTTTAATAGCCCAATCCACAGGAAAATCGGTTTTGGTATATCAATGTCACGATTCATTAATTCACGTGACCTTGAGGACCTTTTGGACCTTAGGGTCCCAAGGGTCCTCAAAAGATGATATAGGGTATATAAACATTCATTTAGTCTCATGGTTAAGGAGCTTCGTGCTCAACTTAGTTATCAATTAGTTTACCTACATTCTACTTGATCTAGTAACGACTTCACTTCCAAGTGAAGACCAGTGATAAAGCCTTAACCCACAACTACCAACCAGACGAAACCTTAGGCAGCCGCTGCCTCTAGTATAGTATCGTTACAATCAATTGGAAAGATGAACTTGTCCTTGAACTATCAGAAATGGAGGTATAGTTTCACCCTCTCCATTACTATATATAATTGCCATAGCCCATTCTCGATTGCCTGATTGTATTACCTTGCTTCTGTCATTTCTTTCAGAATTAGTTACAATTATTCCAGAGTATATTATACTTATTATAAAGCCGGTTTCATCGAAGTTATAGAAATCACAATCTTGAATACCATATTTCGCCTATATATTCGATACCAATCCAAATTATTCTTTAATAAACTTGGGATCTTTGCAAAAAACTCTTTGAAAATCATAAATACTGTTGAAATTAAGGTCATTATGGGCCTAGAATTGAGGTCATATGACCATTATGGTGCACGGACCATAATTGGGAATATCTTCAATTCTACCATTACTGTAACTTAGATCCTTAGTTTAACCTACATCTAATAATACTACTACTTCCAAACAACTCAGTTTGAACAAATACAATTAAAACATATCTTTAATTTTGTATAACACTTTACAAATCGATAAGCCTAGAGCTTTCCAATTCTCTTTGTATCTTTTGATTCGAGAATATAATTCGCTATATCTTTTATACTATTTAATTTAAATACAAATCCTTTTTCATCTATATTGATAATATATTGAATAAGCACCTCTTCTTTTTTGTTACGAGGTTTGCCGTCTAGATCACGTGGAAGTGCTCTAGGCTCTCGAAGTAGGTTTATAACTAGGCGTCAAGCAGGGACTTGAAGTAATGACAATAATGATATGCAATTCGTAACTAATAGTAGAGTATACTAAATGATTGATCTTGAGCACGAAGCTCTATACAAAGGAATATCCATCTTGATTATATAGACCTTCATGCCTATTCT